TAACAACGATAAAACTATAATATTTGGCACGTACACACGATCGTTAAATCTAGACTCGTTCTCGATAAATTAGTATAAATCACGCTTTTCGGTCGATGACTAAATACAACTCCGCGTTCTCAATCTCTGTCGCAAAATTGCACCGAACAGACAGAAGAGTTGTCGGAATTTGGTACCGCAGCAGAATGGCGTTTAGATATATAAAGAGAATTGGGAGAACGTCATTGTTCACATAGGGAAGTAGTTGACACTGAAAGTGTTACCTGTGCACCAAACGTGACAATTATAATGACGCACGTCTAGCCTTGAGACACGGCGCTATGCGAGAGAAATTCATTATTCCCCCCATATCGATAAGCCTTTTAAGAATAGCACGCCAGAAAGATAAGCATACGGGCGTCCGCTGTGTTGTCGACACTAATTCATAAGGAAGTACTGTTACCGGCAACTTAAGTATCCTCACACCCCATCTTTGGAGTGAATGACGAGAAGCAGGGTGCTTTTCTATACACAGTCCTACCTGGACATGGATTCAAATAACAAACTCCTCAACTAATAATATTTTACAATTGCTTACAGTTCTTGAATGATGACCAGCACCGCTGCAATAAACAAAATATTACACAATCAAAAAATAAGTCAACCTCTTTACAGTTCTTCAGACACAAATCGTCAAAGTTACATGTCATACAATGCAAACAATAATAACCAAAACTGAACCGAATCATGTAACGGCTGTCACGCAATTACCAACGCGTATGACTTTTCCACCCACCAATCACCCGTGGAAGACGAAATCTCAGGAAGTTACAATCTCGAGTTTGAACTTGATTCGAGTTTGAACTTGATTCAGACAGGTATAAACGTGTCCCGTGTAAACGGTGCATTGTGATGGCTTAAAACGTCAACCACCAACGCTGGTCACTACGCAACCCCAGTCACTACGAGCTTGAAGCGTGTCATGAGCCTATTATTGTCTCTTCGCAGTCGATGAAATTGCCGCATTAGCCTTTACCAACGCTTTAGAACGAAACAAGACGCAACAAGTGCATGCGAACATGTTCAGCCACGCGCCATGTGCTTCTTGAACTCTCGGAGGTGACTCGCGTGTCACGTCCCAGCATGGCGAAGACTGAGTATGCCATTTCTTAAGCCCGTCCTTCTTCCTGCATGGTTACTCGAGTGATTGCAGGAAGACCTGCCATTGGTGTTCCCAGTGCACTGCGGTACAGCATATATCCGCGTGGAGCTTTCAAGAGTGTAAACTCGGCGTTCAGACGTACATCCGAACAAACAAAAGCCCATTCGTACGTGATCTGTGGTTGGTGTCAGCGTTCTGCGCAACGGGCGTATTTTTATACAGCAACGTGAGGAGGAAAAGCATTGCGAGTCTACAGGAAAACGCGAGTGGCGCACATTCGAACGACATGAATAAAAAAACAATTAAAAAGAAAAAAAGAGCATGGCGCTGCACAGAAGTTGCATATAGTGCATCCACTTGGAAAAGGGTTAGGCTTAACAGAGTTGAACCACAACCACCTACATCCAAATCGACATGACGCAACCATTCAAAAGTGACAAAAGTGGTCGACATTTGCGCGATGAACTCGGGGGTGAAGAAAGACACTGTCTAAGCAATGGACGCTGTGCTAAACGAGCACACAATGGCGACACTCAAGACCGGTTCATCGTGGATATAGGTACAAACACTGAAAGACGTTCTAAAGAAGAATCACACTTGAACAAAGACCATCAATTGCGCCTCACCTTTTTTTTTTTATTTCTATAAGTAATATCTAGAACAAACAGTCGCCCTAACGACATCTAAGTGCATGAAGCGAACTTCAGTCCTCCCAAATATTTTGCCGCCTCCGATGATATTTTTAGATAGCGAACGGAGAGAGCGTCTGTTTACAGTTAATAATATCACTATCGGTGTAGTATTAGATTGATGTATTTATTATTATTAAATTGAGACGGGCAAACTCGTTTTCGCTGGGCTACTTCTGTGTAGCTTCCTTTTCGTAATAGCCCTCGTTTGCGCGCAAAAAAAGAAAAGAAAAAGAAATATGCTAGGCCAAGAAAATGTTAGAAAATCAATTGTGATTGGAAAGAAAGACAAGTGATTTTGAATATAAAGAAGCAATAGTAATGACTATTTAATTTCCAGGTAAAATACTTTTGGATGTAAGCCAAACTAAACCGAACAGCGTGCATCTCCCATAAAGAGCTCTAGCAGACGCCCCTATAAAAAAATAGAGCGGTCACTTTCCGACAACTCATCAAATGCATGGCCCCCAAAGGGCCGCACCTCCGTCCTTATAATGTACAGTCTACGACACAATTAGCGCGAACGCGGAGGCGTCTCCTCCAGCAAGACTGAGAATCTTCCCCTTCCTCCTTTCGCGTTCGTGAACGGCAACTGATTGATACCTACACGAACTCCACGCGGCAAGACAGTCCACACGGCACCTAAGCGTGTAGTCTTTGGATTTGGCTTACTTCTTTTAAGCTCCAGGTTTATCTGTTTAGTTCCCCTGCATGTGCGATAAGCTGAACCATAACGACCGATTACGCATCCACGCGCTACATGTGCCACGGACTGTAACGTACTGGCCCCACCAATTTCACAGGCCACATTTGTGATATTGGTGGGCTTACACTCACTGCATTTTGTAGATGACACCGACGTCAATTCTTTACCGCGAAGGATAAAAGACTGTAGAAAAAAAAATCTACAGATGACGATACAAATAAAAAAAAAAAAAAGAACGTGTCAAAGACCGCTACGCTTTAAATTTTCGACACAGCCGACCCTATACATAACCGCGGTAGGAGAAAAAGTGCCGTGGTTTCAAATGAGGCTTATTCTCCTGCGCTCCTAGAAATATGGCACGTGTCCCTCGCTGACGTCTACGTCACAACTCATCGCTTCCGGTTTTGAGCACCGGCGCATCCGGTCTGTTCAGCTCAGGTAGAACAGCAATACATCGCGCCTTCGGCGGTGCGACACGGCGCCACCTGCTGTGAGGGGGTACCGAGACTCTATCTAACGTTGGTATACTGACAAGATGAGAGAAGGACCGTAGCTTCAAGATGGCTCGAAGTTCCAGAAAATACGTAGGAAGTTAGGACTTCAGCCCTTACTGCCGTTGCTCTCAAGTACGAAAACGTATGGCACCCCCTCAAAAACCGGACATTGTCGTTCGCTGTGAGCTCGCAAGTACCCGAACAGGGTGACCATTTCATCCCCGAAAGTCACAACACCAAACACGGCACACGGGGATTGAGCGTAACAGGTTAAAGTCGAGGTGAAAATATTTTCGTAACTAAGTAACCACCAGGACCACATCTACGACGACACTGCAAGGTACACTTCCCCACTCACGTCCACATTGCATACTGGACTGAGTAAGTCAATATATATACATATATATTTACAGCTTCGTTAGAAAATGCGGGTCATTCGAAGTTGCCTTAACGGCCCCGGTTGAAACGTTGAGCACGATTCGTTTATTTCGCAGGAATTGCTGCATCGCTGAACAGATTACCAGGTCACGAGCGTGCATTCTCCACATGCTCCCCAAATACAGACATCGAGCAAATCTCCGAGCAAATCTCCGTCGACGTCTCCTTGATCGAGCCCGAAAAAAAGAAAAAAAAAAAACAACAGGTGCAGCATTCGATAGATATCGCGGAGATATATATACACACATACCACACGTATATCATAGTATCGTTTTCTCTACACGTGCTACAAAACAACCTTACGTTTCCTCGTTAATGCATCCGGTGCGGGCATCTCAACGCGATCTCGCCAGCTAGGTGCATTGCATTCGCATAATTTGCATAGCGAAGAATAGTCGGCGGTTTCAGCCTTAGGTACAGAACAGCTCTATACGATGCTCGCGCAACGGTTGGCAATGATGTAAATGACTATAACAGCTGGCAGCTACCGATCAGGAGGCAAGCGTGTACGTCATGTATATGCCACGCCCGACTTTTGGTAAGATGTCGACGACTTGTATAGTTAACGCTTACCTAGCCCGCAAACCAAGTGAGCAAACACCCAGTTCAGCTCTAAACACACCGAAAATACACCCCCCCGGCCTAGCCGGAATTTCTTCGAGAAAATCGCACATCCTACAGTCACCATTTTTTTGTTGTTGTTTTCGAACCACTGAACCATTAAGGACGATGGAACGTCGACTCATGGCGGAGATGAGAAATCTGAGCATAGAGCGATGTAAAAAATGCTCACATTTTCTCTTTTAACGAGTTGTCTCTGACTCGTACTGGATTACGGATGGGAGCGTACCGTTTAAAGGTCTTTACGGTATGAGTTACGTGAATTCGTTACCAGTCGTGCTGGCGTTTAATGTAAGGCGAATTTGAATCCGCCATGACCCTCACTGCAATGACAGGTCGCGTACTATTAGAATAATAACTACGAATGCTGAGAACTCATAATGGGATCAAACTGGGATAGTCATAGCTCATAACGGACTCCTGTTTAACATCCTGTAATACAGTATGAGCGTAACGTTTCATGACCACTCACAACTGGTCAGGATATATCGTCTGGGCGGTACGTATTTCGCCCGTTCCTTTCTTCGAAGATCGTTCCTTTGCGTGCGTGTAAAGGCAAAGTCGTTGGCTGGCATTTCATTATCGATTATTCGAGAGGACAGTATGATTCTCAAGTTTCTAAGCTTGCACTATATTCTCTATGAGAGTGTATCACATACGCTAGGATTCAGGTCACGATTAATCTCAGGTCGTCGTCATCGCGTTCGCTTTGAAATGCAGAACTGAAATGAAGGAAAACGGGAGGTTCAACGGGGTGTGCTGGAGTCCGGATGCGTGTAACATGCTTGCACCTGACAAACACATAGAGTCCCCCTCCTTCTAAAAATAGAAATAACAAAAGGTGATGATCAGCATGGTGAGTGCCCTTATAGAAGAACGCAGAATTCGGCTAACAACTTTTCCAATAAACCTTTTTTTTTTTTGCTAAAGTGTCTCGATTAGCTAATAAATGGTCACATTATCGTTTCTCTTATGAGAAGTTCCTCTTCAAAATAAAATTCCGATTAAAATCTGCATTTTGAGTAACTTCGTTTTTCCTTTTTTTGTAGATTTTTTTTTTTTTTTAATTTTACAGATATTCCCCAATTTGTGAAACTCCCAAACAAACTCCGCCTGAAAAAAAAAAAAAAAAGTTTCCGTATATTAGTACATTGTAAGAGATCAAAATAAACGAGGCGCAGAGGACATCAAAATACTACAGCGAGACTGTACAAGGTTGGCAGCGCAACCACCCAAACCGGACAAAACTTGTTTCGTCCGGATTTAATCGAAAGGCTGCAACAAACGGAATTACCCTTTTCGCGGGTACTACAATGGTGTCCGCCATGATTGGGTACACGATAACTGGGGTAAATAAAAAAATACCAAATCATGTGTGTGTTTGCGTTTTTCAATTGATACATAACATGCCCAAATAGGCGACGGCTAACGGGTTAACTTTACAAAAGAAAAGCCGCGAGTCAGCGAGACTGTGCATATATCTTGCATAATCTCAGCCAGTTCTAAAATATTGTAACTTACGTCAATGTCATCAGGTCCTCAGTGGCTGCCATCTCGGCCCTTTACCGCGTGACTCAAACTTTGTACACTGTGTTTTATGTATGGATGGTTATGGGCGTGCATTTGTGCCGAACATTTTCTTTGAATTGAGAACCTATAGAAGAGACATTTTTACTCGTGCGAACGCGCCCCAGACGGTGAATGTTCAAAACTGTTTCGGAGGCAAAGCTGCAGCGGCAATGATGGCATAGTTAGCTTGCATACCTGCGTTCGCCACAGTCCAGTCCATGACTTATGCGAGATTCAGGTAGTGGAGACACCCGCGTTTCAAACATGCGATTTGCTCTTTCATCAACTCGCTCTTAAAATACGGGCCGGACTCCAGACGTTTTGTTAATCTCATACTAGTAATTGGCAGTCTTCGCTCGTTCTTTTCTAAAAATAGAACTACGTCATGAGATTCCCCTAGTCAGGCAATGCAGTACAGCTGCACAAACAGAGCCACCACATGCACACACACATACACACACACACAGCTCTCTTTTTGGTAGTACACCACATAGACTCGCCGAATCCTGTCCCCTGTGGCACCGCATAGTGAAACGACATCACACTACAACGGCGGCAACGGAGCGATCGGGTCCGGAACTCGACACCGAGCGTTCGTAGACACATCGATTGAACACGAGTCGAATGCTGACGCGTTACTCCCGAACAAAAAATGTGTCCATGTGCGTTCAAAGCCCAATGCCATCAACATCTGAGGGCGCAGACCTTCCTAGTCTAGGTGGTGTTGTCCGCTCTGTCATAGTTTTCCTTGGTATCCTTTGCTGTTGTTGTGTCAGCCAACCTTGTGTCACTAAACGGTAGCTACCACGTGGTTGGCTTGCATTTTGAAATTCACGTTTGAGTGGAGATGAAGAATAAAATGAGAGACTTGAATCTTGCACAGACCTGTTTTGTACTGCCCAGTAATGCAGGCGCTTTCGCAGTGCTGCTGATACACCCAGCAACACCTATGACATCACGCCAAAACTGGCGCGTAATGAAAAACTTTCTTTTTTTAGAGTTAAGTATTTGAACGTGCGCAGTTCCACAACCAGAGCTGCTGCCTCAACGCGAGGTCAGAGACATGAGTTGGTCTGCGGCATAAAAATCGAGTGTTCGGAGATAACCAACACAAACATAGTACTACGTTATGAGGGTTAATAATCCCAGGTTAGTAGCCAACTGCACTGATCAAATTGCCCACCTACAGCGAAGACACAAGGCTCCATTTCAAGGCCGACGTATGTTTCACGGGGAATTTAAATGCCTTGAGAACAAAAGCTTTTAGAGAATCGGCGCATAAGCTCGCGATTTTCATTCTGCGCGTGTTCTTGGGCGCCCTCATTCGCCGAATCTATAAAGGCAGTTGAATTGCCAGTAAAACTTTTAACAAAGCTTTCATGTAAAAAAATACTCGTTTTAGTAACAACTCAATTAAGGTCACAGCAGCTCACCGGACTCAACAAGGTCTGCTAGCGCACATGCACCTTTACCAGACATACCCTCGAACCAGCAACTCGGAAGATTTGCTATTTTTGCATCGCACAGGAGTAACCACCACGAACACGCGCACACACGCAGGAAACAAACTCATCATTTTGCGGTGGACAGAGAAAGACCGCAAACGGTGAGCATAGAACATGGCGGCGATTGGCTGACGTGAGCGCAGGCGCGGGGAGGTTCACTTGCGGCCTCCGGGGTCGTTGGCCTTGGCTGTGATGCCCTTGGTGCCCGCGAGCACCCTGTCCAGGAGCGACTGCTTGGAGCGTCGCCAGTGGGCGTACACGTCCCTGCAGAGGTCGGCGAAGGCCTGGGCAACCTGGAGCACCTGCTCCGAGGCCGTGAGCTCGACGAAACCGTCGTCAGAGTCCTTGGCCAGGATCTCGCCTTCTTCGGTGCTCACCTGCGGACACGGCCGAGGCTCGGCGAATGAACGAGATATAATCCGGACGTGTTCCGGGAATTATCTGGAGATGATTTGGAGGGGCTCGGGAATGATTCAAACATGATCTGGAGGGGTTCCGGGAGCGATCAAGAGATAATCCGCAGTGGTTCTGGGTATGTTCAAGAGGTGATCCGAAGGGATCCCTGGAATTATTAAGAAATGTCCTGGAGGGGTTCGGGGATGATTCAGACATTATCTGGAGGGGGTCGGGGGCGGCCAAGAGATGGTCTGGAGAGGTTTCGGGAAGAATCACGAGATGATCCGGAAGACCTCATAGATAACAAGGCCAGCACTGAATTTGCTGTGCCACCGACCAAGGGCCAGCATAGGTCACAAATTAGACGCGAGAATCCGCGTAAAGGTTGGACTATAGGGCTCGTTGAACGCGAGTTGCAGCCGAACACTGACGTCGCACTCGTGGTCAGTATGTGTCCTGCGCTGGCCCCCAGTGGGTGACGCATAAATTCAGCGCTACGGCCCTGTTATGTAGGTGGAGTTGCAAGAACGCGAGCGAGCGAGAATAAAGAAGACATTGGCAAATATTTTTTTCCACGAACAAGGTGCTGTTTGAGCATTGGCCTTTAAACTAATTTCGTCCCTTCAACCATAAGGGACGACTTCACACAATTTTCTAGCAGAAAAAAAAAAAGAGCAGTCCCGTGTAAATTCACAGTGAAGTCACAGCGATAGCTGAGAAACCTTACCGGACCCTAATGTGGATCTTTTGTATCTTACACCTTACGTGGAGGAACCGCCGCCAGTGTCTGCTTGGAGAGTGACACACTCATCTATAACCATCATACCATGTAGATAAATGGTGTCACGTGACTACACTAGTAATCGCCTCAATTCACGACGTCATGTGATACCATGTCACGTGGCACCGTGATGTCATAGACACCGTGACGTCACGATATCGTGTAGTTGATCCACGCGAGGGACCGTGCAGAGGAAGAGCTCCCGGACCTGTCTGAGGTGTATGAGGTCCGCCTTGTTGGCCACGATGCAGACGGGCGGCGGGCCCACGGGGTGCATCGGCGTGGCCCCCGGAGCGCTTCCTCCGGCGGCCTGGGCGGCCCTCTGCAGGGCCGGCAGCGCCGTCTGCAGGTGCTGCCTCAGCAGGCGCAGGTAGCGGAAGCTGGACCGGTCCACGATCGAGTAGACCAGCATGAAGCCGTCCGCCCACTGGAGCACGTCGTCGCGGGGCAGCTCGTCCTCGGACTGCGGTGCGACGGGAGGGGGCGGCAGGACGAAGGAGACGAGGCTTACGACAAGTCCTTTCACCGTACATGACTCGCATTAGTGTTCGACGTCACGTCAGCAGCTACTCTAGAGGTAGCCTCGCTGCTGAGCGTGAACCTTCTGCAGCACACGTTTAGCGCGCTATCCAATCTGTTTCTGACGGTAAGAACAGGATATGGGAATGACGCAGAACGACCACACCAACCAATCAGACAGCGTCAAAAACGCACCATCATGGTGTTCCTCTTGTTTGTGTACGAGTTCTATCATCGCTGAAGCGATCATAAACAGAAAAAGGCCTGGTGACTCGCGCTTTTGACGCTGCTTGATTGATTTAAAGTTCGTTGATGAGAGCTTCTCGCTAGTAGCGACATTCTTTGAAGCGCCGACTGCGTGGCGGTGCAGGGTTTAGGAAGCGAATGGCGGCGCACAGCAGAGGACTGAACTCAATGACGCCAATTTGTTCCAGCGGATAGTGCTTTGTCATTTGTACCGCTCGTCCTTACTTGTAAAAAGAAGTATCGACGGACTTTAGATTGATCTTCTTAGCGCCTAGTGTCGGCTGCGTCGATCTGGACTTAAAAGGGGCACTGAACCAAAATATGGATTTTGCAAAATACGATCTTCCAGAAGCGTGGAACGGGACGCCACGCAAAACATCACTCATACATCGATACCTCAAACGGATGGCCGCACTTTCGGAAAAGAAGGGCGCGATCAAGCGGGGTCTTTGACGTAATTGTCCTCCGGGAGAATTTGAGAATGAGGGGAAGCGGCCTCGCTTCTCTCCTCCTTGCTTCCGTTCACCTGCTCGACGGGACGTAGCGAGGAGGAGAGGGAATGGGAATCGTGACGTGCCTTGTCTCGTCGGCCTCGTCTGCCGTATTCAATCGCGCACTCCTTTTTCACAAATACGGCGATCCGTTAGAGATATCGCTGTATGAGTGATGTTTTCGAGTTTTGCAGCGGCCCGCCTATCCGTCCAGCCTTGTTTTGTGAGTTCGGAATGTCGCTTACGATCTGCATCTTTTCAGCGCCTATCATTCGGGGAAAAAAAATGTCACTGGGCTGTCGACGCATGCGCGGCAGTCACTCAGAAGAGAGCCACAACGCATGCTCAGAATCCGTTCCATTGCCCCGAAGATGGCAGCGCGCGGAAGATCGGAGGCCAAAGCTAGAGGAGTCCAAATGTGTCATGTGACCGCGCGATGCGAACCGGCCGAAAGGGCCAGCACACCGTGGCACGCCTCGCAAAATTCCATTTTCCAAACGTATGCGTACCTGAAACTGGGCACGGGAGCGTCGTTTCGCAAAACAAAAAAAGTGTTATGTCTACTTTTTTACAGCCGAGTTGTTAAGGGCTAGGTTCCCCAGAATCGTGTTTACCAGCAAAAAAAAAAAAAAAAAAGAAATGATGACACCGAACTTTGGACAGTTACCGCCATCTATGAACGACGGCGGCAACCAGACAACTGGTTGCCGCTGTCGCTCATAGATGGCGGCAACCTTTCTTCGGAGGAAAAAGAACGGGAGCGGAACGAGCAGCGACGTGCGCAGCGGCGCGAATGGTTCCGCAACCGCCGCGAGGCCGCTATCGCCTCAAGTTCCACTGCGTCGAGCGCTTCAGATTCCCTTGCGAAAGAAGAGCAGATCGCTCGCCTGGAAAGCCATCGTCGAGAACAGAAGCTAGAACTCCGCCGCTTTCCCTTTTTCACCAGAGTGGAAAGGCTAAAAGTTTTTTTTTTAGAACTTAATTTGGAGCTGGTGAAATTTAAAAAAAAAATAGAGCCTTCGTCTGCGTCGCAAACTCGCTCCCCGGTAACGTGGCAAACGCAAAAACACGCGTTGAACGTCACAGGAAGAGTTGGCGACGAGCGGGATAACCGCGATAAATAACGATTCGAATTATAAATGAACGATGATGCAGTTGCAGTTCGCATTTACAAACAAACAAACTTTTCTGTTTGATAAAAAGAAATTCTAAAGCAGACGAACGTTGTTCCATTCCCATTCTCCCAATACCCAAAGGTTGGGAAACTTCCAAAGAGCCTGGATTTTATAGTTCGCCATACCTGGCGTGGAGAAATGTTGTCCGTATCGTCGAGGCACAAGTCATATAGTCGGTGACAGGTCAAGAAGGAAGTGGAAGGTCCTCCTATCCCTTTCCACTTTCGCAGAGCGAACCCTGGAGAGGAGGTCACCTCCTGCCTAGCGTTCGCTCTGCTGAAATGGAGAGGAGTGGAAGGACCTTCCACTTCCTTCTTGACCTGTCACCAGTGGCGTCGGAAGTATTTCTGAGGTGGGGGGGGCAACGGAATTGGGGTGGGGTGGGCGGGGGGGGGGGGGGGGATGAAGCATCTAGAACAATATGGATATATAAAATCGAAACGCTCACAAACGTTTATTTAGAACGAATATATGTCCTCCCTCTTTTGGAATGTGGTGATCTTGTTTTTCTCCCATGTTGACGTCTTCAAACAGCGTGAAATAAGAAAGAGCTCACTGGTGCCCGAAAACGGTTCGTCGTTCAGCCGCCCTCGACACGAACTCTCTGATGATAGAGTTCAGATCAAGTTTTGCTGCTCGCTCACTATTTACGTGCAGCACCATCACCTGAGTCAGTCGCTTTTGTGACATGGTAGCTCTGAGGTAATTCTTGATACGCCGAAGTGCGCTGAAACTTCGTTCAGCTGATGCCGCTGACACTGGCACTGTCATTATAAGTGCCGCAAGGCGCATCACCTCAGTCATCATCCTCTTGGGCTCTGGGACTTGTCTGCCCAGAGCACGGCACAACTCGGGTACGGAGCCGATCTGACCGCCTGAGAGCGAGTGAACCATGTTCAGCTGCCTTGAAAGGCTTTCCAGGTGAAAATCAGTAGCGTGGGATCCTAACTTTCTTTCAAGTTCTTCTGCAGTTTGTGGCTTCTCTTGAATAGCGCACAAAATTATTTGCTCTAGTTGTGCGAGACTTTGCATGCCTGGTTGCTTGAATCGTCTTGCAAGCTCGGCGCGGACACAATCTAACGCTTCGTAGAACTGCTTCCGAAGGCCTGTCTCCGCGTCTAGAAACGCTGGTTGATAGGGCTCGCTGCTGTGTTCGAACCTTCTTGGAGGACCGCATCGCGTGGTCTTGTTTGAAGGGGCCTTTAGCTTATGCTTCTTTGCTGCCCCCTCTGTACGTTCGTACACTTCTTGGAAACCACTCTCCTTTCTTTGCCTTGTCAAGTGTGCTTCCAGGACCTCCGTCGCCCTCAGCGCTCCTCCCACAGAAGTATCTGGCTTCTGCAGTGATGTTTCAAGTTCTTCGCACGGTCCAAATATTGTGATGGCGCAGTTGAGACCAAACACGGCCTCGAACTTCTGCATTTTCTTCAAGAAGCCGTGTATTGCTGCCTTCTTGTCGTCTCGCGGATACCCCTTGTCATTCAAAATATCTTTCAGGGTTAGTTACACCCTTTCGTAGTTCTCGACGAAGCGCATCGTCGCTTTTACTCGAACAACCCACCGGGTGGGGCACAGGGGAAGCAGCTTGGATACTTTTCCACTGACGATGGTACCTTCTTCGCTTTTGTGGCCTCGAATAACTAATCCCATTGATGATGAATATCATCATGTCACTCGTAATGCGAGAAATTCATGCCCGCGAAATATCTTAAAAATCGCACTCTGAGAAATTTGCGAAATATCGAGCTCGCGAGCCGCCATTACTAAAAAATCTCTGGGGGGGCGGTCGCCCCCCCTGCCCCCCCCCTGTTCCGACGCCACTGCCTGTCACCGACGATAGTATTGTGAGAGTTTCATCAACGGGGCTATAAACGAAAGAATGAAACGATTTTATCGCGTGGCTTTCTCTGTTGCTGCGGCCAAGCCTGGATAGTTTCCGCAGACACGGCATCTATTAATCTCGCCGACTAGTCGAACCGAACGGCTGAAACCTAATTAAAATTAGACGGAAGGTCGGCGCCATCCCTAATAGCAACCGCAAGTAGAGGAGTGGATTGAAATGGATTGTGTTGGCCGTTCCCTTCGTAACGAGTGAACAGTTCCCGTACTCTGCTCCAGTCAACGTAACTGTACGTCTCCCACTACTTCTTGCTCTCCTTATCGGGTGGCTCCTCCCGATAATGATGGTGCCGAGGCTGTTTCTTTCGCGTCAGGCAAGAGCTCGAACTGCGTCCATGGACACAAAAGCATGCGTCGACATTCTTTCGTGAACTTTGGTCCAATATTACGCGCTTCGCCGCGGTGAGAGCGATCTTTCCAAACTATATATCGCGATCGCCCATATGTGCGGCTTCGAGAGTTTTTTCTTTGTTCACCGAGGGGGGCAGAGAGTGAAGCGTGCTCTCACCCTTGGACAGGTGTCGAGGATCTCGAAGACCACTGGCTCTCCGTCGACCACCATCTCGCTCTTGTACCGGTTCTCTACAACGCCACGTTAAGCAAAAAAAGAAGAAAAGTCAGAGAGATTGTAAAAGCAACAAGTCACTCCGCTCGTATAGAATCGTACGAAAACACACGGAGTTCTCTGGGAACATTTATCCGCGGAGACGCCTCAGACAGAGTCTGCAGGCTGTCCTTTGTACGATGTAGTAGATGTGCGACCGCGGACCAAAATCTAGTTTCATTTCAGCTGCTCTCGGGCAAACGTACTTGTTTACAAAACGTCCAGTTGTCCTGTACACAAGGCTCATATAGTTCCAAACGTTCATGTACCCCACAAAAAAAAAAAAAAAAATAATAATAATAAAAAAAATATAGGGTCACGATATATTTTGTTTTTCTGTTTTTACCCTCGCGAGTTGGAATTTGGTCTTCCATTAATACGGATGAAGCTTATGTATGAGAAGATAAAAAATAAAAAAAGAAGCCTTTGACGTATGAACTTCTTCAGAAATGTTCTTTACCCCCGCGTATACAAATCGCGTTCAATGTGAGCTGAAACACGTCCTTCTTTGCTTCTTTTCCAGAGAGCATATGTGCTCCGGAATGGAATGCCAAGTTGAGGTCCCATATACATCGAACAATTCACAGATGACAGAACTTGTAAAAACCGCAGATGAAAAAAAAAAGTGTACATCCTTGTTAAGGTTTGCCACAGTTGTTTTGGGGCACTCTACAACACGAACTGTTTGATTAAGAGGGTGCAAAACCGAAGACTGCTTAAAAAAGACAAATAACCTCCATAAAAAAACTTGCTTTTTTAAATGCATTGATATACGACACCCGTGTCAGAGAACAAACTCTACTCCGAAAGCAAAAGTTTTAGCGGAATAATAGACCTTTTTCTTTTCCTTCAAAAGTACATGGAGCAACATTGGAGTTCGCCATTTCTTGAGCACGAAAGAGGGGGGGGGGGGGGGGGGGGGGGGGTAGCGTTAAAAAGTATTTCGTGCTTTAAAATGACGTAATCCGCGGGGTCAGATTGCTCGCTACCGCGGGAGGTCGTGCTTGGCACTGGCTCGAGGATGCCGATGGCCGACGGTGAGCTCATAAAGTTTTGGACAGCCAACATGACGGCGGAGAGGCCGCCACGTGCCCTAAGGCAATCGCTGCATATATATATATAAATGCGGTTTACGTTCACTTATGCACAAATTAGGTACGATAAGTAAATTCACGGGACAAAATGCCATAAAAGTCCGCTCGTAACTCCGATTCTTTGAAAAATGCTTCGGCTTCTCTTTGAGGCACAGGCTATGGGCGCTCGTTCAATGTCCCTAAAGGAGGAGGAGGGCGTCAGGATGAAGCTTACCCGTCTGGTGATCATACTCGCCGATGTATCGCTTCGTTAGAAACCTAACCACAAGGGCTGAAAGAGAGAAAAAAAACATTATAATATTATGTAAGAACAAAATTGATGAGAGACGTGATAGGACAAAAATTGTATGGACTTGAAGCGACGAACTCGTTTGAATTAGAAACAAAACAATTCTTGCAAAGACATTTTTATATTATGCTAGTTTATTCGTTGTTGAAAAATTGTTTGTAGAGTCTGTATGATTGCATACGAACGCAAAAAGAAGGTAGAAAACATAAGTTTCCATTAAGAAAAAAAATATCTTATGATGTAGGCGCAAATTTCCGTAAATAGTTTAGTTCGTCAGTTTTCAGTTGCTCGATTACAGGAACACGAATTGTTATTGAACCATAAGTAAAGTTTTAACTAGGAATCCCAACACGAACAACAAAATGCGTAGATATAGCAATAATGAGGTACTTAAATAAACAGACCAGCGCAAATAATGTTTTAAATGACAAAAATAGACGTTCGGCCATGCCTATGTGGCACATGATAACCGCTGTTGGGTTTCCGAACACCGCGAACAACAGCGGCCAGGGTCGGCGGTGTTTTGCAAAGCGAAGACATGGCGGGCCGGACGAAAATCCGGGGGGGGGGGGGGGGGGGGGGGGGCGACCAGCTCACAAACATAACAGATAAAATGTGAAGTGAACTGTTACGCTCAGTGCTGCGCGCTATATTTTGTGTGGCCTTCGAACTCTCGAAGCAGCAAGTTCTGCCTCCATAAGTCTCGCAGAGCCACGTAGTTCTGATTGCAAAGTTCAATGACCGAGAAAAACTGAAAACCACTAAGTGTTACCGTCCAATTTCTCTTTGTAGTATGGACTATTAGAATTGTTGCTAAACGTTTGACCATTTGCTTGGTTAAAATCCTCAAAGTAAACCCCTGAGTGCGACAAAAAAAAAAGTTGAAATTGACAATGGTATGAACCGCGATTTTGAACGAAAACTATGCTAAACACGGCGACCTTAATTATCGATTTCCAATGCATCACTGTGTAGTGCACAACAGTTTCTAGTAGATAATAAATCGATCTCTCGGTTGGCCACTTCAGAGTCCAATACGTCCAATTACACCAGGCTTGCAACCAGCAATAATTCTTGGGACGTTAGTCCTGGAGTGTTCGTGTGTTTAGCGTGCCAGGGGGCGCGTACTATTTCTCGCCGACCCCTCATTAACGTCCAGATATCATAAAACACACACAAAGAAACTGCACCTTTTTTTTAATCAGTGGTGCGGCCGACATGGCATACAAAAACTGTACTTTTGCGGCGCGTTCGGTCCTTTGGGTGTCGCAGCGGAGTAGCCAGGAATCACTGCCCCCCCCCCCCCCTTTCCACCCTCCTCTCCCCCAAATTATTCCACGGGGGTGTTGTACCTGGTTGAATATATATTCTGCGTGCTATCTTTCCAGGGGATTACTCTAATCAGAATAATGCGGGCAGTGTGCGGGAAAAAATCAAACAACAACATAGTTTGATTTATTTTTCTAGGCATCGCTATAAAGGGGCGACGTTACGGAAGCTTGTGTCTCTACCGGTGGCGGGCGTGGCAAAAGGTGGAAGGAAAGGCTCGGGGTGTATTACGCTGCTGGGTGATTTCAGATGAGTTGGAGCAGAAAATGACTCGTCTATCTTGTCGACGTATTTAATTCACTCGATATTTTATACCCGACTGCCCAATTTATTCTGTAAATAAACCCAAAAATAGTTTTGCCTAAAAAAATCTTTATTCATAAAAAAGTTGTAGATCACGAAGAGGTGGACACTCGCATCTAGGCGCACCGCCGGTGTGGCTATGTGGGGTAGTAAATAACGTTTTTAAGTTATTTACTACCAAGTTAAATGGGACGAGGTTTTAAATACTCTATACAAAGATTTTCAGCTCAAAAAAGGTAAATCTAAAATCCCTTCAAAATGTTCCGACAAAAATGGTTTAATGTGAAAAAGTTGCTCGAGAGAAAAAGTTTGTCATATTTATTTTTTTAACATAATCCCAAATAGTTTCAACTTAACTAACCCTAGTAAACCGTTTTGCGTGCGTTATACATACAAATATCGACAATATATGACGCTGTATTTTTTATTTTATTTTTTTTCTGGAGCCCTTAAATCTGTGTCAACACGCCACTAGGAAAGTCGTCTCCATCTCCTCTCAATTTTTTTTAAAGTAACAGGCAAAAAAATAAAGGTTTTATTTTATTATGTGGAAATTATTTGTTACCTCGTAAAAATATACTTTAAAAAAATTAAAAACGACAGACACCCCTCCCAGGAAAGGGTAACAACCCGAAGTTCGGCTCTGCCGCATGCGTTGTTAATGTGCGGTGAAGCCGAACAGATCCCACGCAGGGAGCAGCTCGGTTTCATCGGACTGCTGGCCGTCGATCAAAAAGCGAGCGTTGCGTAGAATAACAGCACAACTGGGGAGTTTACAATAACATTTTTCACTCTAGATCTTATTTGCTAGACAAATACATCGGCAAGAATACTTATTTTTTGTTTAACTATTTTAAGCGTACTTTTTTTATGCTTCTTACGTCGATTGACGAGCTATTTAATGTTTGCTGAGGTGCGCTTTGGAAAGAGGCGGACAAGAATAGCCTGACAGCCAGCTCCTCGAGAAAGCTTTCAACACGAAGGCGATATTTTATTGTTAAGTTTGTGGCTTTGCGGCTCGATCCTTTGTTCTTGTTGTCGTTTCTTTTCTGAAGCAAACAAACTCGACTCCGAACACAAAAACGAAACAAATATTGACCCTACGTTTCGCAGACTGCATTTCTCCAGATCTTTTGTTAGCGTTACGCGGAGTTGATACACGTTATTTAACGTAATAAGTAAATATTAAATAAACTTCATTTTTCATTTTCCATTACAGGTAATGATGAGAAAGAGACCCATCATTACCTGCAATAATCGAGGGATGTAACATCCCTCGATTATTACTACAACGACGATTGGGACAAAATAATGGAATGGAATGATGGAATGGGACAAAATGAAAATGACGAACAAGATGTCCCCGTCCTTCGCACAATACGTGATGCCGTTTATGTCGTTTTACGGATATAATGTGCAGTTCAGTTAGTTACGCGCTGCGTATATTGCGGTTGTGTTGTTTCTATGCTCATGTGCCCGTTGTGTTCTTTTAGTAGACGATATAGTGTCAAGAGCTTGGTATATTATACATTATGTATTGCTATTAAAATTTAAACGTGCATTGCACAACATAGCGATGAAAGTCACTTAAAGTATACTAATATGTGCACCGTCTGATATTTCTCGGTGATTTGGCTTTTGTAGTAGTCATTTCAAAAATGTTAAAAAAAAATACAATTTGTTATTATAAATTTGTATATTAGGAGATTGCCATTAACTAGGCCTATTACAGGGACGGTGGAACTCGAAAAATAATATCAAACCTTTCTGGATGCAAAATTCATCTGGTTCGCTCATTTTGTATACATCAATAAAGGTAATATTTAAAAAAAAAGCAACAAATGTCTTATGAAGATTTTTTTGTCATCGTTACATCTAGACGTTTCAATAGGTTCAGTTAAGCTACGTAAAAGAAACAAAAATCGTAATAATAATTTAGTCAGCCCATTTTTTCTCAAGCCTATACCAATCTAAATAGCTAGACAGTGACGGTAATACCTGACAGTAAGAAAAAAAAAAAGGCAACACCAGAAAAAATAAAACATTAAGTTCACTTTGTCGAACACAACGTTACGAACAGAAAAAGGTAGCGTAATCGTTGTATCATTAACCTTCAACGAGGCTAATGATTAGATGCACCTCGCTGTCCCAAAAATAATGAAGAAAGGAGAAAAAAATGCACAGGTGTTTTAAATGGCTTTGCCAAAGCATTTCCCCTCACCAACGATAATTGACTGGTTTTCTTAATGCGCTCGCGCTAGAAACGAGCCTCAAGACAACCCGACCCACCAGAGTAGTTCAGGGTTTACTCATCAAACCGAGAGAGCTCAATTCTGCCAGAAATTCGATGCGTTGATTGTGCACCGAGCCTCGGCGAAGAATCAGAGGGTCGAGGATCGCTAAGCCTAAAACCAGCAACGATGCGAAAAGTCTCGACTCACCACTTTTGCCTACTCCAGTCGCACCGAGGACGGCGATTTTCACCTCGGAAATCGTCGACTTCTTTCTGCGGATGCCGCGGATCGCGTTCGAGCTCATTTTCAAATCCCGGGCCTCAGCTCATCCTCTTCTTAATCCGTGTTTAATCCAGGGAACCCTCGCATCCGTCGTCTGCTGGAGGGTATTGGCACACTCGTCTGCTCACGAAGAGACGCTCAAGAGCGATGCTTGCCGGATCTGGATCTAGCGACGTCACGTCCGGTGGCCGCATCTTCCATGTGCCGCGTTCAATTGTTCGGGTCTCGAAACCTTCGGTGTTCGTGAAACTTCGAGCTACGACTTGCATAACCTCGTTGGACTTCGAGTACTTTGAGCCTTCAAATACTTTGAACTTCGAGCACTGCAAGGTAATGTGGAGTAATTCAACACACCCCCTGATTCTCTGTGGTTTCGCTTTCACCACAATAACTTTCCCAATTTTATTGAAATCTTGCAGTTTACCCTAAATTTCAAGTATATAAGTGAGATATAGTTAATGTCTTTATTTAAATTTTAGTATCGTTCAAAACAACGTTTGTTCAAACGGTTCAGTCGCGCTTTGGCGCGGTTTCAAAATCTAGTCTGGAAACCATTGCAGCAGCAAAAAAGCCATTTCAAGATGGTGGATTACAGCAAGTGGAAGACCATTGAGGTGAGCTAAAAGAAACACTTCCGCGCAGTACCCGTGCTTATAAATACTCCGATTAAGTGTACTTACATTTCGTGGTCAGTCCACACACGCGCAAAAATCACGGTATTGAAACGAAAACATTAGAGGCCGCGTCTCCCTTCTTTTGTCCAACGGTCGTGCCCCTTGAGATTTTTCTAGAAAATTCGGATTCGACAGCCTTCGGTCGCTTGTATTCCTGGAGTTGTCGTACGCACCTAAAGAAAGCCCTATGTTTGTCTTCTACTGCGGTATTTTAGGGATTTTCAGTCGCTTCCAGTCGAGTCAACTGCTTTTGCTGTTGCTTCAGATCCAAACTAATCCTTCAAACACGGACCCTCGCCCAAGCGGCGACCTTTTCTTTGCCCACCCTTGGTGCATTGCTTTTAGTGTATAGTTAGCGCCCATACCACGTCGCCTGATTTCTTGCAATAGGATAAGTCCGAAGATCGCTTTCTGAGCTTGCAGGGGTTTCCGTTCTTTGACGTGTTGTATCTGTCCCATGTGCGCAGTTTTGTAGATTCTCGCGAGGTACCCTTGAAAACGGGTTCAGTGACTATCGCCAAATTCTCTAAATCTTTATCGGACACAGAGACATGCAGTTCATGTTGTCCGATTTGTTTTCTTCGAGCAGATAATTAGCGTATCGTCAACTAGCTGGGAATAATTCACCAGTGACAATATAGGGATCCAGCATACTAACATATATCTATAAGAAATTCTGAAGAGGGTCGGATATGGAGAGACAGCACTTACGTAGAGCTCACACAAACACCTGTGACATGTTGTTGAAAAAGATTATCTTCTTTTTCTAAGGCATTGGCACTTGCAGCTTCAAGAGTTTTGGGACATTGATATCTCTATTTACGCTTATATTTTTATCCCTGGAGGTAGGTTCACTTCGAGCAGGAAATCGACTGGCATGGTTTATTTTGGAGATAATATTTTAGGAAAAGTGTTCGATTACGAAGACGATGTCAAAGGATTGATATGTTGTTCCTAATATTGGTGACTAAGATTGTGGTAGAAATTATGTCAGATGATGACAGTTGTTACTGTTGCTTCTGTTGCGTGTCACTGTTGTCATTCTTTATTTTTTTGGAAATGTGGGCGTAGTGTAGGCAAGAAGACAAGTGTTTCAAACAAAAGATTGATATGACAAGTAAAATATAAGATCTAGCGAAGCAGCTTCATAATGAAGATGATAGCAACTATCTCTTATATTCATTCATTTTAAGAGGATCTAGTTGCAAAGAAGGCCTCAGCGAATGAAGAAGATTGATTGCTTATTATTAAGTATGTTACAGGCCGCGAGGGGAGCCGTGAAAAAGAGAAGAAACATCTTCGATGCATAGTAAAGACGGTAATAATAATAAGGAAGAATACAACATTTTAACACCAACATTTCACACTACATGATCAGGCTCGCAAAAATGCTAGATCATCAATAAACAAAAATAAAGGCACGCCGACGTAAAAGAAATCACAATGAAAGGTGCAACAATTAAACAAAACAACAAGTTCATACCCATGTCATGTCATTCACTCGTAACTGGTGCACGAAAGGTGTCGGATGACGAAGATGACACCCATCCCAACATCGACACCCCAAGCCTGTTCCGGTGGCGACACCAGGCCAGGGTGGAGCGGATGGCCGAGTTGGAGAGGGAGAAAGAGGAGTTCATGAAAAGGAAGGCCAAGTAAGTCTGGTCTCGGCACCCTCTGAAGTGACAGAACCAGTAAAAAGAAAAGAGCTCATCACCTACGTCTCCGCTACTGTGCGACCCGTCAAAATGATAAAATATTGTGGCACGTTTTTGTTTTTGAAAACAAAGTTGTTATCAAAGGCAGAATGCTCATACTGGAAGCAGTGCATCTACTGCATTCTTAATCTGTCACTGACTATGCGGAGTGCAAGTTCGTCTGCACAGGGGTTGCGATGATGTCAGAATGCCAAGCTCTTGCTGGCTGATCGAAAAAAAATGGTGAGTAGGCCTCAAGGCATCTAGAATTGAGGTCTACCCACTATGTCATTCTGACGTCACCGCAACCCCTGTGCAAGAAGTAGATGACTTCCTCTCTGCATAGTTAGCTAGCGAAGTGAAAAAGTCCTAATGGTGGACTATAAAACCTGTTGAAGTCTCGCTAAGCTTGTGCGTGATCACGTCCTAAAACAGAAATGATGCGCTGCTGCTGGAGGCTCGCAAGAAGCTGGAGGGCAAGACGGGGGAAGCCCTGGAGAGTGCCAAACGGGAGGTGGCCAAGCTCGAGAAGAAAGACAGGGAATTCCGCAAGGAGAAGGAGTCCCTCGACAAGAAGGAAAAAGTATGCCCGCACACAGCGTTCATTCGTCGTAACCGTTCCAGTGTTTTGTCCTCTCGACCACTTGGGGGCATTTTTGAGGGGCGTTTCTCAAACAATACACCGATCTCGCCTGTCCGTTTTGTCGTGCCACCCTTGCCGCCGCGCATTGTGGGAACCGTAATCTTTCTGCGCGCACAACAACCCTGCTGCGGGTCTACGCGAACAGAGCGCAAGTGGACACAACCTGTCTTGTGCAGTGTTGTCTGGTTATGGCAATGTCACGCATGCATGGAACGCTTAGCGAGATCAGTCTGTTCCTCGAACCTAACATTGGAGAGAAGTAGGGTGCCTTCTGACTGCTCTTGCGATTTGTTTCATCTGAAGTAGCCGCAACAATGAATTTTTTTTTTTCCCTCTCTTTTCTAGTTGACTCCCTGGAACGTGGACACCATAAGCAAAGAAGGCTTCACAAAGACCGTAAGTGGAGTCGAGTTTCTCTCACCTGTCACAAAATTGAGTTCTGCTCTACTAGAAATATGCGTAAGCCAGCTCCACAGAAAGGATACTCCCGCAGAATACTACTCTATAGCAGTATTGTTACGGTAGCTTTTTAGTGTTGCCTCGAAATGTGGAAAGGCGTCCTTCGTGATGCATATGAAATGCTGCGAGTTCTCTTGCACTGGAGGTCTTGGGTGAGACTAATCTGCTACACCAGGGGCCCCAAACACGCAACCTGCGGGCCGCAGGTTGTGTGAGTTTACAAAAAGCAGACAGCCCAAGGTTCCTTGTCTAGAAAATCTCGAGTGTCTCTGGGGCAGTCAGCTGCTTTGCAACGTGAAACACCACTGCTGTTTGTTTGTTTGTTTATATGTCTTGTCCAAAAAAAGCAAAATATTGCTCCCCCCCCCCCCCCCTCTTGGCCCTGGTCCTTTCGGGGGTGGACTATCTGGCCTCCACACTTGAATGAGTTTGAGACCCTTGTCCCACACCATAGGCATTTCTACAAAAACAATTTCGATGTCGTTGCCGTCATACGAGCATCAATACAAAAATCATCTTGTTCATTCTTTTTTGTTTTTTTTTCTAACCTTGGTGTGAACTTGTTTTTTGCACTCGGTTAATCTGTTTCGAGTAGATTAGGTGTGTCCCACTTTAACGACACGCGTGCACAACCTTTCCGCAGATTCTGAACAAGCCCGAACCCCGCAAGGAGGAAGTCCTTTCGGAGGAGGACAGGGAACGGAAACAGGTAAACCGTAGCTTGGGTCTTTCTTGGCATGGTCGGTGCTGCTATACTTCGTTTCGCAGTCCAAGTGCAGCCAACACTGCAAGCCAAGGGGGTCAAACAAGCGGCACCTGAAGCTTGTTTGACGTTACAGCGTTTGTCGTCTCTCTATGCTTTTGCGATTATCGGCTAAACCAGTCAAGTGCTGCGACTTTGCATCTTTAGTATGTGCCTGTGTTTGTATGTCTTCTGGCACTTGGCTCATGTCTGACTTTTGGTGAAATGGAGTAAAGTACTGATCGTTGCCGATTATGGCACATAATAGCCAGAGTGCGGCTGTGCCATCAGACACCTAATTTTTTTCAATTGTCGGAGAAACTGCTTGTGCCGCGCACCTCCGTTTCTTTGCTCTTCACCAGGAATGTTTCCATTTTAGCACAATGCTGGCAATATTTTTGGCTCTCCACATTTTATGCCTCTGTGGCATTGTGCAGACTCCTGTCGGTCGTGATGATTGGCCAGTCTGCATTCTCCACGGGCAGGGGCGGACTCACCAATAGGCAGAGTAGGCAGCTACCTAGGGCGGCAGAATTTTGGGGGCGGCCAATTCGTGATTGTTCCAAAAATTAATTGGCTCTTTTTTTTGTTTCTTTTTATCTAGTTTTGCATTTAACTAGTTTTGGAATTTTAGCTCCAAATCTAGCTACTTGTGTAAAGTTTAGCTCCAAACCTAGCTACTCCCCTCCCCCCCCCTCCCTCCAACCTCTGCTCCCCATGGTGTAGTGGGGGTGGCACTGTTAAAGGCTGCCTAGGGCGGCAAAATGTGAGGTCCGCCTCTGTTTGCTTAAAAGTGTACTCGGAGACTTTGTTCGTAAACGCCGCGTGTGTCACTCGGGAAAATTGCAGTTTACGCGTCATCCCAACGGAAAGGGAATGTACGTTTCTTTCGTCGTCCCTCGTTGCAGAAACAGTTTGTGACCGACAACGAGCCCCTGCTGAAGCAGCTCGGCATGCTACAGAAGTACGACGACAGCCGCCGCTTCCTCATGGAGCACCCGCACCTGGCGTGCGAAGCCACCGCCAACTACCTCGTCATGTGGTGCATGCGGCTCGAAATGGACGACGTGAGTTGGTCGGCGCGTTTTTTTACGCGAGACAGTCGCGACGGGTTTGATTGCAGGTACGGGTCCTAGAAGGCGTCTCCGTCCGTACCGAGTCCTTGTTTTCGGTCTCTCAATTTTTGCCTCGTGAGCCGACAGCTTCTCCGACGTGGGGTGGTAAGCGTGCCGGTCAAAGACGCAGTCCAGGCGCCATGCTGCGAGAACCCGGCTCTAGGGCGCAGCACTGGAAGCAGTTTTCGACTCCAATGACTCGAGAACTTAGTTTAAAATAGGCAATTTGCATGGGAACTAAAGGAAGCATCCAGTTGGCCTTCGGATGTTGTTTATTACTTCCTGAACAATTCCATTGGTACCGCATGGCGAAGAACTTCTAAATGGACGCATCAGCCGGTCGGGAATTAAAAGTAGGGATGCCGCGAACTTTTTTCGAATCGAAGTTTCGATGATCGAATCAAGCGGTTCGAAAGGTTCGAAAGATTTCGATTTTTCGAATTGTCTATATCGTAAAATTCGACGGAGGTCGAATTTTCGAACTTGTTAAGCTAAGAAGTTCGACGCTTTTCGAACCGTCGAACTTATTACGCTAAAACATTCGATCTTTTTCGAACTTTCGAACTTATTGCGCTGCAAGGTTCGATGCTTGTCGAACTTTCGAACTTGACTGACCAAAAAAATTCGATAAATTTCGAACTTTCGAACTTATTTATCAAGATAATTCGAAAAGTTTCGAACTTTCGAATTCTGAAAAGTCAGAAGTTCGACGAACTTCGAACTTATAGGGTAAAAGTTTGACGTTCGTCGAACTTCGAAAGACCGGCGGACGGTTTCATTTGATTTCAAGTAGTGGGGTACATTCGTAATTTTTTTTTCTGGAACTTTTACACGCGGTGCTGCGTTCCTTACGAAAGACAATGTCATTTATTTCAATGTTCTGGCATACTTAGGTTTAAAGAAATAAATCCCCGAAGGGGCTAGGACGGACGACGGGTTTTTGACGATTATCGTTTGTGCCAGATTTGAAGCACGCTGCAGCCGGAGCTATTTATGGTAGATATGTTATACTTTTTTTTAAGAATGATCTATGTATAGCGTAGGTAAGTGCCGTCTTAAGATGTGATTATTGTTATTCAACGTGAGTTTCGAAGAAATGTCTAAACATGTATCTGCATGCAATTATGACCTAAACTTGATATTTATTTTCGTCTAAGTTGTTTGAGGTATCGCATTTAAATTAACACCACAGACAGTACATAACATTGCCATCTGCAGAATACAAAATAATATATTTATTGTTTTTTCACGTTAAGGAATAAATTAACTCATGGCAGAAGATTTCTAGTAGTGTTCAAGTTCAGCACGTCATTAAAAGAAAACTTTTTTTTTTTTTCGCTTCACGTTCCTGGGACGTTTTTCTGTTAGCCTGTACACATTTTGGTAAAAGAAACTTGTTTCGAAGTTCTGAACCTCTGAATATGCAAGAATAGAACACTTCCGACGAATTCTTGATAGTTTTTTTTTCTCCTGCTTTTTATTCCCGCATTTATTCTTTTTTTTTTCTTTTGTTACTATCAGTATCGGCACAGGTGTTTAGGTCGAAAAGACAGCTTTGAACTTCCGAACCACTAAGCATGTGACGAGCAGTGCCTTCTGACAACGAGTTTCTAACAATGACCATCTACGCAACCTTTTATGCAGTGAAGAGCGACAGTAGCTATACATATGCATAAATAATTTCAGATTAAAATAAGCTCGACCACGCCCTCTTTCCCGTATTGTTTTCTTTAACAGTCCGAAATACCTGCAAGGGGGAAAAGGAGGCTGAAGCCCCCCCCCCCCCCCCCCCCCTGATTTTGTGAAAACAAGTGAGTCGTCAAAACGTTATTTGAAACTGAAACTGTAGAAAAACTTGAAAATCGGACTTCAAACTTTGAAAACTTGGATTAAAAAAAATTCAAAATCTTCAAAGTTTTTTTTTTTTTTGAATTTAGCGTTAAAAGAGAATCGAAACTTTCGAACTTTTCGAACTTTATGCCAAAAGAAATTCGAAATCTTCGAATTGTTCGAACTTCATGTCTATAAAAATTCGAGGCGTTCGAAGTTTTCGAATTTTTTTTACAAAGAATTTCGAAATCTTCGAATTTATCGAACCTGAAGTAAAAAAATATTCGAAATATTCGAATTCGAAATTTTAGAAACCGTGAAAGCTTCGAAATTTTCGAATTCGAAAGTCCGCTGTGGACAAAAGTTGCGAATTTTTCGAAATCGAACCTCGGTCGGTACGAAAATATCGAAATTTTTCGAAATCGAACCTCAGTTCGCTTCGCAAATATCGAAACCTTTCGAAATCGAACCTAGGGTGGTTCGCGACATCCCTAATTAAAAGGAAGAGCAAGGAACAACATCTAAAGGCTGGGACAATGTTTCCTTTCATATTTGCACAAACTGCCAATTTTAAACAAATTTCGTAAAATGTTTTGTGAAAATATGGCAAATAGCTAGGCAATTATGTTGTATACGTGAAACATTTTAGCATCACAAACGTTTAGCGATACTCTGACTTCCCAGACACCTACGTTCAGGGCGCTCTTCATCAGATAGTTTCACGCGAATCACGTGTACACTTGATGAGTTGTTCCTAGAATGAAGCGATACTACCGCTAATTGGGCCGACAAACCCAGCAATCTTCCAGAGCCTTCCGTGCTTGCGAGCTCCTCTCCCACAGTGCGCACAGGCGGTCGAGCTTCTCCTTACCTACCCCTCTGGTCACATGACCTCCCCATTAAGCATTCGGTGTCGAACACCACGCTTCTCCTTTCCCACCCATCAACCAATCAGTGTCAAGCCTCGTGGCCACGTTTTTGTCCGGGCTTCACGAAATGCCAAGCACCCAGCCAAAGAATGTTTCACGTTAAAATATTAATTAGTATGCAACGAGTTAAATGGTTGCAGCAAGGGCGCGTCTTCCGACGCATCACGACGTGACGTTGCACTTTTCTTCTGGGTGCAGAAACACGAACTGATGGAGCATGTGGCCCACCAGTGCATCTGCATCCAGTATGTGCTCGAACTGGCCAAGCAGCTGGAGGTCGACCCCCGATCGTGCATCTCCTCTTTCTTCACGAGGTGAGGCGCCCTGTCTCTTTTGTTCCGACGTCATCTCGTCATTCGAGTCCTCGTCTGGCATCGGCGTAATGGACGTGTCGCACACCGACGTGCAGGATTCAGACGGCTGACCAGCAGTACAAGGACGCCTTTGAGGACGAGCTGAGGGGGTTCAAGGAGCGCATCCGCCTGCGAGCTCAGGAGAAGCTGGAAGAGGCCGTCAAGGAAATGGAGGAGGTGAGAGCTGTCACCTTCATCTTCGGTTTTTTATGTTTTTTTTTTGTGGCTGTAAATAACTGGCGGTCTCCGAAATGGAGCGAGTTTAGCGAATCTAAAACATATACGAAGAAAGCGTGCAGACTATGCTTATTCAAATCAGACGACAAACATCTGGGTTTCGCCCCGTACTCCGATAGAGCCGGAGTGACGCCAATACTGCACTGTTTGTAAAATTGCGAGTGAATATTTGACGCACATTCAATATTTTTTTTATGCTTCCGAGTGTATCTGCCAGCCATGTGGAGAAGAGTCCAAAGTGCACTAGACTCGCAATAATTCAAACTGATATTTCATACCTCCCGTTAATTCAAACAAATTTCAAAATTGTAGTTGTCCTGCCACGTTTTTAATTTGTTCGTAAGTAGGGTTCCGTGTTTTCATGAAGATCTCTCACGAGATCATGGCCTCATTCCTGCTTTGGGCACAGCACGGAATTTCCTCCGGCATCTGCTCTAGTGTCCCGTTTTCTTCTGCAGAAAGAGAGGGAAGAGAGGCTAGGGCCAGGAGGCCTCGATCCCGTTGAGGTCTTCGAGACGTTACCAGAGGTGAGTCAGGACAGCCACTTTTATACACACTCTCTTTTTTTTTAATTGATGTAAGAACATTTTGTTGTAAATTCTGGAGGTATTGCAGAATCCAAAATGAAGAAGACGAAATATTTGGAAAGTCGTGGCCTGGCAGGCTCTGTTTGCTGCGTGGGAGGTCGATCTCCTCTGTGCTGGTGAAATGAACACATTGCTGCACAAGGAGTCTGTGTAGCTGCAAAAGCGAGGATCATTGCTGAAACGGCCCCATACTACTCGGCGTCAACCGTTTTTGTAGCGTGAGCTACACTGGCCGAGGTTGAGCAGTTTCGCGTGGCTCACATAATGAGTCGTGCTCCGTGCTGCGCATACGCGAGGAGCAGTGACGTCACATGGCGCACAGCTGGCGCGTCGGAGCCGCCGCCTCGCCGGTCTGCACATTCCAGAGTGACGTCATAGCCACGGCAGACGCACTGGCGCTGCCGCGTGCCCAGCTGTGCGCCTCCGTTGCGCAGTAGCCAAGTCTCACGCTGCACTGGAGCCGCTTGATAGCGCCTCTTATTTTAGCTCACGCTACAATATCCTGGCATAGCCGAGCTAAGCCACCGCAATTTTTTGTGCTACATTGTGGAGGCTATATGTCATTCAGCTTCACGTTGAGACTGCAGTCAATGCAAAACGCTCGAGTGCATAAAATTGCAACTTTAAAACTTCTTTTTTTTTTTTGTTTTAGAACAAGCTGTTGTGCTGGAGAAGCAGGTCTCAAAGCCAGAAGTGCTTGATAGCTCGCGCTCGTAGCTCTGGCTGCAGTCTCAGCTTAAGAGCAAACGGAGCATAGTGTAGGTTCCACAGTCCTCTACTTGTACGAGCATGTGGCCTTGCTTGGCATCTTCTAGACAAGGAAGCCAGGTGCCCTCGCAGCAGCCGAGTTGCAGCACGCTAGAAGCTACGCTAGCTTCGACAACATAGCACGAGTCAGTTGACACCAAGTATATAGGCCTTTTATCACAAGGGCACCGCCATCCTGAAATATCAACGCTTCTAGTATGGGCAAAGAACATTGTTTTGCCATCGCCACGCCAATGGAATACATTTAGGACATATGTGTAACCATCGCCCATTCTCCTTTTGTCTCCCCTCTATTTTTTGTTTTTTACTATTTGCGGGTTGAAATGTTTTTTTTTTATTTTTTCGTCGTCCATACCAGATATGTCTACCAGGTGGCTTGGGACGAGAGTGAGCAAAAGACGTCTATAGCGTGTGTCGGTTTACGAAAGAAATAGAAATGCATCACGTGCCTCAAATGTTCTGTAGACCAGCTTCACGAGCCACGACTTGCGTTGCCTTCCTTTTTCGGTCGTTAGCTTCATTGCGAGTTTCCACCAAAAACCTTCCGAGGGTGTCGCGCATGACGCAAGTGACTCTTCCGGGGACGCCGCTCAGGTGTTGCAGAAGTGCTTTGAGTCGCGCGACCTGGACATGCTGAAGGAGGCGATTGCGGCCATGCCCGAGGAAGAGGCCAGGTACCACATGAAGCGGTGCGTCGACTCGGGTCTCTGGGTGCCCGACGCCAAGACCGCCGCCACCGGGGACGCCCGCCCGGAGGACGGCGGGGAAGACGCAGCCAAGGCGGAGTGACGAGATCGCAACAAGCACGCTCCAGGTGCTCGCGCGTTTCATTTCCTCGAGACCGGTTCGCACATTTGCGTTTGACCGAGCGCGTTGCAACGGCTTACGGCAAGAGTAAAGCCTCTCGATGCATCCGTGTTGGCCTCGCAAGTGGCGAGAGTTTTATCAAGGGGCTTTAGACGAGAGCACGCAGTGGCGTTATGTGTTGGGTAGCTTCGACCCATTTCCAATCTGCCTATGCTTTCTAGTTTTTCGCAAACCATTCTTACACCGTGGGCTCAAAATGGTTCCAACATTGTTGCAAGGGGCCTTTTCTCCGAGACGGTGCGTGGGCATTTAGCCTCGCAAACGCCGCGAAACCTTTGGTTCTGGTCATATGCAGGTTGGAAGTATTCCAGAGTTAACTGATGGATGGAGCCAGTGTGTCTTCTCGTCATAAATCATCACGAGCGTCGTAACTCAGTCAATCATACTCAAATTTGTGAACCGGAAGTTAAAGCGTCTACCGACTGCTCGAAGCCCTAAGATAGTAGACTGCCAAACAGTGTGGCAGAACCTCTTTGATACACAGTTGACTGAACAGCACTGTTGTGCTCAGGAGGTTCATCCCATGGAGGGCGACGAAATCCGCTTATCAGAGTTCCATTTATGAAGGATTCTGCTGTATTGGTTGTGACCCAGTACACAAAAACTGGATGAATGAATTAATCCATTCGCCCTATCTTTAATTGGTTGCCACCGTGCGCCACCTAGCCAGCGCGTTCACAAAGCATTTCTGCTTAACGTCCGCCGCGATCCAAGTTGCTGTTGACTTTAATCATGTCTGATAGTAACCCATAGTCCAGTGGTTCTCAATCATTGATGTTTCGCGGACCCTTTTGTGGATAGGCGGAGATGACGTAGGACGCCGTTTGCGGTGAGGGGAAGCGAAAATTATAGGTTAATTGCGATAATGATTTAATAAATAAATATAGCTGAGGGCTAGTGCGAAGCAGACCACTCTCATTGACATACATGGGAGAAAACTCGGCCAAAAATTAGAATGTTTCTCCTCAACCTGCAAAAGAAAACTTTTATTGCCGGGCTTGACTGGTGAGACAGGGCTTTGCAGACCCCTAGAATGCCTTTGCGGACCCTTATTTGAGAACCACTGCTACAGTCTGTAACAGGTTAAGGGTAAAGTGGAAGCTCCTCCCACCTCTTCACACTTCAGCAAAGCAACGCTGGAGAGGAGGTGTCCTCCTCTCCGGCATTCGCTTTATACATCACCTATTTTTTGTACATCTCCAGTAAGGCTGTAGCATCTAAAGCTGAGAGTCATTTATGTGATAAATTGAATTGGCTGCAAACCAGTGAAATCGGTAGCCCATTTCTAAAGAGAGCCTCTTGTCCCCTTTTTCAGTGCTTCACGAGAAAAAGGGGGTTAAAAAGGGCCTCCAGCACCTTCGATTGGAAGAATGCAAAAAATCACGAGCGGCAAATGTGTCTCTTAAGACACAAAGAAAATTTGCGAGTGTACATAGAGCGTCCCCCGCACTTCCTTCGCCGACCGACGGACAGATGCCATCCAGCCAATCGTAAAGTAGGGAATGATCTCGTCCAGAAACATCTTCGCCGGTCAAATAAACCTTGTGCTTTTGCCACGAGTCTCGTTTCTTTCCATTTGTGGGTCATCATAGACTGGTTGTAAAAGAAAGGTACCTACTGACACGTAGGTGGAGGAAGACAAACTTTGGCAAGTGAAGTTACCACGAATCCACGCTCGGTAGCGTCCACAAAGGCCTGTCGTGCCGGTAGTCTGTTAGGGTACAGATTCATCTGGTGTCGCACCAGGCTCGAGGAGGAGGAGGAGGAAAGAAGGAGGAATGGAGAGTGAGGAGGAAACTGGGGAACGGCCCCCCGAAAGTTTGTTGTGAAAAAAAAAAAGAAGAGACTTGCAGTTGGGGACGTCCCCTGCCGAATTGTTGTCGATAGCTGCTTTCTTAGCATTTGGACTTTGGGTTGTTTTGTTATTTTATTTCACAACGTTAATTATAGTTATTTTTGGGACTGGGTCAATCCTGGGTAAAAGTTTGTTTCCCAAACTTATTTGAATGGGGCCGTTCCTATTACGCTTACAAATCGCCACGGTGCATTGAGTCGAGGGTATTAAAAATATTAACCCCAATAATTATCTGTAATGTTTAGCGTTTACTCAAACATCCAGAAACAGAGTTTCTAAATCTGCTAGAACGCCCCAAGCACGTGAAAAGAAGATATCACATTTCAAATCATCTGCTTCCCCACAACAAATCGGTGGCAGCAATATGTATCGTGGATAGAACTGCAACCACCCGAATCGCGGCGTCGCTGCGTATCTCTAATACGACCACTGCAGAGGAATTCGCCATGGCCATTGGGCTCAGAAAAGACCACGTCGCCATCATGAGCGACTTGCAAGCAGCACTGCGTCGCTTCCTAGCAGGCCGTGTCTCGCCGAAGGCACTCAAGGTCCTCACCCAGAGCGACCGACAGTGCTTCCCCACAGTGGAACTCGTATGGATGTCGGGACACGACGAGGTGGAAGGCAATCGGTGTTTTAACACCGAGGCCAGAGCATGCACCGTCCGGGCCGCTCCTGCCGCCGCATCGCGACTAGGGCTAGATTCATACTTTATTCCGGTGCCAAACAGGTACTCCGAAATCAGGGCCTACCACCGTGGCCAGAGAAATCTCAAGAGAGAGGACGCGGTCGCTTGGCGCCAGCTCCAGACAGGAGCGTTCCGCAAACCTAGCGCTCTTGCACTAAATCTCGCCTACAAGCTACAAAGTCGAATGTCCGCACTGCGGGCAATATGCATCCTTATTACACACCGCGTGGTTCTGCACAGCTCACCCTAACATCCCCCCCTCCCACCCTGATCCCACTCCCGAAACTGGGAAACCGCACTGCTCAGCTAGTCTGCTGCCGACCAACTAAAGTTGATTGGGCGGGCGGGGCTGACAGCCAACAGCGTTGGGGCACTGGACTAAGGGAACCACCCAGAGACCCATATGCACGCATAATGAAGTTTTTTCCTCCTCCTCAAACTAATGCGCAAAAAATAAAAAAAGAAACTTTTTTTACATTTTTATTTTGTATTTAAATTACAATTTTTGCAATTTCTTTCCACTGCCATGCGACACAGGTGTTGTACTGTACGTTCACCAAAGGACTGGCCATTATCGTACCTTTTCTAAACTATAGCTTTCCTCGAGGGGGCACAATGTTTATTTGATGTACTTTTACACAACTCTTTGAGGGATAAACCAAAACTTTCTGTGTCATCCTTTTTCGCAGCTATAAATATGCCCTGCAAATTTCATACAAACGACGAATGGTTAAAAAGTTTGCCTTCCCGAGTAGTACGTCCTTCCTTAATCTGAATACCCGGCCTTCACCCATTCCAATGTTCTATTTAGTATCGCGAAATTAAGAATTAAGACTGCAAGGGTCAAAATTGTAAATTCAACATAATTATTTCGGCCTAATATTTGGGTTACTATTTCAACAATGTCTGTTGGTGCATTTAGCAAATCTTCTGTCAAATCTGAGACCATGAAGAAAATACTAGAGAGATCCAACCGCATAAGGGATTCAATTGCAGAAGAAAGCTCAGATTTCTGAGCTAAGGCTGCACACGTGTTGTGTGAAAGCGTAGGGAAGCCACCGAAGAAAACTTTGTTCCGTTTTTATTGTACAAAATCACTCCCACTCCAAACCAATGTGATGGAGAGTCTTCGAAGTGCACTTGTGGTGTCGATCCTCCCTGCAAAAGCACTCCCCCAAAATCTCCCGATGAGCCGTTCCCCAAAAAGACGGATGTTTTGCCGCCACCCAAAAATGTGGCACCGTTGTTTCAACATTTTGTTTGTATAGTATCCAAGAAAGGTGCCAACCCAGACAAAACGAATGCACGGCTGGAGGGGGAAGGAGGAAAAGTATATATAAATAAGGTGGGAGCAAAAATGTAAAACGTAATGCACTACCAATGGTTATGAAAATGTTTCGGGGAAAAAAAAAAACACTACTAGTGCGAAAATGACCCGGACGTGGGCTGCAACAACAGTAACGTTCTCGGCTAAATTCGGGGTGAGCGTATTATAATAACAATGTCGTACAAAGTACACGGAAATATCACACAGGTCGAACTGCGTTCAGCCGAAAAGTCCCAACTGCAAACATGCGGCCGGTGCCACGAAGCGGCCGGGCGACCTCGCTACGCCGAGACGACCGCACCTCGTTCCCCGCTTTGGTATTCACCGAAAAAACCGTCGCAACGATCCCTCGTATTGTGACACCTAAATAACGTTCGCCGAGGGATACTTAAATTAGTCCGAGGTGCAAATGGATCTTGCCCAACTAAATACTGTCGCTTCCCCAGACACAGGATTCGGGGGAAAATGAAGCGGTGCACTGAAAGTCGCAAAACTTGCTAGTATTTACAACCGAGCGGACCGCTTCCAACCCGTAGCATATTTTACGGAGGGCGCCAAAGGAAAGCTTTGAGGGCACAAAGGTTGGCAGAGACCTCGCCATTGTCGCAGTCTAGTTTTGCAAAAAAAGTTACCTCCGTCGGAAGGTCGGATTCCTAGAGAGATTACTTACGTGAAGGGCTCACGTTCGCCAAAAGCTTCTTTTCATTGACACCCTTTTTTTTTATATAGAAAGATCACATTTACAATATTACCTTCACCAAAGGGAGTTCTTGATTGGGAAGAGTTACGCGCCGAAAGAAAGTATGCCCTCGAGGATTACGAAAGGTCGCCCTGGAAACTAAGGTTCACTAGGACAAAAATGCCGAAGATGCAGCTTCCAGATCTGATCGTCAAACTTAAAACACCGGTTCACCAATAAGATATATATATACCTATATGTCGGTCTTTCCGTCGCAATGTGAAAGCACGCAGATCCTAAAGAGATAATATTTGATACAGTTACCTAAATCAAGTCGAAACAGGGACCTAAATATCAAATATACAAAAAGAATGGGCGGTTAGAGCGGCGGGTGTCGGTGCATCAAATGGAAAACGTCCGTCGACGGAACACGGGAGTCGAGCCCGAAATGCCCACGCTACCCGTACGCCCTGGCTTTCGATGCAGGGGAGCCAGCTGCCCGTTAGATCCGCACACTCCACCAACAGGGAGCGACCGGTGGGCTCGATGGCTTGGATTGGGGATTAATGTCCGTGAAGTTGGCACCACGCTAATCGCGATTGGCGCCCCGACTCAAGCCAGGTCGGCGTCCTTTGACATGCTGTAGAAGATGGAGCTCTCGTTGGCGAGCAGGTTGGAGGGAGTGTCGAATTCCGCCACGCGTCCTTGCTCCAACACCAGGATCCTGTAATGGCGGCAACAGTGGCAGGGGCCATCGTCAATAATGTGCCGACGGCCGGCTAACAATCATCTGGCAGTTTGTTAGCAAGTCTAGGGGTTCTTGGAATCTTTTGGGAACCCCTAGATAGCTTGAGGAACAAGGTGACTAGCACCTCCCACCCTCTTGAAATTCTTATGGTAAAACAATTCGGGAGCTTACAAACCTTGCTAACGTCAATAGGTACTTCAGAAAAGTGACAGTGTTCGGCTTGTGTGTGTGCGTCAGTGTTTTGCACATTCATGTTTGGATTGTACTTAAGGAAGAAAGTTTGAATAGTACCTAAGCGAGAAAGATGCCTCACGTAAGCGTAGCAGAGAGAGAAGATGCAGGATATCAGCGAACACCTACGGAACTAAGAGAAAACTACGGAACTAAAAGAAAACAGACAAAGAGTGGCTCTTTTTTTTTTTTTTTTGCACAGCGCAGTTTGGTTACGGGTTTTTGCGTCGCGGGCCGCGCGCAAGGAGATAAGATAAGCGGAGGGCCCTCGCCTAAGCAAACAAAACAGCTTGCGAAAGGCGGCAAAAAAAAAAAACAAACAAACAAGGAACTAAAAAAAAGAAAACAAAGGAGTTTTTTTTTTTTTGCACAGCTTAGTTTGGTTATGAGGTTGGGCGCCGCGCGCAGAGATAAGAAGTTACTTCGATTTTTCAGGATAAAAGGTCTGTTCATTATGCGAGTAAATACGGACACAAAAATTTTACTTCGCGTAATAAACGCGCCCCCCCCCCCCCCCCCTCCCCCCAACTTTGCATCGATTTTTCGGAAAAAAAAGTGTGTCCATTCTGCGAGTAAATACGGTAGTTGCCGAAAGGTGAGGACGGCAAGGAGCTTCAGTTGCTCGGCCTCGAGCGCAGGCTTCTTACCTTCGACAATGCTTTGACATCTGATGCCCCTCAAGCACACGCTGCCAAAGCACGCCGAAGGCACGGAGGCCGGGAGCGTTTCAGAGACGTGCCTCGCCGTTCCCACCCGTCGGCGACCACAGCTTCCGGTACGAAATCGCGACTCAGAAGGGAGGGAAAGCTGGCTGACCTGTCGTAATCCATGATGGTGTTGAGTCGGTGGGCGATGGTGAGCACTGTGCAGCCCGTGAACTCCTTGCGGATCGTCTGCTGGATCAGCGAGTCTGTCTCCATGTCCACCGCCGCGGTCGCCTCGTCCAGGACGAGCACCTTGGACTTGCGCAGCAGCGCTCGTGCCAGGCACACCAGCTGACGCTGACCCACGCTGCAAGCGGACGCCGGGGCAAACAAAAAAAATTATCGGCCCCGCGTGTGTATGAAGTGGTCGCGGCGACGGCTGCGACGCTCGTCGGACCGCAATGTGTCCTTTTGTATCTTGCGCAGCGGTCGGCAGCTTACGGGAGGAGCTGTCGCCAATGTCTGCTCAGAGGGTGACACGCTCGTCTATTTTATACACGCAGAAGCCCTTTAATGGACATGGCGTGATTTGTTGTGGCTTGCGGGTTTTGTGCTGCAGGAGCTCCTATGGCCATACTGTGCTAAACGAGGTAAACCAGAAAACACTAGGAAAGGTGCACTAAGAAGGAAATACTGCTAGATTTTTGTGTGAAATTCCTATATTTTCTAGAAAAGTTAAAAGACAGTCAAATATTACAAGAGACTGCCCCCTAGAAACGGTGTAGAATGGAATGGAATGCAATACCTAAAAAGCTCGGGAGAAAAGAACCTGCATTTTCGTTGTGGACCAGGGCAAAGAAAAATATGTGAAACAGACCAAGTCTTTCCACAGTGGTTACAACCCGGTTGTTCCTCACCCACAAGAAAGTTTGCGGAGAGCAAGTCGTCTGCTTTTTGCACAGGAGTTGCGGTGACGTCAGAACGACGCCAAGCTCCAATTGGGTTTGATTGGAAGGATAGCAGGGAGACCTCAATGCTAGATGTCTTGATGTCTACCCACTATATATTTTCCAATCAGCCAATAAGAGCTCGGCATTCTCATATCATCACAACCCCTGTGCAAGAAGCAGACGAACTTGCGTTCCATATTGATGGATGAGGAAGGTGTAGCCAATTCTCAAGCAGCACAGAACTTCGAGGAAACGGTTCCAATTATTTCATGGCACCGAGACATGGCTTTATGGCATGAAGCTCATTATTATTGGCCAAATCCCATTTAGACAGCCCCAGTTGTAAAAATGCAAGCCTCATAGGCATCCTAAGGTCTTGGCACGGGATACAGGCATGCGATGATAAAAGGTTATGCGAGAAGGCGGCCAGTCTATCTGCAGCCTCATTGCCTGCAATGCCCACATGGCTCTGAATCCAGCAAAACCTAATGTCGCGCCTATACTTGAGCCCCCGTTGAACTTTGGTCCATGCGAGTTGGATCAGTTTATTCTCGGTTGGTGCAACTGAACATGCTGCAGTAATAACACTCCGAGAGTCCACGAAAAGAATACCTTCCATCACTTCCATGCGGATAATAAAGTCAAGTGCTGCCAGTACGCCACATAGCTCGGCAGTAAAAATGCAGGCAACACTATTTAGCCGAGGGACACGGGTAAAAGAACTCGAATAAACGGTACAGCCTGCATACATTAAGGGCTTGGCCCTATCAGTGTAAAGTTGGTAATACTTGTACTTTTCTTGCAATGCAAGGAATTCCTGTTGTGTAGTGGGGAGACAGTATGTTTATGAAATTTTGTAAAATACCAATAACGGAAGTGGCGCGAAAGTCTGGTGACGTGACGCGACGTCCCCACAACTGCGGCTGCCTAGCGGGCACTGCGGGAGAGTCGTACGCACAGTTGTCCTCAAAACATGCGATGTATTAGGCGGCGTGCTGAAGTACCGGACGTGGCTCTGGTAGCGCGCTCGCTTCACAATCAGCGGACCCGGGATCGAACCCTGAGAAAACTGAGGCAGGCTTTCGGGATTTTCGTTTTCAAGTATTTGGCAACATCGACAACAAGAAAAAAAAAACATAACAACTATTCCTGTAAAAAAAAAAGTTAGACTACAGCAGAGGCTCTGGAACTCCCTGGGAAAGTTCACGATCATAGAGATGACCGGCAGCCGAAAGGGCAACGGGGTGCTTAGGAGGATCACTCTGGAACTAGTCAAAACAGTTGCTGGCAGTCAGAACAGCTTATAATATAACGGACTGTCGCTCTTAAAGGCCGGCCCGCAAGCAGAGAGAAGGAACCCGACCCTCACTTTCCTTCTCGCCACTGTGAGAGGAGGAAATCACCTCTCGTTTCCTCCTCGCCATTTTCCGATTTTTGTTTTTTGCCAGCTGTCTGTTTTTTTTTTTTTTTGTCTTTTTTTTTTACAAGTGTGGGGTGGGGGAAATGAAAGCTTCAGGGATTTGAAAAGATTATCCAGAAGCCAGCCGGCACACCTGCGACAAGGAGCTGGACCAACCGAGGAGCTGTTTTGAGCGAGCTTGGCACTTGCTCTTCCCAACGAGTTGCATTGGCTCTTTTTTAGCGTTCGTTTGGAAGACGATTCTTTGCTGTTGTGAGAGCACAAATGCATGCCTTGTTCTGCTCAAAGAAGTAGTCATTGAAGTATAAATTTTAATATAAATATCTGATTTGGCATCTTTCGTTGTTTAGGCGGGTTCATGGCGACAACGGGAAGTACGAGCGGCGTTTTCTGTATATCAGGGATGGCGCTCCATAGACCAGTGGTTCTGAATCATCATGGTTCGTAAACCGGCAGAGGTGACGGAGGATCCCATCCGTAGTGGGTCTAGCACTTTTCGGTGTAAAGCGTTTTGCTGTAGGGCATTTCGGTGCGGACTTTTTGGCACACAGACATTTCAGTGTACGGACTTTTTGCTGCAGAGACTTTTCGGTGTGGGACTTTTCGGTGCGCGGATATTTCGGTGCACGGACGTTTTGATGCATGGACATTCAACGCTATGGTTTGCTCGCCGGTATCTCTTTTCCAACGTACGCAGACACGCTTCACATCGTGTTTGTGCGTTGAGTTGATAAAGATAGTCTCCTCTATAAGGTTTTGGCTTTATTATTGGTCCTGCGTGTAGGAAACGACCCAAACAGCATGACGTTTGAAGTTGTTTGTGTATTCAGAACAATTTTGAATATCTTCAAATGCGCCTCCTCCGCGTAATCGCATAGCTCCGATTGTTAATAATAAATTGTGATGACCTCGCACCACAAAAACAAAACAAAACAATGTTATTATCGCTTGTAACTCATTAGGGAATAAAGTAGGCGTGTGCGGGTACAAAATAAGTGTAATCAAATCAAATATCGATTTGAGTCAAGTAAACAAGCCGAATTTGGTGAATGCTAAATCTATTTTATTTGGTATCAAATGTTTGCTCATTCTCGTACGAAAAAAAAAAAACAGTTACCACACATCATATACAGAGTATGATCTGTGGTCAACGTCTCCTTCCATGCCGTAATGATGTCGCCGCACGTAAAGAACTGCCTTACAATCGTGCTTATACAGGGCGATTTTTTTTAACGACTAGACATTTTTCTAAAAAAGACGTCAGAGTTACGCAATTGCGGTTTGTGCCTTATCTATAGTCATCAAAACACCAAATCATTCATTTTTAAAGAGATGTAGTGCACGTGAAGTGGCTCACGGCGTCCTAAAAAGCCTAATTTGGACGCGAATCGTGTTACCGCAGTCTTTTCGGCCACCGCACTCCTCGCCCTTCTACAGTGGCTTTGTCACAGCGATGCGCATGATTTGTCGCGTTGGCTTCATGGCGTTAGCCTGTGCCACGCTGAGATGGAGCCCACATAAAATCAGAACTATATTTATAGTTATGAATAGTGTACGCGTGTTACATCTTTTTAAGAATGGAAGGTTTGGTGGCTTGCGATTATGGCCAACAACTTTCTAAATACAAGATGCCGTTTTCTTTTCTAATTAAAAGGTTAATTAGCGAATTTTAGGCAATCGGTCGGTTTTAGTTGCGTTCGTTATTGAACCTAATCCTCGCCTGGCCGCACAAACCGCAATGGCGCTAATTTTCACTGGACAATTTGGTGGCTTTCGATTACGCCCAACAACTTTATCAATCAACTATCTCGTTTTCTTTTATAATCAAAAAGTTCATTAACAAATGTTAGGTAATCAGTCGGTTTTTGTTGCATTCTTCCTTGAACCCAATCTTCGCCTGGCCGTATGGCTCACATCCACAAGACGTTAATTTCCACGTTTTTTCTAATATCTAGTTGGTGAAAAAACAACAACATCAACAACAACAATAAACGTCGTATATAAAACAGAGGGCAGTTCTTTTCTGATATAAATAAAGCGTGGGGCACGCGTCTTGCATGCATCTCCTTTTTTTTTTTTTTTCCGGCCTATGAAAACAAATTTTGGGACATTCGAAATTGAGTTTATGATGGGGCGGGCGCTTTATCACGGGGTATTTTGTCATGTTTCATAAGCTTTATTACTAGTCAGAAGGAAGCCACGCGAGCCGTATTAGGTTGCAAACAGCTAATCGGGTGTTTCTCAAGCAGCTCTAGAACTTTCCGATTGACATTTTGGTTCTTAATACATCTAAAAAAGTTTGGTACTTAGTCCTAAACATTTAATTTATTAAGCATAATTAAAATACTGCAACTCTCGCAAGACGTCTGCCCAAAACATAAAGTTGGTTTCATTGGCGTAAAGTGGCTGCGTCTTTCATTTTTATGCTTGGTCTTTAAAGATTCGTGAAAAGCATTCGCGACCTTATCTGTCAAGCCGCGTACGCGGACAGCGCGGCCTCCTCGGCAAGTTGTTCCCTCATCGAAGACGACAATGAATAAAAGGTACGATCAAAATCTTAATGCCTGAAGAAAGCGCAAGTTTAAAATAATTCTAAGGGTGTCAGTTGATTTTATTTCACTATATTCAAATTTCAACACTCGTCGCGGGCAGCATGAAAGGAAGCACTGCACACTTGGCTCAAACCAGTGCCCAGTCAACGGTCCTACACTCAAACACGCATCACCACCCGACCTGTTTGAAAAATAAATAATTTCCAGTACTTCTGGTAGAAAAGGCGAATTTTCTACTGAGCGTGATATTTTGTGGACCCAAAAGTCCTGTAGCCGAGATCGGTAGTTCATAGCTTCAGGAAGACGAAGAACGACGGATGAATTATTTCCCGCGGAAGTACTGTTTTGACTTTGAATTCCACATAAAATTGTATTTGCACAAATTGTGGCACGATACCGAACTTGCTTGATTACTTTTCTTTTAAAGACAACATAACCAGGCATAATCTACAGATATTGCAGAATTCATTTTAATTGGCGTACAGCGCAAAAGACAAGTATGGACATAAAGAACACAGTAGAGCTCTGCATTTCTTTCCGTACTTGTGGACAGTTAGTCCGCATGACTATATTCAAAAACTGCCAAATCGTTTAAGCCTACCCCTTTTTATGGTTTTTTTCGTAGGTGAATTGTGGCGAATCCCGGCTGGGTTTGGGTAAAGATCTCGCACGTGTTCAAGGACACATTTCGGCATGATTTCCCGCTTGGTGACGACGTTGAGCTGACCGCTGTTCCGCTTCTTTTCTAAGTAGGCGGTGAACGCCAGACGGCCTAAATTAGCCAAGCAGCCCCAAAACTTGCGGGAGCACACCTTCCGAACTTCTGGGTTTTTTTTGGAGATGGGCTTCGCCCACCCTGACAAAGCCCCAAACAATTATGTGAGGGCTGCAGAGGCTATCTGGGCATTCCATTTCTTCATCAGCGAACAAATGCGAACAGAAGAGAATGATAACTTCGTAATACCTACTGTCTTTTAATAAATGGCATAATATGCTACTATTGCTAGTTGCACCATTTTACGCGAATAAAATTGTGATTTTGCGGTTCAATCTCCGTGTTTCCCGTTCTCTTTGTTGATGCGCAAGATATTTGTCGGGTGTCAAGTTTTCAGTTACATTTGTTGACAGAAACAAAATGCACGTTTGGCCACGAAGAAATTTTTTTTCAAAGGCTGAAGATAGATGAAATATACCATAAACCGTTTCAGTTTTTATGGAAGTTTGTTTTTACTCTTCTTAGTAGCTTCAACGAGGCGGCCGTCACTCTAGAAAACACCTGTAGTACGAACCTATATATTATGCCCCAGAAATGGTCAGACTGTGTCCCTCTGACTGCAATATCTTTGACTTGTAATTACTCATGATTATTAGTTTGTACAAAAAACAAAACAAAAACACAATAGTGATACAATCACTCTTCAGTGTGCCGTTGTTAGAACGACAGATTTTCAACTCTTTGGGTAGAGCTCAAAGTTCGGATAAAAATACCCATCTTTTTTCCTTTTGCTGTGATGTTCAAGTTCTGTTCACTCGAGAAAAATATGCGGTGTTGTAGCGTGTGTGGCCGCATGCGGAAGTATCTGAATGTAAAAGAACTTGTTGTTGGGCTAGTTGGTGTTGACTATCTGAGTGTTTTTTAGAACTGCAGAAAAATTGCAAAAAAAAAAAAATAAGAAGAAAAGCGAGCCAGCCCGAACCCTTCCGAGCTCATATCCAGCCTGCCTAACTAATCCCTGGTTTTTGGGATTGAAGCAGAGAACCTTGAAGGGTTGCAGAGATTTTGTCGGGGGGCCGGTAAGCCCATTAGCACTCGTGCGAGAAGGCCGTAAAAAGCGAGGAGGAAAATGGAGGAGGAAAGGGGAGGAGGAAAAAAAGAAAAGAGAAGGAATCTTCTGCCACGCTGAAGAAAATTTTGAGCGCCCGCCTTTAAGGACTATCAGTTGCCAGAACCACTGCGAGTCAAACGGGAATTCTCCGGCGAGGGATTATTGCTTCACCCCGGGACCATTGGCATTCTAAATGTCTTTCTGAAGTAAAACGACAATTCAAGAAATTTCGGAAAGACTCGAAAAGACTTCTGCAGGTCACAAGGACTTTTGGCGGTCAAGAGGGGCCATCTGCAGACTGAAGGAGCATCAGCAGCAACAAAAGTCAGTGGTAGCCAAAAGGACGATTTACAGCCACAAGGGTCATCAAAAGTCAGAAGAGCCATCAACAGTCCGAAAGGTCACCGTCCAGTCAGAACAGTCATCAGCAGTCAGAAGGTCATGCAACAGTGAGAAGGGCCATCAGCACTCAAAAAGACCATTAGCACTCAGAAGTACCATCAGTTGTCAGAAACGTCATCAGCAGTGGCAAGTGTCATCAGCAGCCAGAAGGGTCGTCAGCAGTCAAAAGAACAATTGGCATCTAGGAAAATCGTCGCTAGCTGAGACTGCAGACAGACTGAAGAAGTGCGCCAACTCATTGCAAGGTCTCTGGAGGACGCCCCACCTGAGGTTCTCTCCTCCCTCGGCGACCTGGTACTCAAGGCCCTTGTCCAGGCCCGAGACGAAGGCCTTGAGGTGTGAGAGCTCCAGGGCAGACCACAGCTCCGTGTCGCTCTTCTCCCCAAAGGGGTCTAGGTTGGTGCGCAGCGTCCCAGAAAACAGAATAGGGTCCTGCACGAGTACGACAAAGAGACAGACAACTCTTATAGGCCTTGTCCCGCTACTGCAATCTACGCCGATTTCCATCTCCCCAAGCCAGATTAAGCCGCTTGGCAACCAGCGATCTTCCCCAGGACCACCCATGGGCACCAAAACATATTTTTGTGGCTGACTGACGACGCTGAAGCGTAAAGACATTTGCCAACAACCTCCGAGAGCGGCGTTTCTTGTCTGTCGCTATAGTGGGACCAGCACCTACGAGCGCTGCAAAACTTCCGGCCATTCAGCATTCAATACTAAATGAGGCAGCGACCTCAAATATATCGAGCTAGGGGCTTACCGTGTTGGCACGGTTGTAGTGTACCCCCGATTTTAACGCACAGGTATATTTAGCGCTCGAATATTTGAAAAAGAACTTGATGCCAATTGTACCGCGCAGATAAAAAAGGAAGCCTGCACACATTCCTCGTAGAACAAACTTTATGAAACGCACGCCAATACAAAAATAAGTACTGTGCACTAGATGCCGTTGTCGGAGTCCGACGACGGTTCTTCGCTGCCCACAATGGTAATCCTTGCTTTCGTCTAAAGCATTTTAGGTGCTGCGCTTCTTGCACTAGTATGAGCGCGCAATCATCACCTCTGGGAAGATTGTCTTCCAAACAACTTTACAGGCTCGTCCGGTCGCTGGGATTGTGAGCCCACGCAGTGTTGCTCCGTTATCTTTTCCCGCTAGCAAGATGACGTTTCGTTTAAATAATGCCTCCTAGTCAAATTTCTTTTCTTTTTTTCATCTTAAGACAATACGCGTGAGATATGGGTACCAAAATGGCGAATTTAAACAAACGGTTACCATGGCAATGGGGCTAGCCACCTTATACTGGGTATAATGTTTTTCGTTTTGAGTTTCGGTTTTTGGTTTTGCTTGTAACCCACATGTAGTTTTGGGCACCAATTTCGGCGAAAGAAGGTGTGTTACAGTTTTGACAGCTAACTATTCTTGGACTCATAATTTACAGCGTACAGAACCACTCACGCTCAAACACGCACACCAGTAAAAACTAATCGCCCACTCGGCGCCGTCTATTAACTCGGGTGTATTTCGTCTTCCTCTACACCTAAATGGTGTAGAAGGTTCTTGAGCGCTGTAGATTACAAGTATTATGAATAGCCCAACTCGCCCAATCCTCCATTTTAAGAATTCTCGGACTTTGTCCTCAGATACCCTACAAACGAGAAAACAACAAAGTTGGATTGTAACGTGCCACTTCGGCAGTTGCTTTTAAACGTACAGAGGGACAAATTGGCTGGCAAAACAAAAGACCGTCGTCCCAGGGTTTCGAAGAGCAAAGCTTGTTCCTGTAATACACCGTCTGGCTGACAGGCGGTTCGGTTTATTGGGAGCCAGATAGACGAGCGACAACTATCCAATAACGATCCTTGAAACGTTGCCGCACTAGCGTCAATTTATAACGGCGGTTCTGAATCTTTTAGGCACTTCCCCTCAATTGGAAAGAGGCTGATCCCGCCCGGCCTTCTGGACAGAGCAATTGGCCGCATTTAAGCGGAGTGTACTTGCCTGTGGGATGATGGTGAGCTTGGAGCGCAGGTCGTGCAGACCGATTTTGGTGACGTCCACGCCGTCGATGAAGATGGTGCCCTTGGCGGGCTCCACGATGCGGAACAGCGACAGCATCAGCGAGCTCTTGCCCGCTCCAGTGCGCCCCACCACTCCCACCTGAACACAGAACGTCCGCAAAACCGTTGCAGCGCTGTTTCAGACACACAGTCAACAAGCTGGAATTCTCGGCACAATCGGATGGGGATAACTTATCCGGGAGACAGCCGACGCCGAAAGTGCACGCTTTTGCTGTGCTGCACAATTGATTTTAGTGTACCAACAACTTCATGTAAGACAGCTTATGATCAAAGGAGCTAATATGTGGCATAAAGTTCACCGTCCGCACTTCACCCGGAGCGACAATAAGTTTTAGTGGATGCCAACCACTCCACAAGGAGCAGTGTCCAATCCAAGTATTCTAAATTTCACTTCAAAAGGACACTGAACTCTCAGAAAACGTTTTTTAATGCCTGGAGCAGTCATGTATGTTCGTACGTCAGATAATAAACTGAAAAAAGGCCCCAATATTTTTTTCCCGAGCCAGATTTTGAGTTAGGAGCGATTTCGTAACATGCTTCTATTTCGGATGTTGACCCTGAAATATAAGCGCGTTTTGCAATTGCTCTCAACCCAAAATCTGTCTCAAAACAAACTTCGCAAAATTTTTTTTTTTTACATGTGCGTTTGTTTTAGGCACACAAAAATATTTTTAACGGGGGAGTTCAGCAACCTTTGAAGGGAGTGACCACTAAGATCCGGTGCTTCAACGAAGATCCCAAGTCTCCGCACTCTCACCTTCTCGCCCGCGTTGATGGAGACGGTGATGTCCTTGATGACGAGGTCCATGCCTTCCCGGTAGCGCGTCGAGTAGTCTGCAAACTGAACCTGGCCTCCCATGGGCCAATCCAGCGCCGGCTTGGATTCTGGCACCTCCCAGGCAGCCTGCCGACCAAGGCGCACACTCTTTTTGGCAGGTATGCTCGCAATCACTTTGTTTGATCGCGTGAGCAGGTGCACATTGCCAATCGCAACGCTTGGCAAAGACATTTAGGTCAAGCCACACTGCTGTCACTTCAAATGCAGCCGATCTATACAAGCTTGGAAGCAGCCACACTTCAAAAGCTAGTCTGGCCACCGTGGGGGGAAAAAAACGCTTTGTCGGAGAACCAGCCTGGCAACAGTGGGTACGCTTTAGCAAGGCTGGACTACCAGATGATTTAAGCACAAAAGCAGGAAAATGATGTTGTAAGAGGCCATACTTGCAAATGTGAATGGTTAAGACAACCCCCAATCGGCCTTACTGGCATACTTTTAATCGGATCATAATCCGGAAAGATTTTGTCCAACTGTTAGCAGCTTTCTATTCTGGTTAAAATGCCTCTTTCATTAAACAAGCATGTGGCAGTTAAGAATAACTGAGAGTACATAAACTGCAAATATAGCAAGTAAGCTCCATGTGTGACACACAACGATGCAAGACACTGTGTAAGAGGCTTAACATGCAACATAGTACCCAACATTTGCGACAGCGAAACTCGTTCCAATGATAGGAACATTTTCCATGCACTGCAATGCTCTTGAGAGTAGTGTACCTCGGTTGGGGACCTGGTGTACTCCATGATACGTTCCACGGCCACAATGTTGGTCTCAAACTCGCAGCTCATGCGTACCATCCAATTCATGGTGGCTGTTATCTGACAAAAAAAGAAACAATTCACCAGGAATGAAACGATAACAAGAAAACATAAGATATCGTGCACGGCGACACAAGAAACAACCGGAGCCAGATACAAAAAAACAAAGCACCTTCGTGCTGGCTTGACTGCACAGCAGAAATGCACTAAGCAAAAGCTGGCAACCGGGATTTGCACTGGTAAGCTGGCTTTGTTTATTTATTTATTTATTTATTTAAAATACCCTCAAGGCCATTGGCATTGAGGGTATTTTAACCAACTGTTCAAATGCTTGTGCAGCCATCACTCTCCTCATTATGCAGGCTTTACCGCACAGCGCAAGTGTGCCGCAGGAAAGCCAACTAGCTGTTACAAAATCCCGAGACTAAGATAGAGTGGACATAACACAAAACACTGTTTCTCTGCATCATGAGCCCCGGTTCACTGAATGCTTAAACATCAACACTTCACCGCCCTTTCCACCGTTATTTCTAATCAACAGATTTGTGCGATAAGACTATCATTCTTGGCCTAAACGTCAAACGGCTCTAACAACCGTCGGCACAGATTGTGCTCCACCCAATGACTAAAATAAAAACAAGCAAAAGTTTTTTGTTTTTTTTTTGCTGCCAGTCTTAGCTTTTTTTACCCTTTGAACACAAGGCATGTTTGAAGACTTGTTTCCAAGCCTAGAGAGTCATAAAATATTGTAACAAAAATATAATACCAAGGTCAGGAGTTTTAAAAAGGGCGGCAATCGAACCTTCGACTTCTCGCCCAGTAATCAAATACCCAAACCCCCGTGCTAGCCAAGTTTTTTTTTTTTTTTTTCCTTATTGTTTTGTGCTAGCGGACAAACTTTTTTTAACGCTGCACTAGCGGAGAAATTTCGATTCAATGATGTTGGTTATTATATATGTACTTGTGTTGCCACAAGCTTTATCACCACAATGGTGAAAGAAGATTGAGACAGGCTGCACATTGTGTCTCCCGACTTTATTTTTAGGACTAAGATGCATTTAAATTACTTTCAGCCGTCTTCTCGATTAAAGCAACATAAACAAAGTTTGGTTTCACCGTCCAATAGTTTTTAATTATATTTCCGATACACGACGGGAGCACTTTCAGTGAAACCGACTGCAACCATTCCTGCTCAAACGACCACAGCCACAGCAGCCACCGACTAGGCACGCGGCCGAGAGCGCAAGGTCGCCGACTCACCGACAGAGCGTAGGAGAGCGAGAGGCCGACAGTGCCGCCGTCCAAGGCTTGGCTCCCAAAGACGGAGAAGAGGGCGGCAAACAGGACGATCAGGTTGCCGCAGAACTCCAGCCGTACTGCCAACCACCTGGGGGGAAAAGGTCCCGCATAAACCCCACCCCGCCGGGTGTCCCCAAGAATAATTCACTGTTTTTCTTTGTTTTACTAAAAAATTAACTGCGCATTGTCGAACGCTGTTTCCTCCCAGACGTAGTGCTAGCGGTCTGAAAGAGGCAGCAAAATTTTAGATCTAACCGTTTTCTTATTCAAAAGCGATTTTCGAAAGCTGTAGGCTTCTACGTTGCCTCGTCGCATCAAAGCCAAGACTCCGAGGGGCTCCTCAGTGAAGTCAGATAAGGATTTCGAGAGCTCGAGAAGTTAAAAAACTCCCGCACATTTTACAGACATTGCGTCGCATTTTCACTCGGCAACGACCGGCACCAAAGCGCACGTACGCACACTCCAATACTCGGCGTGCAAACGTGCAAACCGTCTAGACGCTCCCAGTCTGCTCACCGATTGGAGATGGTGGACGGGTAGTAGCACATCTGGTTGTAGTCCACCCGGTGGTTGGACTCGAGCACAAAGCGCTCCTGGGCCCCGTAGGCGCGGATCGTGCTCACGCCCGAGAGGGTCTCCGAGAAGTGCGTGTAGATGGGCGACCGCGTCACCGACTCCAGGCGCTTCAGCTGCCGGGACGTGGCAATGTAGAACAGCTGCGGGACAGAGGAGACGCGGCGGCGTCGAACGGCGGAACCGGAGAACCGTAAAAGCCATAAAGCGCGGGAGAAACGCCGACTTTTGGGCGGAGGAAGAGAACTTCCTCGCAGCGGGCAGACTGCTGGGGAGGGGGAGGACGTCGAACCATCCTGCCCCTAGCGGTTAAGTTGAGAACTAAACCCGTGGAAACAACAACGCAAGTTATGTGCGCTTTTGACGCCCCACTGCACGGGTAATGCAAACATCTCCAAATACCAACTCATTTAATAAGCAAGAAAGAAGCTTCTGATATGGTGCTTGGCCGACGTAACCGAATGTCGCGTCACCGTTCGACTGGCCCTCGTGTTCAGTCGGTAAAGCACCGTCTGAACACTTGCAGCGACCCAACGCCGACGCAGAACTCGCGTTTTACATGTGCCCCGGGTTCGATCGAGATAAATGACATAATGAGTCCACTCCACGGGAGCCTTGTGTCTGGTAAACGCCGTGCTCTGTGGAAAATGAGCAGGACGAAGTGCCCCCGGTAGTTCAATTCCTTCGTCGACACAAGAGTTGTCCTTGCTGCATCGACGAAACCACGTCTGCCGTATTTCTGTACCTTTTCTTACAGCTCCATTGCACAATTACGTAACATTGGGCATGTTTCACGTTTCTAAAAGAACTAGCAATGCATCTTTTATGTCAAGGCCCAAAGGCTCGCTGTCTCTCGTTGGGTTTGGGTACAAAATCAACAAGATCGCCCGTTTGTAGGCATGGCCGAATAAAGGATTTTGGGTCCGAAACGAATTCGAAGCAAATAGTGATTTTAGCCGAATAATTTCGAATCGAATAGTTAGAATAGCACAAGCAACAAATACAAGATATGGTTAAACTATAGTTTTTTTGTATTTGCATTTATTTGGCATTGGAAGTACTGTACAGTATAGACCACTTACAACGTAACCGCTTATAGTGCAGGACCGGGTATAACGCGGCTTTTTTCAACCACCGGTTCGCCTCCCATACAACTCCATGTAATTACATACCGCTTAAAATGCAGGCGCGCGAAGGGAAATACCGGTTATAGTACGGTTTTTGGCACAGCCCGCCGACCGCGCCGACGACCGGAGCAGCGAGCTCGCTTCCCTGTGCGACACTAGATAACGGCGCTGACGCTGACGGCGCGAGCCGCAAACTGCACTCGCGGGGCAAGGAGGTTGCTCGAAAACGCGGGAGAAGCGAAGAGACAGGCTTCAGTTGCCATAGCGACGGAGGGACGCACGCACGAGTCGTTCACGTGCGTGCGTCCCTCCGCTGCGTTGAAAACAAAGAAACAAACAACCGCAACGACAGACCAATCGCAGGTCGAGGAGAAGTGTTCGCGCGCGTTGCATGCCGGTCTGCCGGTCGCGGGCGTCGGTTGTGATCGTCGTCGTAGACGGCGTGCATCTCATCGTTCTGCGTAAAAGCGCTATCCTTGACTCTGAATTATCGTTGTGTGTCGCTATGATAACCCAGCACGTACTAGAAGGGAAGATCCACCTACTCGTGCGGCGATGTCGTGGCGGCGCTCTCAAGACGGCAGAAACGCCCGTGTCGTCGTGTTTGTTTACTTCGACTACAGTGGTGATTTCTAAGCATTTGTGTCCTCGAACATCGCCCGGATTTCTTATTTGGCGCATTTCATGCGTGTGCTCAAGTTCAAGGTATTACTGGCGCGTACCGTATGAAGGATGCGAATTTTCACGCGTTTTCATCTCCGGAGAAAAGTGATTAGGGTTAGCAATCCTGAACGCTCGCGACGTCCGTCCGCAAGCCGCGACGCCGTTAAAAGGCTGCGCCAGGCAAAAGCCGCTCATTTCTTTTAAAATGTGTGACACACTTGAGACATAACTGTACTAGTCTATTGAAATAAAGACTTTCCTCAAACTAAGCTTATTTTTCATCTAACATAAAATAAATTCTTTTACAAAGGTAAGTTGTCTTATGGCATGTATTTTGGCCTGAAAAATTGATGTTTTGGTTATAGTGCGGTACCGCTTATAGTGCGGATTTTCGCGACTCCCGAGACATACGTTATATGCGGTCTACACTGTAATTATTAATTTCAAATGTATTGAGTTCGGGAGCACGAAATGGTCAGAGTGGTCGGAAGCTTGTGCCACCTGGCCGGAAATCGAAGCCAGAGTAAGTCAAACCCGTTTATATCGAACTCGCAAAAAAAAAGTCTACCAGTTCAATATAGTGTGTAATTCAATATAAAAGCTTTAATAAATTCACCTCTTTAAAATACTTTCTTCTGAAATACTACACAATGAAGTAGTCTTGCATCTTCTCCTGCTTTTTCTTCATTGCATCCGCGATAATATTTTTTTATGCTATCGACGGACTCCCAAAGGATGAGGCCGCTGCCATCTCTATTCGCGCATTAGCGCCGAACTATGTTGAGAACACGGAGCACGTCCGAGCAGGAGCACCTTCTCCTGCAGAGCGCCGTCTTGCTCTGCGAGTTGGCTTTACCCTATGGAGGGCGGATGCATTAGGGGAAGCCAGCTAGCAAAACAAGCTGGTTTTTTTTTTTTTTTTGGGGGGCGGTTGCATTAATTGTTTGGAAGAAAAAATAATATTCTCTTTTGCGGACGGAGTGAGGAGAGGGAACACGGAGCACCCTCTCTGCGCTCCCTCCGCGAAAGATATTTTTTCTTTTTTTTCCGGGCGATCAACACAACCTGCCTGGGGAAAAAAAATAAAAATAAGCTAGCGTGCCCTGCAAGCTGGGTTTCCCCCAATGCGGCCGCTCGCGTTGGGGGAAAGCCAGCATGCAGAGCAAAACGGCGCTATTGGCAGTTCGATATAATGGTAGCGGCTGCTATTTTTTGTTCAATGTAACCATAGTTGTTGCTATATATTATCACTGTAACATTACTGTGCACAAAAATTTCTCAATATAAGGAATAATTCGATGGAAACGGGTTAGATATATTCGGGTTTGACTGTATTTAGAAAGGTAGAATAACCCTATACTGTCGAATAATTCGATATTGTCGAATAATTCAATATCGTCGAATACTTAAATTCGATTCGAAGCGAAGGCCGAATAGAACAGAATTCCGATTGGCTATTCGTAATAACCGAATATTTGCCCATCCCTACTCGTTTGTGTTTCGCCATCGGCTGTGTTGTCGGAAGACTGTGCCATAAAAGGGGGATTTGCATACAGTGACCAAATAGCTTGCACTTTGTCATATCTCATGAATCACGAAAGTATCCTCTCCTAAATTTGGCACCTGCGTCTGCTCAGGACACACAACTGCTGTCGAGACCGGTTATAACGAAGTCAGTTATAACGAAATTGCGGTTACAGGGAAGCGATCACGATTTCGCATTCCCTTTTGCACTTTGTTAACCAAAGTCTGTTATAACGAACCAACGGATATAGCGAAGCACTTTCCGATTCCCCTTAAATTCGTTATAACTGGTCTCGACAGTAACTGTAATGCCCTCCAAACTCTTTCTACTTATTAAACTGGAAACTCTTTGCACAAAAAAAAAGGAAGTTATGTAAAAACTTGTACACAGATCCATTATTTCATTTTTACCTTTCAAAAAATAAAAGAAAAAAAGACCTGAAAAGTTCATGGCTTGATTGTCAGTGGCAACCCCCCTTTTGTTAAACGAATTCTTTCTCCTCCTTTTGTGCAATTCCACATTTGAATCATGAAGAGAGTTCTCGCACAGATGAGGCGACCCTCGTGAAGAGCGGTACCCGGACGCGCACCAGCGTACTACGGAAAAGCGGCGACATAAATCTGTTGCACTGCCACTTCGCCGCAGCACACCGTTCGCGTGGGAAGAAGCACTCTTTCCAGGCATGTCGGCGCATGCATGCCAGGATGCAAAACGTCACGCTGCAGCTGCCGCGCACCCACCTGAATGAAGTAGTAGAGGACACCGATGGGCACGGCCACGGCCATGAAGATGGGAGTGCTGATGCTGATGATGAGCAGGGTAGAGACAACTTGCAGGACACACATCAGCCACGCCCGCACTGTCATCGGGATGGCGATGTCCATTGTGTCCACGTCCTGTGGGCCACAGATCCATTGTGTCAGGTGTGTTTCACTCAATCAAGGGTGTGAACGATGTGAGCATAGAAGTTTTTAAAGTAAATCACTTCGGCGTATCTCGACGGCACACAACAAGATGCTCGATACCCGAAAGGAAGCAATCGCGCCGGACCGAAGGAATCCCCGATTCCTGGTGAAACGCCACAAAAGCACCACTCCACGATTGTTGCGACATGACCTTAAGGCTGAAAGGCTGCCACGAACATTACCAACTTGTGCGAAATGCTGAACACCTAGCAAAAAAATAGTTCACATTAAGAAAAAACACAACCCTAAAATTGCATTTAAAAAGAAATGACATCATTTTTATGTATTGCGGTTCCACAACTAATAGTGCACACTCCTGCAAATTTTATTGCAATATCTAAAATATTTACGACGAAATGAAACATTTTTGGTGGGTGGACAATTCAAACTCACAAGTTTTACATATGTAAAACTTGTATGTTTCCTAGTTTCTAACTGCTGTAACTCCACACCTGGGTGTCCTAGAATGATGATCATACTACTCTCGCTGGAAAGAGAATTTCTTCACAGTTTCAGTACATTGAACATCTTTGTTCAACACTATTTGGTCAAGAACACCATAGAAGTCTAGCTTTCACGTAGAAGAGGCTATGCACACGGACAAAAAGGTTACATTGATTTGTCTCTAGACAACAATTGTCCCGCCCACAATTGCCGATGCTGGTTTGTGCATGCAAGCATATCCAATTGCTCATTCGTTTCACGATCAGTGCCCACATGCCGACAACAAAATGACACTAAGTGTTCAAAGCTTGGACTCGTTCAGCAAAGCCATGCAAAAGATAGGGTTTAAGTGGAAGGCACCACCTATGCTCTTGGCGCCTTTGAGTTGCTATTGCCACCAGTAGAATTAAATGTAGATGTTTGGAAAATTTGAATAGGTTTTTCTGTTTCACTTTTTCGCAGCAACTTTCGTTTTAGGAAATCTTTAATTTCAATGAATATCCTAGTTTATCAATTTAATGATGAATGCAGCTAGCCATATATTTTTGTATTTAAAGAATTTCTATTGCCAAAAAAAAGGGTTTTGATGAAAAGAAAATGCCCCATTATGTGGAATGCTTTCCAAATTGATATTTTGCATGGAAAGATTGCATGGAAAATGCCCCTTTGTTCTAGTTAAGGCCGAAGCTCAGGAATGCTCAATATTTGGAAGCAATTTTACATAGCAGATTTCCTTGCTAAGTGAGGCAACTTCAATCAATAGCTGTCTACCTCCCCCCTGTAACTCGCGTCGTACAGAGATGAAACGTCACACAATGCATTTAGGCGAGGAGATAAATACATATTCCAAATTTCATCAATATTGAGCAACTGGTATAAAGTTGACGCTCGAATGTAATGTCCCCTCTTGAAAGAAAAGGACAAGCCACCTTTTGGTTTTGGCTACTTCCAGGCTAAAACCTTCCAACTTCACCCGGGTTGCCGAACTTCCCTCGACAACACCAGCTCTTCTCCATTGTCGGGTGCTTCGGCATCTGCTGGAGGCACTAAGTAAGCTCTGCCTCAGGGTACCAACACTTCAGCCATCTTGTTGCTCGAGACCGTTGTTGCCAGTCATCCGAAGCCTTATCCAAAATAGCACAAACTCTTTTCCATCCACTAGAAGTGTCGAAACAACCCGTAACAGAGCCAAGCAATATCGCTCGAGCTCCCCGACAACGCGCTTCCGAAACCTGGGAAGTCGCATCCTCAAATCGTGACTGTAGCCGATTGCACAGACTTTTCACCAGGCAACAAAATGGCGGCCCTTACGAGACAGTCGGGGAGTGACGTTGATTCTCTACGGCGCAGCTTTTTAACGTTAAATATTCTTGGGCTAGGTGGTCGGCATTTCATGAAGCCCAAAACTAAAGCCCGGATAAAAGCGTGGCTGCGAGGACCAATTAGATGACAAGTGGGAGAGAAAGTGTGATGTGCTCAACGCTGATTAAGGGTGTCTCTAAACGTTTGTGATGCTAGAACGCTTCACATATGCAACACAATTGCCTAGTAATTTGCCATAAATGTTTCAGTGGCTCTAGATCCTGCGCCACTATCGCCGCGGGTGGCCCGGCGACTTGCCTTTGAGAAGCGGTTCACGACGCGGCCGAGGGGCGTGGTGTCGAAGAAGGCCATGGGAGAGCGCAGGATGTTGGCCAGCAGCCCGTTGTGGAGGAACATGGCACCCTTCAGGCTGCCCAGGGACAGGGCCAGGGAACCAAACAGGATGGTCAGTCCTGCACCGCCACGCAAAAGGCGAAAACACTGTAGAACGCGCAGGAGTCGCACGTCTGACGCGACTCGGTAGCGCAGCCAAACACCAAAGCAGCTACCAGTGGACAGCGAGAACTGGATGGGACAGGAAACCAAACCCAGCAGGAACCAGAACCGCACAAGGAAGAGTAAATTAACTGGGCAGGACAAGCAAATTCCACTTGTCTCTGTCCACAGCACTACCGTACAATCCCGATTAAACATCCGCCCGTAATGAAGTGATTAATGACAGAAAATAATGGGTGGGCAATCTTTGAGGACACAAACTGTTTTGATGACCTGTCCTGTGTCAATCCACAGTAGTCACAGCGATAGCTGCGACACAACACAACAAAGTCGTTGGGCATCGGTATCGCATCCACGCACCGTGGGGCAAGTGAACAAAAGAATTCGAAACAAAAAAGACATCTGACCATTTTGTTCCGAATGCTTTTGTTTCTTTTTTTGTTCTGAAGCACGTGAAAGTGCATATCCCAGCATAAGCTCTTGGCACTGACAGCGCTACAACATCATTGTGTCTTTGGCTAGATTTTTTTTAATGCACTAGCATTAGTGCCTTGGTACATGAGCTGACCTTCGACTGGTTTGGAGTGCACGTATATAAAGTTTGCAACGCTGCCACAAGATGGCGCCACAGCCCCATTGGCTATGGAAACTGGCTAGGAAACATCCTGCAAGTGCCGACAGATGGTGGCGGGGTGCATATTTCGAGAGGCTCGGTGGTAGACGAATAGCAATGGATGCCGCACTACATTGGCTGGTTATAGGAAGCGACGGCTCGACGTAACACCTGGCAAGTGAAGATCGAAGGCGACGTCCCTCTTCGCCACTTTAGCCGCAGCGCAGTGGGGGACGGCGGGTGTATCACTGGGGTGCGTGCTAACCTACCCCGACCCCCCCTTCACGCCGCTTTGTGGCGACAATCCGCGGATGGCTCATTACGAAACATTAAACCACCTTGGACCACCCGTACACGCCACCTCACGGAACCCCGCTGGCGGCCCTAGCCCCGCCGCCCTCACTGCACCTTTGTTGCTAGGTGTTGCGTCACACCGTCGCTCTCTATGACCAGCCAATCACATCCAACCGCCGCCCTTTAACGCTAACCCGATTTGTTTACGCCAGGGAGAAAAGGGGTTTTGGGAATATCTGTCTTGTGGGAAAGTGTCGCAAAGTCTGCCTGTTCTAATGGGTGGCAAATTCCCCCCCTCGGCCAACCCTCTCAGTATAAAGCGCTCCAACACATGCGGTTGTCCTTAGCACGCACAGCTCACTAGGCGGTGCGTCGAGGCAGCTGGCGCAGCTCTGCAGTAAAGCACTCTCTTTGCGACCCGCAGAGCCGGGACCGAATTTTGAGAAAACGGTGGCAGGCTTTCATTCTCGAGCATTTGGCAACGTCGACGCCGGACGCCCCCCCGCATCGTTTCAAGCGGGGGGAAGAGCCCGCAACGGCCGTCGGCGTAAAAAGGAGCGGCGCGGGACCCACCCTGTCCCAGGCCGAGGCCGCCGTACACCCCGAGCCGGAGGTCCCGCTTGCCAAGGTCCTGGGTGCCGTCCGGCAGGGGGGGGTCGTTGCTCCAGGCCGTGAGCCAGAGGTTGGAGCCCAGGGAGAAGGCGCTCGAGGCCACGTTCATCAGCACAATGGGGACCAGCCAGGCAACCCCGATGGCCCCGAAGTAGGCGAAGTACACGCGCCACTTCACCTGCAAAACCGGACAGACGTGCAGTGAGGCCACGAGCAGCCAGGGAGAAAGCAGCAACACAGCTGTGGTCCTACCTGCTCCCTTTCTTACACGGTAGAACCCTTCTATAGGATGATTCCATGAAACACCTTTCCCCTAAGGTGAGCCACGTTGATACTTGGTTACGGCGTCGTTTTTGGTGTTGGTGAAACGGCGAAACGTGGCAAGTGGTTCCGTCGACGACAGAACTCGGCAAATACGATAGAGGATGTATTTGGGTCGCATAAATCCGAGTTTATTCCGATTCGTTTCCTCTCGAAGTTGCCTGGGCAACATTCCCTGGGGCCTCTATGGCTGCCGACGGGTAGGCTTCTCGATCGCCGGTTCGTCTCGAGTCCGAATAAAGACCGGTATGTATAAAAATCGAGTACCAGAGGATGCTCCCTTGCTTCGTCGATTATTGCTTCGTCGATTATTCTGGCAGAGGCAGTCGATCGCGACGCAAAGAAACTCTACCGACCCGGAAAACACTGCCTCCACTCATAAAAAACACACAGCGAAAGTTCATCATCGTGGCATCCGGCAAGATTTCGAGCCCGGCAAGATTTCGAGCCGGTGGTACGCCACGCAAAATCACCCTGTAGTGAAGACTGATGTGCAGTAGAGCCCCTCTCTAGTGAAGTCAGTGTTTCCAAGAAGAATCTTCACTCTACAAGCACCTCAAATGCCTGTCCAATATCGTCGGCATACTGTAAATTACTTAATTTTCATGAGGACATAGTCAATTTTGCGAATTTTCCGACTTTAAATATATTGAAAAAAATGGATTGTGCCAATATGTGACTTTGTGGTAACCAACTTAAATATGCGTCGCTCCAAATCGCGAGATTTTGCACCCACAAAATAATTTACGATCTCGCTCATTGCAAAATATTGAGCCCGCAAAAATTAATTCATTTACAGTACTTCATTTGCACCCTATCCTTGCCACAAAAGTATTCTACCATAATGGTTCTACCGTAACACGCAATTGATTGTTTATTTTTACAGTATGTAAACGGATAGGTCCACTTTACGAAGTGTCAAAAACACACAATCCCTCCTGAGCGAGCGTTCGTCTGTCGTACGTCTTCGTTTGGCCCTTTCTTCCCAAATTTCTCGATGAAAATAAAGTCCGAGTGAATTTATGGCATCGCACAATGTGCGTCACAGTGACAGCAGTTGAAAATTGCATATTTTGTGCAATTTCTTTTTATAGCAACCGGCAACAGGTATGTTCCAGTATGCATTCCATGAGGAAAAATATGTGGTTATCAACACCATATGTCAATGATAGAATCATTGAGCAGATTCCATGCCAAGCTACGCTTCACTTCGTTCTGGGAGCATAATACCTCATAAAATTGGTCCACAGGGCTGAAACTTTGCATGCCCCTCCTTCCATACGGCTACAAACGCCACCCAAAAATTTCACACTGACTGAGCGAGCAGGTCAAAAGCTGACCCTCCCTTAGGGCAACAAAAGTTTATTCCCTGGGGAGGTTCCCGACAACGGCTGTAAACAGAGGTCGTCGTCGGCACGCCCACCTGTCCGGTCTCGGCGACCTCGGCCTGCACGAGCTTGGTGGGCTCGGCCTCCACGGCCCCCTTCTCCCCCTTGAGTGTCGCCTGGGACCGAGACCGGGACCGAGAAAGGGTGCGGTTGGACTGCAGGCTGGAGGCGTTGCTGCCCTTGCGGTTGGACAGGTCCATGCTGCCCGCCCGCACGGGCGTAGACTCCACGCTGGCCGACTCGGAGAGCTGCCGCGACAGGCTGCGCAGGAACTCCTTGCGCTCCGCCACCGAGAGCTCCTCCGACGACTTGCGCAGGGACAGCTGCCTGCGGATCAAACATCTCAGATCAGACGCCGTGAACGATCTCATTCTTCTAGTCCCAATGTTTCGTGAGCTAAAGGACTCGGCCCAAACCAAACTCTGATCACTTCAAGCCAAAGGTAGAACTGCTAGAGTAAATACCGACGTTGTAAAACCTCTCTCATACAGTAAACCCCCGTTAACTCGAACACGGATATCTCGAAAGATTGGTTAAGTTGAAACTTTAGTGCGTTGCGAAATGAATCCCCATTGGCACCATGTATTTTGACATCGCTTATCTCGAAAAGTTTCCGGGACGGGCATCGGATATCTCAAAACATCGCCTGCAAAAATATTTTTAAAAAAAATATTCCTGAAAGGACACTGAGGCCCGAAGGAGAAAGTTTATCTCCATCGCGGACGAAGCGACCGCAACCTATAAATAACGCTAACAAAAAAAAAAAAGAGAGAGAGAGAGAGGGGAGGGAGAGGGAGAGAGAGAGAGAGAGGGTCTTCGGAGAAAAATAAACAAAAAGAGGGAAGCGCTGAGAAAAATAAACAAAACAAGGAAGCGCCGGAGAAAAATAGACAAAAGACGGAAGCGCCGCAAACGCGTTCTGGGCGCACAGAACGCGACGAGCGTTCAAGGACGTTAGTTTTCTTGCTTTTTGCTTTCTCCCCATCTCCCGGGACTTTTCTTTCTCTCTTTTTCTCTACGCTTGTGCTGGCTTGTGGCGTTCTATCGGCTCTCCCGATCTCGTGGTCGCCGTAGTCGCCACGCAGCCAAGCCGTTGTCGCGTCGCCTTCGTTCAACCCCGTCCACATGAATGACGGCGGCGCTCTTTGAGGAATATGTGCGTGCGCTGGACCGCTGGACGCTTGTTTCTAATTCATTTTTTCTCGTTTTAGTAAGTGATTTCTTGCTTAAAACGAAGCTGTGATAGGTACGATTTTCGGAAGCGCTGGAGTTTCGAAATCCGCGGTCGGTACTTCGGAAATTTCGGTACTTTGCTTATCTAGAAACTTCGCTTATCTCGAAATTTTTCCCGGTTTTTATGACTTCGAGTTAACGGGGGTTTACTGTAGTAAAGACAAGTCGAGTGAGGCTAGGTTGAGGCTATCGTGTAACACTTCTGCGCACGTAAGAGGGACATACAGCATTGGGCACCCCTAAATATTGGCAGTGTCAGTCATCCCTAAACATTGGCAGATTGGTACCCCAAAAAAAGGCAAGTATTGGCTCAGTACCAGACATCCATAAAGATCGGCACAGATTTGCTCAGTATTGGGTATCCCTACATATGTAGTGTCGGGCACCCCTCAACATAGGAACAGAATCGGGCATCCTCAAAAACTGGAAAAGATCAGCTCGGTATTGGGTATCTCTAAAGACTGGCCCAGACTGCTTCAGTGTCGAGCATCTCCACAGATTAGCACAAATTGGCTCATATCGGCATCCCTAAAGGTTAGCTCAGTATCGGGAATCCCTAAAGGTTGGCAGAGATTAGCTCAGGTGTAAGGGTATCTTCAAAAAAAAAGTACAGAATGGCTTTGTATTGGACAACCCTAAAAATTGGCACAGATCAGCTTAGGCATAAAGATTGGCACAGACTAGTTTGAGAATCAGGCGCCCCCAAGCACAGATTGGCTTTTTATCAGGCAGCCCTAAAGATCGGCATGGATTGGCTCGGGTGTCGGGCACCCCCACCTGTTGATCTCTGGGTTGCCCACTTGCAGGATGAGCTCCTCCACTATGTTGGGGTCCGTGTCGAGCAGCTCGTCCTCCTGGCTCTCCTCGCGGAGGAACTGCAACAGAACCTCCGCGAAGGCCCCCTTCTGGCTGAGCAGCTCCTTGTAGCTGCCCTGCTCCTCCACTCGGCCATCCTTCAGCACCAGGATGTGGTCCACTTGGGGCAGGTACGAGATGCCGTGGGTCACCAGCACACGCGTCTGCAAGACGCATTCGGCCACGTGTTTGTGGGAGCCTATCGCGACTAGGTCTCCAAATTTGCCTGGATTTTTATGGTTTTGCCTCAACCATTGGAAGGAAAAAGAAAGTATAGTGGCCACAAGTTCTTGACACTTGCCAAACTTTCAGAGATTTGGCATTTGCCAAACTTTCCCAGATTCGGCACTTGCCCAATTTTCAAAGGTTCAGCACTTGATAAAACTTTTGAGATTAAAGGGATGCTGAAACAACATCTGGCACTCGCAAAACAAGACTGGAGCGGTAGGCAGTTGGCCACACCTTTGAAAAAGAAGTGCACGACTGAAACCAACGATAGGGAGTTTGCGCTTGTCTCTTCTCTCTCCTCTGTTCCTTTTTATTTGTGCGCAATTTTAACCATGTGAAAACATGGTTAAACCGACTAGACATATCACGATTCTCATTCCCTCTCCTCTTTGCTTTGTCCCTTCGAGCAGGTGAACTGAAGCAAGGAGGGAAAAGGGAAGCCGCTTCCCCTCATTCTCGACTGTTACAGGAAAATCGTCACGTTGCATTCCTCACTTGATCGCGCACTTCTTTTCCAAAAATATGGCCATCCCTTCGAGATATTGAAGAATGAAAGGTGCTTTGGAGTTAGCGTTCCATTCAGCGCTTCTGCGGCCTTATTTTGTGAAATCCAAATTTCGGTTCAACATCCCTTTAAGCCCTTCCCAAACTGTCCGAGATTTGTCCCTTGTTCGAGCTAAGCACTTCCAAACCTCTAAAGTTCGCCGCTTGCCAGACCTTTTAAGGTTCAACGCTTGCCGAACTTCTGCGAGCAGTTCCCCATTTTGGCAGGATTCCTTTCCTTTTCGTGGCACCCCCCGCGCGAGCAATTCGAGAAAATTACCCTCAAGTTTCATCAAGAACTACGCCACACCAAACCATAGTGTGAACTCTGCCCGGACTCCCAAATGTCTCAAAGTCTCGTTTCTTCTTCACTCTAGACTTTGTCGTTTCAGTGCCCGCCGTGCTTCCAGACGCCTCGAGGCCCCTTCACACGCACAATGCAGTGCTAACTCAGCACCGATTCGGCACTGACAGTACCCGCCGACGTGCCAACTCTGAGTCATCTCGGCACCGAGACGCACATGTGGACCAACCAGCCTTCAGTGCCACACAAAGAACGCCACGGTCGACCTCTTCCGCCGAGCGAACAGAGTGTCCCACCTTGTTCTTCAGCGCTCCGTTGGGGCCGATGACCTTCTCGAAGATGTGCCGTCCCACGTGAGAGTCGACGGCGCTCAGGGGGTCGTCCAGAAAGTAGATGTCAGTGTCGCTGTACACGGCACGGGCCAGGCTCACCCGCTGCTTCTGCCCTCCACTCAGGTTGATGCCCTGTCAACACACGGCAGAGCGAGGCACGTAAAGATGTGCAGGTGCGCTAGCTTAGTGGGACAGCGTGCGAGATGACGAACGTCAAATACTAACAGACCAAATTAGCTTTAGAGCTTGAGGCACCCTATACAATAATAATAAGGCTTTCGTTTCCTCTTCTGGTTCGGACGAAAAGGAGGAGGCTAAGCTAACGTCCAGGGATCATGGGCGTGGCCTGGATACTTGTGAAACGTCCCTGTATTGACCAGAGAAGGAAACGAGACAATAATGTGTGTGGTTTCGAAGAAAGAGGTAGCCTCGCATGCAGTTCAGTGGCGGCTGTGTTTCCAGTCAACATAAAATAAAACAAAATTAACTTTCTTCTTGTGAAGCTTGGGATTTTCTTCTTTGGGGACAGCTTTGATTCGGTGTCTTTCGGTTTTCCCCGACCCTTATAAAACTGGCTCGGGTGGGTAATTTTCGGTGTTTATTGGCATTTACCAACACGGAACCCTATTCACAAACAGCGAAATAATGATAAAACAGAAACTTGAACGCATGCAAACTACTCACATTATTGCGCTGATTGGGTAGACTATACATGTAAATAAATTAGACACGTAACTAGATGTCTGGCTATTACTGGCAAGACTCACGCTGGTTGCCCCCTCTTTGTATTTTTATTGATTCATACTTGCCACGGCCAACTGGGAGTTTTTCGTCAACATCTGCGGACGCATTTTTTCCCAGATCCTAGCGCATAACTGCTTCGCCGTAAAGAATATACCTTTCGAAGTTTGCGTACAGCCACAAAGATCTGCTACTCCAAGGTTGGCAAACGTGCTCCCAAGGAAAAGAGAGAAGAGAGAAAATGAGGCTCACCTTCTCGCCGATCTCGGTCATGTCCCCTCCAGGGAGGACCGAGAGGTCGGACTGGAGTGCGCACTGCTCCAGGACGCGGTTGTAGCGCTCCCGCTCCATGGGTTTCTGGAACAGGATGTTGTCCCGCACTGTCGCATTCTGGATCCACACCTGCTGGGCAATGTAAGCCACCGACCCCTGGAGGCGACAGATGCAGAAGAGAAGGGAAGGGCGACCCCGTCAGACACGAAAAAAATGCAAGAAGGGTGCAAGAGCACATGATTGTGTTTTTAACAAGCAACACTGTCTATTGGAATGGTATGATGCAATGTGGCACACTGACTTAACTTCTTTATCCATGGATAGGGTGACCATATTCGACAGCACAGAAAACGAAACATCCGGAGGGGTGGGAAGCAAACCGGGAGAGGGATCAAACAAAACAGCAAGCTCTGCCACTATTCAGTTCACTGTACAAATGCGCACTTTTCCCAAGTTCTTCATTTAGTTAAGTGGACAAGCACCTTTCTTCTTCATTTTGAAACAAAACCGAAGCATGCCAAAAGTATAGCAATATAAAAAATGCCCCGAGCATCTGTGCGGACAGAACGTATTGACAGATGGGACCACAGAAATAGCTCGAAATGTACTCTATGGGAAGTAAATTTTTTAGTAGACTAGTTATTTTAATACAATGTATTACCGTAAAATCCCGTAAGAGCGCCCAGCCATCAAGCAAGCAAGGTTTGTGCGGGGCGCCCACCAAAATAAAAGAGCTCAACACTGCCTCGAGGCCATAGTCTCACTTGAGCAACAAATGGCAAGCAACCAACAATGATCAACCTCAACCATGGGCAGCATGAATGTAAAGGTATCTTTGGTACACTTGCAATCTCTCGGTGCTCGTGAAGTAAGCACGAGCCAATGCAAGCCTGCAAAAGATACATTCGAGAGCATGCTGTACGCACCTGAGGTCTGTTGTCGTCGGCCGTTGCCGTTTGTCACACAAGTGGGACTAGCGCACAGGCACTAAAGTGGGACTAGCGTGTGGCCTCTAAGAAATGGGTTTCTAGTTAAACAGGCGTTCCCCAGAATACCCTCAAGTGTTCCCCAAGCTCTGAAATTTCCTTTACTGCCGCAGTTTCCGAGTAAAAGGTGTTCCCCGTTATGGAACATTTTAGCAACTCTAACAAATCTTGCCTAGTACGGTTATTACTGTTTACGTGGTTTATAGGCTTCCGCACCACTTTACTCCATTAATTTTAAGACTTGAAGGGGTTCTTTGGCCATCCATCGAGAAATAGGCGTCCCTCAAGATAAGAAAGTTTAAGAACCGCTGGACTAGGACATGAGAGAACCGGAAGAGACGTGGCAGTCGACGAGGGAAGAGAGCTTACGTGGATGTTCACGGTGCCCTGGATGCGCTCCATGTCGCCCAGCAGGGCGGACAGCAGGGAGGACTTGCCGGCCCCCACCTGCCCCACCAGTGCGACCAGCTTGCCCTTGGGGATCTTGATGTTCACGTCCCTCAGCACCGGGTCCTCGTCCCTCGTCCAGGCAAACGAACCATACTCCACGGTCACCGGATTGACTGCGAAAATGACGACAACGATGCATCAAAAACCTCTCACCGGATGTCACTTCCATGATGTCGCCGGGCGGAAATCGAGGGACCGCTTTTTTGGACGCGGTAAACGCATCAGTCGGAGGATCGCTCCAGGCACTGTAGCAAAAAGACGTCATCCAAGCTTCGCGACACCGCGTGAAAAGCTCGGGAAGTTGGATTTCTAAATCGCAACAATTACCAATAGACCGTATGCAACATTGTTTGAACGTTTGGCAACACACTGTGCGCTGCCGTCTTCGGTGCGTCGAGATTCTTCTGCTGTTTGTCGATGTCATAGTAGTGTTGGTAACAATCAACGCGTACCGCTCACCGTCGTCGATCCTCACCCACGCCTGCCGGCTAAAGGTTTGTATCGTTTTACGCTCTTCCTTGCGCACGTGCGTGCTCGTCATTCCGCCGGTCGCCGTTTTCTCGCAGCAACCGACACAACGAACATGCACTTCGGCTCGAAATTTGGCTTTGAGTGCCAGCAAAGGCACGGGCACAGGCGCCTGGTTTTCAAAAGTGGTTTCTCCGCCCGAGTGCTTGTCAAGCAAAGGAGTCTTCAAAACTGCACTTTCAAGCCCTAGCCTTTGCCAGCACCGAAGCCAACCGGTCAGACAGAGCATGTACTTCTGCGCCCCACTGGAGGGCGCTGTGCATTTTGCATATGGTCTTTTGCACCCACTCTGCGCTAAGCACCAATAGTGCCGAGGCATCCACGAGACAGTCGGGGAGAGAAACGCATATACTCAAAGCATAGTTCATTTACTGGCCCTAGCGTGCCCCTGGATGCAGACTTAAGGTTCAGCAATGTGACGACATGTTCAAAGACACCGTTCTGCTGCCCTTACAGGTCTTCAGTATGTCTGGGCAGCGACAAATTTCCGACCCGTGTTTTGTACCTCCCTCTCGTCTCGTATACTTCGATTCGGTACGTGGCTCGGTCAAAGCCGCACTCACCGTCATCCTTCTCGTGCGTGACGTACTCCTCGAGTTCTTCGTTGCCGAGGTACTTGTTCATCCTCTTCACCGACACGCTGGCCTGGGCAAAACGAAACAAATCCCCGGTCAGTCACGGCGAAGGGACTCGCCAATAGCCAAGCTACGGACTAACCCAACGTTTACCAACGATTCCGCATTTGCCCGCACCGTATGTGGACACCGTGCATGCACAAAAACCAGATTCCCATTAAGGAAAGCGTTTGCGCATGCACCGTGCCGACATTGGTGCAACCACGGCAGCATGACGTACGAGCTGAGCGTCGGTACGCAAGCAGAACCACTTAAATACAAGTCTAAACATATAAATGTATGCGTGTAAATAAACACACTTCCATGTGTATGTACGTAAATGTATGCAAATGCATACATTCACGTACATTGTACCGCCACATGCACGTAAATGCATGTGGCGGTTCAAGTACTGCCACCGAGTACTTGAAACTTGCTTTTCTTTAGCCTCCCGTTTGCCGTGTCACGTAGCACATGAGATGAGGCCAATGAGCGAGCGGGGCCATGAAGCACGTTCCCCTACGTAAAACCCAGGTTTCCTCACCTGGACCAGCATGGAGATCAGCATGGGCAGCATGGACAGGGGGAAGCGCAGGATGTTGAAGAGCGTGAGGGACACAAAGGCCTTCTGGGGGCCCAGCACATTCTCGTTGCTCATCAGCACATAGGTCATGAAGGACATCAGGGACACCTGCACGGGGCAAGGAGACAGGGACACGGCTGCTGAGCGACCCAAAATAAAATTGATGCCGGTAACCAGGACCCCTAGGCGGAATTAACGCCGTACCATTTTGGTAAGGACGAGCATCCGGCCTCAGTCACAGACGTCAAACATTCGTGCCAGTTTTGTGCTCACTGGGAAGACGCTCGTATCATTACGACTATTTATCGAGGAACAGCTTCGAATGCAGATTCATTGGCATGCCAATTGACTAGAAGTGTTAGTCACTGATGTAACAAACGTGCCCCCACGAAAGCCAAGACGCTCGTGTTGTAAACCAAATGTTTATCGAAATTAACTTGTCACGTCGGTAGGCATCTTCCCATAGGTAAGCCACATTCTAGTGCAAATCTTTGTATACATATGCTTCGGACAGTCTCACGTAGCTAATGCCCTGCATGGCCACAATCCTGCATTGCCACAACCCTGCATGGCCACTACCCTTCGTGGCCACTACCCTTTGTGGCCACTACCCTTTGTGGCCACTACCCTTTGTGGCCACTACCCTTTGTGGCCACTACCCTTTGTGGCCACTACCCTTTGCGGCCACTACCCTTTGTGGCCCCTACCCTTTGTGGCCACTACCCTTTGTGGCCACTACCCTTTGCGGCCACTACCCTTTGTGGCCCCTACCCTACATGGACACCTTCCAGCACAACCACAGCAATGCAAAACACACAATTTTTATGAGGACACAATTTTTGTAAATTTCTCTATCCAAATATTGCAAAAGTTATCGCACAAACACATCACCCCATGGCAGTAATAAATATATAATGTACCACTCAAGATCGCATAATTAAGCCTGAAAAAAATTTCAAAAATTCATGCTCTGCAAATTTTGCAAAATATTGAACCCGCGAAAATAAGGCGGTCTATAGTAATCAGTTTCCTGTATGACCACTTCAATGCACATCTACCCTCGTACACGGCCGTGTTTAAGTACCCACGAGAAACTCGGTCAAAACCGGTGCCCACACCGAGCACATCTCCCCAACCTAAATGGACATGACTGAAAAGCAAGGCCACCTACCGCAGAAAACACACACAAGGCACTACAGCATATAGACAAGGCTGGCGCCGACAGCGAGGACGCCCCTCGATCCAGAAGACCTCGACTGCAAAGCGAGGCCGTCTATGGACACTGACAGGCTGAGAGTAGCAAGGCGTCTTTTTCGGCCTCCAGCAGGCGCTTACTACCGCCTTCACCCATGCTTTGGCTGTGCGTGCACACTCGAAGCCCGTGAGACGCCAAAGCATCACCAAAGGTAAGAAGCTCACACTGGGAGTGGGACAACTGAAACTTCTCGCCGTTCTTTCTCATCCTGTAGGTTCTTACAGTGCGCAACACACACACACGGAACTAAAGACCCAAAGCGGCCCGTATAGATGCCAGCCACCCACCAGGAAAGGGGCGCAGTTCCAAAGGAAGGAGAGCACGGACGACAGGTAGGCCATGGTGCGGAGGTTGGCCACCTCCTTCTCCCGGATGTCCTGCACCTGCTTCTCAAAGGACCTCTCCCAGGCGTACAGCTTGAGCACCTTCATGCCCCCCAGGATCTCGTTCATCAGCTTGATGCGCTCGTCCTTGTGCTTCATCTGGCGCGTCTGCAAGGTCACGGCACGAGAGATGACCACGGTGAAGACGGAGACCACAACAACGGTCGTAGCGAATTCGCAGTGGAAGGCAACCGATCCTTAAAAATTCGAGCGAGAAGGCCGAATGCAAAACAAGGCAAAATAAAAATAAATGGAAGACGTTTACGATTCCCTGTAATGCCAAATTAGAGCGCAGCTCTTGAGGAGGAGGGGGGAAGCTATGGTGAGGAGGGTATCCTCTCCTCTGTACCCTATCCTCCTCCTCCCTCCGTCCCCCTTCCTTGGTGACGTTACTCGTTACCCTCGTGACATCACTCGTGACCTTAGTGACCCTCGTGACGTTCTCGTGACCTTCGTCGAGGCCTTCACGAGTGACCTTCGCGACGTCACTTGTGACCTTCGTGACATAATTATGGGAAACGTCCCATAATGCAACGTGCAACTACGGCGATGGCGCTCAAGCCCCAAACGGGCGCCTAAAAGTTCCGCTCTAAAAAAAGAAGAAAAAAAGTCTGCTTCAGCAATTTGTAGTTCAGAAGCGCCTCATTCTGAACATTGTGAAAGATTGCCTTACAGTGCCTTCTGGTAAACTGCAGGCAGCTGGGCGTACGGCATGTTTTCACCCAGTTCCCTCCATACCCCGTTTCATACTTAGCATACAACCCTGTCAAAGCTACTGGCGCGAGCGCGTGGCTTCATTTATGGCTTCGTTTGCTCGAGAATGCGTGCAAATGATCTGCGAGATCAACGCTGTCCAAGCCGCTGGCGCATGCCTGAGCCAGCGGCTTGGACAGCATTATACACCAAGTATCATACGAAGTATAGGGTGTCCATCCCTATACAATACTACTACTAGTTCATCTTCAGTAAGCTCTTAGAAAAAAGTGTATAGTAAAAATGACCAGCAAAACCAAATGAAATATCATTTCTACTCAATTAGTATTCAAACTTTCAAACATCTTCCAATGCCTAATAATCACAGTTTGATACTGTAGAATAGGGGGTCAGTGACCTTTCTCAGCGAAACAACCTTTTCAAACTTTTTTTAATGCTCGATTTATTTTGATCGAGAGAAAGTTGATAAATCTGGCACTCTTCAAAATTTGTAATACAAGTTGCAGTTTTTTTTTTTTCTTTGATTATAGCATGTTATTTTACTCCCAACTTTGTCCTTTCTAATGTGACAAAGGGCCCGTCTTGGATTCCTTGTTTCTTCTCATAAAACGTTAGAATGCGAACGCCGATCTAATACCGAACGCCGGCGTTCTAGCAGTCTACCCTCTAATCGGCACCAATAAAGAAACAAGAAAAGCCACCAATTGGCACAGAGGTAGGACGTCGAGCTCAGGATCTTGGGGTCGTGGGTTTGATCCCCATTGTGGAGCGTGTAGGATTTTGTTCTTTCTTCTTAATCTACCACTCTTTTGTACGGATTGCCCCCTGAAGTGTTTGTTACATGTTTTGAGACGTTATTTGTGATGTCCCGTCCCACTTTACTTAGGGATCTGAGCCCCTAGACACTTTCGATGTTAAAGAAAGAGAAGAAAGCATCCGGACCTGTAGCTTCTTGGAGTAGGCGGCGAGGAAGCCATTGATGGGCACCATGAGCACCATGACGCCCACGCCGGAGAGCACGGCCACCCCTAGCAGGTCCCAGAGGAAATAGAGGGCCAGGGCGATCTGGAAGGGTGCCGACCACAGCATGTTCAGGAACACCATCAGCTCCATGAACTTCTGGGCGTCGTTCGACATCAGGTTCACTATCTCCCCCGTGGTGGACTCCTTCTTGGCCGCGTTGGACAGCACCAGGCTCTGCGGGGAAAGACAGCACGGGGAAATAAATAAACGACGAAGCAAAGAACAGACAAACTCTTGTGGCAAAGCCCACGATGGTGACACAGAATGTATTGGCATCACTTCGGGGTGGCGACACTACAAACAAACTTTGTTGTGCGTCTGAAAGGAAGCCGTGCCAAGTGTAGGACTCCAGTGGAAATGTAAAGCGAAATTTGTGTCTCTTACAGTTGCCCCCCCAGCTTTGACCCTGCCGTTTCGCGTTGCCCGTTTCTTCCGAAGTCAATGTTTGTTCTCTTCCCCCTCGCAGACTGCATCCTCCCCCTCTCCCAACACATGCGCAATTGTGCTCGCTGCTTGGCAAACAACATTTCAAACTCTCTCTTCCCGCGTGCATCCTCGGTGCAGTTCGTCCAGCGTCAGAGCAGCAACTGGAGGGACGCCAGTTCGAACCCAAGAGATGCCACACTTTTGCCGGTGCTTCTTTTATATTGAATTTCTACGCGACGCTCTTTCGGCAAAAGAATCTGCATTACAAAAATCCACTGCGGTCCAGCCATAACACATAATCTGTGCTAGGAAGTTTAAACACGCAGTGTGTACGCCAACAAACACGGGGCGAAATCCGAGATGCCAACCTCACCTTGCGGTAGATTGCAGAGATGAGGCAGGTGCGGATGCGCATGCCCACAATGTACATGCGCTGGAAGTAGGCCGACAGCAGGAGCGACTGCAGCGTGGCCGTGGCAAACATCAGCACGGCGTAGAAGATGCCCTTCCACAAGGGCTCCCCAGAACCCACAAACCCTATCATGGCCCTGCGAGGAAACGGAGGTACGGCCAAGGGTGAGACCTCGCTAAAGCACTGACTTGGTGTAACAACAACATGGCCAAGGTGAAACAGAGTTTTAGGTACTGTTATATCCCAAGTCACCGCCTACCTCCCTGCCACCTGAAATTTATTTAAAAAAAAGTGGGGTGGGCCATATCTCCGTGGGTAAGCACAAAACATATAGAAAAACCTAAAAAAACACCCATTTTCTCTGTAAGTATCTAGCATGGCTGCAGAGGAGATACATGAAACTCGAAACTCAAATCAGTTGCATTATTTTATACAAAAAATACCCATGAAAGAATGTTTTACTATAGCAAAGTCCAATACTTGCATACGCGCGATGAAAACTGTGCATACGGTGCAAACGTTTGTTCCGGGAATGCACGTTTGAACACTCTATGTTCTTTTCGTTAGTAAAAAAAAAAAAAAAAAAGGTCAACAAGAAAATGGAAAATTTAACCAGGAGCAATGAGCGAGCGATCGAATGAGCGAAAGAAGCAACGAAGAGCGATGCTGGGGAGGCAGGAAAGCCTGCGACCGCGTTGGCAAATACTTTGGCGTCGGGCCAAGTCGCGCACCTCGTCAATCTCAAGTAGCAGGCTCTTGCGCGTCTTCCTTGTTTGGTGCATCCGTGCGCGCACTCAAAATGCGGCGTGCTATCATTGCGGGTTGAGGCAGCGTTGCACCACGAACACGGAGCTTGAAATGAGACACTTTACAAGCGTCTTGCGCACGGCATTCCAGCAAATCTTTTTGCCCGTCGGCTGTCACAAGCATTGCACAATCTTACCAACCGTGGTCGCGACGTCCTGGGAGAGTGATGGGGTAATCAGGGTGACCTTATTTTGGTGGAGACTGACTTTGACCTTGCACGCCGTGGTTACATTCCAGGATATGAGGCATTCGCTGACCCCGCGACCCATGAGTAGGTTACTGTTTGTGTTTTCTTTCCAAATTTTCTTTTCTCTTAGAGCAAACTTTTTTGTAAGGAAAACAAATTTTTATTTTGTTACCTCTATCGTTTCCTTTTCGCACGCTTGAACTCAAACTTTAAGGTCGGGCAAATCGGGGAGGAAATGTGCAAATGAAGTGAAGTGTCTTTTCTTGCTTCGTTTTACTTTGTCACGGACGTCCTCCAACTGTAAGGTCTGAGGCCACGTCGTTCGGGTTGGACGAATGTTCACGGATTGCGGAGTTCATGTTGGGTATTTGTAGGGGTGGGCAATCACTCTGTATTTTCTTGGAAATCGATATTCGGCCAAAAAGTGTGGTGGGCAACAACTTGAGGTTGGGCGATGACTCTGGATAACGGTATGCTCCCAATATTTGTACAGACACCCAAGGAAGTGCGGACAAGGCACAAAAATAAACCTAAGGTGGTACTTTTCTCTGGTACAGACTGATGTAGCGAAGATACGGGTATGGTGAAGTAGTGTTAAAGTGTGTTTGCAATAGTGATAGAGGTAAAGATCTCTCTATAGTGAAAAAAGACATCCTAAAAAAAATATAAATACCTTAGTAAAAAAAAAATGTAGAGCCCTTCCCGTTTATGTGAAGATGGAGGACACGCGAAGCTGTTATCTTTACAGTGTCTAGGAAGATGCCTAGAGGACGACGTCTAGTACAACCTCAAGGACTTCTTGGATGACCTCAATGACGACGCCTAGAGGACGACGCTTAGAGGACGTCTAGGACAACCTCAAGGATGATGTCTAGGACTACTTAAAGAACGACTTCTAGGACGACCTCGAGGACGACTTCTAGGAGGACCTCGAGGACGAGCCTAGGACGACCTCAAAAAGGACGCCTAGGATGACATCAGGGGCGACATCTAGGACAACCTCAGGGACGACTTCTAGGACGACCGCGAAGACTATGTCTAGTGCGACCTTGAGATTGACGTCTAGGGCGACCCCTAGGATGACCTCTAGGACAACCTTGAGGACAACCTCTCGGACGACCTCAAGGACGACATCTAGGACGACCTCGAGGACGACTTCTAGGACGACGCCTAGAAAAATTCAGCCTTTCCACTCTGGTGAAAACCAGAGCAAAAAGGCTGGAGAGGTTGCCGCAATCTATGAGCAACGGTGGCAACCAGACAACCTGCAAGCCGGTTGTCTGGTTGCCGCGTCGCTATAGATGGCGGTAGCCGTCCGGAGTTTTGTGTCAACATTCGTTTGCCCGCGAACACGATACCGGGGAAACTAGCCTTTCACAGCTCTGCTGTAAAAGAAGAAATACGCTTGTGGTACTGATACAGAGAAGATTTCTCCCAGAAAAGCTGACCTTACCAGAGAGGTTCTACAGTAGCTATGACTAAACTATAAATTGTGAGTTACTCCAAAATTGCATTCAAGTGAGTTACAGAAATGCAACATGATTGCAGAGGCACAGCGTGGCTGGACAAAGAGCGTTCGCATTGGCTTCGGCAAATGGTAGGAGCGCGACTGCATCCGGAGACCTCACCTGAGAATCTGGGGAGACACGAACTGGAGGGTGTCGGTGCCCAGCTTCAGGACGCTGCCGGCCACGAACATGGGGCCAAAGGTCTTGGCCAGGGCACGCACTATGCTCAGCTGGGACGGCTTGGCTTTTGCCGACTTGTTGCTCGGCTCGGAGAACTTTACCTCCCCCTCGTGGTTCACGTGGTTGTGGAAGCTGGCTGCCACGTCCGTCCTGGGACGTACGCGTGCAGAACTAGCGTCAACACCACATGCCACGTCGGGCGAGATGAAACTTGAGGGCTCTTAAGCTAACGGAAAATGTGAAGAAGTCAGGGCTGGCTGAAAGACCTTGAAAAGGAGCCTCATGAAGGCCTTAACCCTTTAAGGGGGGACACTACCCGGAGAAAAAAAGATTCTTCAAAAAACATTGATTTTGAAAAATTACATATTTACATCCATCTACACTCAGAGAGTATTCCCAGAAATTTTCACTAGTTTACACTGCATAGTTAATTTTTTATAAATTATTTTCTGTCCACCAAAGCTAAAGGAAAGGTAGGGTTCAAAGCACTTTGAACACATTTTTCTCCATTCCACTTTTTTGTATAAATTCCATTTTAGTCAATCTATCGTTTGAGAATGGAAATACAGGCAAGGCTCATTCTTCACTTTTCCTGACTGAAATTTAATAAGGAATGCGCCTATGGAGTTTGTTTGTCACTTTATGGATGTCTTTTATAAAAAATGTTGACATTTTGTCGGAGACACAGAAGACCAAAAAGTTGACCAATTTCGCAGAAGAGAAAATTGATAGAAATCAATTACTTTTTACAAAAACCTTTCCATAGGCACACCCTTTAGGCATTCCGATACATACCTAGCGAATAAAAATCTTTAATATTGTGATAGTTTTCTGACGATAGATTAACTAAACAGTGTAGGGGTGTTGCTGATAGAAGCTGCCCTAATTTCCTTCCCAATTAACCGACAGACCTAAAATTTTGTTATGCACCCTCTAGCATGACCACTAGCCTACCCTGTAAATTTCATTAATTTTAAGCCAAGGGTTCAAAAATGGACCCTCCCGGGGGGTGTCTCCCCTTAAGCACCAGGCAATTTATGCAAAACATCACCAAAATGCAACTTTTTTTATTGCTCACTTTTACAGCAAATTCGCTGCTTATCTCAAACATACTTTATGGGACGGGCATAGAATATTTAAAAGCTAGATTCAAGACTGACCCAAATTTACATCATAATATGATGAAATTCATGATCATCAAGGAAAACGTTGACACCAGGCGTGACAACAAAGAGAAAACGGCGAGGTGCCAGCAGAGGATTTGTCGTATCAACCACTGTCCGTATCCGGGCCGAAGCAAAGAACTCGTCGTCGCTGACATCCGAATCCTCGGAGTTTGGACACTTTTCCGTAGAGTCATCACTCCCGTTACTATCGTCTAGCGCGAAACCATTGTAATCCGAACTAAAAAAAGCTCCTCATCAAGCAAAGGCATGCACCTCCAAAAAGAGCGACGACAATCGCCTTCGGAGAAGGCTGTCATTTTGAAAACTAATGTTGCAGGTGGAACGCAGAAATCCGCAAATAAAAGCCAAAATTGGCAAGTTTTGGTTTGTTTTTCCTAGCGGTGGCCAGCAGGACCACTGATTTCGCAACGAAAGCAGAGTGGACAAGCGTGTCTAATTGCTGGCGTTTTGTGCACGGATTTGAGTGAGCAGACAAGTGATGCTCGTCCTCGCGTTTGCAGGAAGATTGCCGTGAACAAGTCACGCTTGACTACGATTCTTGAAGGGTTAACCCAACAGCAGATGCTTAGCCAAGGGCATTGGCTTCTTGAGGGTGTGAAGAATCCAAGCTCGAACTGAGACGTCCATTACCACTCTGATGCTTCCAGGAAGTCCACTTTTGAGTCTTAAACCCGTTGTGGATCATCCTGTTCCCTAAGATATATACGGTGAAATTTTATTGTCGTAAAAATGATGATGCACCGAGTGTTGGTAGGCGACCTCATTTGTTATCTAGGATTTTTATGCGATTAATGTGTTCTTCACATTACGCCTCTCCTAGTGTGTAGCTCACCAAGGAACGACAGTATTTGTCAATAAATAAACATCAAATTAACCTGAGGACGGGGCGAGCCAAATGATGAAAGGGTCAAAAGGACCAAAGAAAGGGAGACAAACCAGAGGCTTGGTGAGCATACATTTCTCGCCCAGCAGTTGCAAGGTGTACACTTTACACTGAAGTTTGATTACCACATTATCTGGTGTACAAGTACAAAGTTTCTTTTTTCTTAAATTTTCCTTGGTGCATTTAACGCAACATAGCGACTTGTGTGATTCTCTCCATAGGTAGAAAGAACCATCACTGAGCAAACGTGCCATGCGGGTCATACTTGTCGTTTGACTAAATTGGCAAGAACATCGAAAATGGGCTCTTGCTTCCACATATACTGTGCTTACAATACACATAAGCAGCATTATCAATGCAGTTTCACTGTATTGACTGTGGAAATATACATGTGCAACTTATGCAAAGGTGTAACTTAACTACCAACTCTCTTGTGAACGTTGACAGAAGAGGGGGGTTGACTTCAACCTTTGAACATCGTATAGAGAGGCACTACAGTAAATTCACCACTGCTGCCGCCAATGCACCTTAGCGTACCGAGGAGTCTCCTGCGCCGACGAAGGTCACTTTTCCGCAGTACCAGGCGACAAAACAGAGGATCGCCGCGGCACTCTGCTCCACAAGCGGAGTCACGCAATGTCACTCACCTCTCCTTGGTGGACGCCACCCGGGAGACCTCCGTCTGCCAGTGCCGGTCGAACGTGGGCACCACCTGGTCCGTCCGGTCCTTGAAGTTGAGCGTCCAGAGGTCTGTGGGCTCCAGGGGCTTCCGGAAGCCCTGGTAGGCCAGGGAGTCGAACCACGAGAACAGCAGCCGAGACAGGAACGAGGCCCCGCTCTCCGGACACTCTTTCTGCAAGGCAAATCGCCCAACAGGACGTCCCATGTGTAGGATTCCGTGTATTCAGAGTTTCTTTTTCGTCACATTCCGAGGGTGTTTTACGAAGCTTATTTCTGGCCGAAAATTCTGAATTTATCAGACTTTATTACGGCGAAAGCCTTACTTGTCCCATTAGGCGAAAAAGCGGAGGAGTCGTGCCCGAAAGATGGTCACACCAATACGTCATCAAGAAAGCGCCTCAGAAATAGGTCAAAGTAAACGCGTCTCCACTGCCATTGGCAACACTACCGTATTTACTCGCAGAATGAACGCACTTTTTTTTCCGAAAAATCGATGCAAAGTTAGGGAGGGCGTTCATTATGCGAAGTAAAATTTTTGTGTCCGTATTTACTCGCATAATGAAGGGACCTTTTATCCTGAAAAATCTAAGTAACTTCTTATCTCTTTGCGCGCGGCGCCCAACCCGCCCAACCCCGTAACCAAACTAAGCTGTGCAAAAAAAAAAAAAAAAAAAAAACTTTTCTTTTTCTCTTAGTTCCTTGTTTGTTTGTTTGTTTTTCCGCCTTTGGCAAGCTGTTTTGTTTGCATAGGCAAAGGCTCTCCGCTTATCTTTCTTATCTCCTTGCGCGCGACGCACGTCCGAGTTGGGGGTGCGTTCATTACGCGACTGAAAAAAAAAAAAGTCGAAATTTTGAAAGCCGACTTGGGGGGTGGTGCGTTCATTACGCGAGTGCGTTCATTGTGCGAGTAAATACGGTAATTTGTCCCACGGCAAATGTTGCAAACAAGTGTTGCTTCGATAAATGCCGATACCTGAACACCAATAAACTCGTGGAGGTAGTTGCTGGGAAGCTTGTAATCACCCCATCCTATCCATCAACCTACCCCACAGCTGTGCGGGGTGCAGTAGTAAAGGATGTAATATAGAAGCTTCAACTACCCACCCTTTCTTCCCCTTTCTATGAAATCTCTATGGTTCATAGCTTTCAATGTTACGAAAGCACACCCCCTAAGAAGCACAAATAGTAGTATGACCCAAATTGGAAAAACAGAACCTTGGCCTTTGTCATGACCTGTGTGTGAGCAGTGTAAGATGCCAAAGGCACGAGGTCCCCGCTGGGGGCTCGTCGACTCACCTCTTCCGAAGATGGGGCGTGCTGCCTGTAGACCGGCTTGGTGTCTGCAAAGCAGTTGAGCAGGAACTGAACCAGGACCAGCGGGTAGTAGGCCATGTAGGTGCCAAAGAAAAACGCCTGCCCCACACGCTCCTGCGCACAATTAGCAGCCATTTTTTGCAACGCCCGGAGCCACTGGTTAAATCGCGGGGCACTGACACCTTGGTTAGAACTGCAGTTTTCTGTGCACTCCCTCCCAACAATGCAGACTCCCGTCAAACTCTTATGAACGTGAAGTGTGTTACAGGACCGTGTTCCGTCGAAGGAGCGACACATCGCATTTGATTGACACACGAGTGAAGGTCATTTAGGCAATATAGCCCCATAGGGGTTACATTGCTTGTACGACCTTTATATCGGGGTGTCACACGACGTCATTATTGCCAATGCCATGTGACATCGCGGTCAAGCGACCCCTCGACGATATGACGACACATTATGTCACAGTTCGTTCGCAACACGTTTTGTGCGTCCCAGAGTTCGTCGAATATGATAAGAAAATGCATAAATTTTACTGCCATGAAGTCATTCAATGACATCGGATGAGGCCCTAAATTCAAATAATTCTGGCAAGGAACGGGTTTACGAGATCCTTAAAGCCCCGGAAATACGAAGCACTTCAGGCACTGTATCACGAAAACCTAACTAGCCTTCCCAAAAAGGCTCAAAGTACACCTAAGTCCTTCTTATGAGTTGTGAATTCCAAAGCATGAATGTTGTTCTTGCAAGCGCTCCCGTGGAGTGACCGTGCCACGCTATCATCGGCCGTGCTGCAGCTCTAGAGCCTGCCCAAGCAGGCTAAAGGCCCCGCCGCCAGCTGATTTCTTTTACTGGCGTGCTGGCGGCACGGGCCCACAGCGCCATGGGGTGGCGCTCCTTGAAACTGACGCACGGCGGCCAATGGGAGCCTCGTTCCTTGAAACTATGAGGCTCGCCAGCCAATAGGAGCTTATCCATCAGATTTCGACTTCACTTTTGGAGAGGTGAATTTAATTTATCTGCTGTTCTTTGCGTGGCTTTTTGCGCGGCTTCAAAGCTGGGAGGCTTCAGATCGCGGGTTCACTTTGCTCTTCAGGGAGAGGGAAATTTAGCTGCCACTTGGCGCAGCTTCACAGCTGATGACGTCGGCTCTGTTAATGGCTGTCTAGGGCGGCAAAATGCCAAGTCCACCTCTACAAGGATGCAAAACAAATGATGCCGTTGTTCCCAACCGCTGTAGCCAAAGAGGTGGCCGAAAGAAATGCTGGAATGCAGATGGTACTTTTCAAGGTGACATGACTCTGGCAAGATAGCGGCGCATCGGCCAAGTGAATGTGGCACAACATCGTCTTGCCAGCATTGGGGTGGGTGAACTCATTTCCAATGCATTTCCCTCTGAACTTACAACAGAGCAAAGAGGCGGCCATATTAAAATTTTGGAACCAATGTTGCCTTTGCTGTTAGTGCTTTCCAGGCTAACAGAAAAATTTGGCTACATCACATTTTAATATGGCATCGGCTGCCTCCCATCACAAAGCCGGTGTTGTTTTTGTTCTTTTTGTTTCAATGGCGAAGAGCTGGTAAGCTGGCCACAGTGACAACCAGCGAACATCGCGATCGATACGACGACCAGCTGGAACGTTTGTCGTGTGTAGTGCGACGATGGGCGACGCATACTTACGTCAACGTGGAGTGTGCCTAGGTTGATGAAATTCTAACCATATGTCTAGTGCAGGGATTCTCAAAATTTGTGGTCTCGCGGAACCCCAGGAAGCCTCAAAAACAATCACGGAACCCCCTCCCCCCCTCTGTATTTGCCGACCGAGAAGCCACAGATGCACAATTGTAGACAATTTTGCTTGCGTTGCTTCCCCAATATCCCTGCCATATCAATCGCGATGTCAGTACAAAGTGAGATGAAGGCGCTTTGCATGGTCCTGCCGCGCAGCCTGCGGCATAAGAGGTAGGGGGGGGAGGAGAGGGGGTTGCAATTTGGGTGTTGGCAGAACCCATGAGACGAGCTCATGGAACACCTGTGTTTCCTGGAACCCAGTTTGAGAACCCCTGGTCTAGTGCTTCATCAGATGTTTGGCCGCTTGACTGCTCCGACTCAGTGGCCCTCGGAAGCAACTCTGTGAATCCTATCTAATTTGGTTTTAAAATAAGGAAAATTCCCGATACGTAATGTAAGTGTCATTTGCGGGCATTTTACCTCACTTTTAATTAAAGTGCCAACCGCCCGTGCCCGTCTTTTTTGCCACTTTTACTCTATCGCCGTGTATTGTTGAACCGGTTTTGTTTTGCAGCGCACACCACTGAATATCCCCTAGAAACTGTCGGGCATGAAGATCTTTGGGTGAACTATACCTGTGTCACGATATGATGTAGTGTTTAATGATGATCACTCGCATCTCTTAATTATTTACCAAGTTTTTACATATTTTATTATTTTTTCTGGTGTGTGATAAGAATCAATGGGAACTAAACATTGCTGGTATGAGGATTTTCGTGGCTTTCACGTTGTTGTCCTAGGAAATACTTTTGGTGAGCTTTGACTAACATACCAGTAGAAATTATTATGCGGTGTGTAAGTTTAGGTAGCGGGGGGTCTCTGTTCCAAGGGTCGTTGGACGTCTCCTCTGTACAGTACAGAGAGAAACTGACAGGGGCGGGGATCAAGTACAAGACTCCTGGGTTCCGACTACAAGCTTTGGTGCGCTGGCACCAATGCTAGTACACTCTGCCACTGGTCCCCGGACCTCCCCATAAATATATATATCGATAAACAGACGATATTTAGGATGAGCACACGCAAGTTGTTGTGCGTGATCCGCGTGATCACACGACAAGCCGAACCGAAACCAAACAGAGCAGCTAAAAAATTAGTTCAGCCAATGCATGCATTTCTCTAAACAGCTGCCGAAATGTTAGGAATATTTGCATCTCTTCTTATGCCAAGGTGTTTTTATATCCATCCGACGCATTATAAGCTAAACACACCTGATTTTCTTTGAAACTCAAATAGACAAAAAATAGTTTTTGTAGAACTAACCGAACATACAAGCAGTTTAGAGACCTAGAATTGATATGTCCATCTCCGCAACTTGCCACGACCGGTTGATCGCTCGCATAAAATTCTCATATTTAAACATATCTAAAATGTTCCTGGCCAAAAAAACTTGTTTTCTCTCAAGGCATTTCGTGCATGAAATAGAAATCATTCCTGCATCCTGGTGGCGTTGCAAGCCCGAGACGCTTGGATTTTCCCATCGCAGCAGAGAAACGCTATTCTGAAGTTCTCTTGTGTAGCGTGTGTTAATGCAAGCGCTAAATTTAGCGCTAGCGTGCGTGAAAATTCCTTACATTATTCTTATACACCCTGATAAGCACACACTTGCTAGAGATTTCGAATTATCTACTTTTTGACGAAAAAAGAGGTTTCATTTTCCTCTTTGATTTCGGGTCCGAATTTTCTTCGCACACAAACGCGAATCGTTGTGAACTGTGACGGACAATTGTTTTTTTCGTTCCAGAGCAGAACGAGAACAAAACTTTTTTTCTATGGAACGAAACCAGAACCAGGAACATTAAGTTCCGAAACCCTGCTCACAAGACATGCGGAGAATCAAGCACCGAGACCCCAAGCGTAGCTTGACCAGTGTCTCCGGACCTCCTGGGTCGTAGCACTAAGAGAGACAAAGTGCAATGGTTCACTTCCGTACCGTCGGACTTTCTGGTGACGCAGGGCCGGCACTCAATTAAAACCACTGTTTGTACCCGCCCTAACCAAAGGTGAGAAGCGTAAGAACATTCCCCACCTCCCCCAGACAAAAGTCTTCGCAAACTTACATTGGGCGGATGATACGACTCGTCGTCGTCGGCTGGGTCTGCGGCGAGGGCGTGCTTGAGGTGCGACCTGTAGGCCACAAGGCCGCACAGCAGCATCAGGAACCAGAAGAGGAAGAGCGTCCCCGATGACCGGATCCCGCGCTTCTTGCCCGCCAGCAACATCGTGGTGGCCAGCAACTGCAGTGGCACCGCATTTAAGGAAACAAATTGTTGCCGAAATTGCCACTCAGATTGTAGTTAAAATGCGATAGCATTTTGCACCGTCTCGTCCCGCGTAAACGTTCCTTCTGTTTAAGAACTGCCATGGAAATTCTAATCATATTATTTCTCATTGTCCACAAAGTCTTCTATTACGTTTAAAACCAATTAAAATAACAGTCTGATCTAACCGTCCACTTTCCGCGACCAACCGACGACCTTTGTTATAGCATTAGGGCACTTTGAAAGTTTCGCTCTTACTATATGCATATAAGCATAAAATGGGTACAAACATAACGAGACTTGGCAGCTGCATTTGCCGTTCCGAAGCCTATACACTACACCCCATTCATTGGGCGCATTACCCCCCAATGCATAATTGAATTAAATATGTAGCAAATGCGTGTCGCCTGCATCGCTGCCTACAAACCGAGCCACAGACGTGTAAGCGCATAGGGTTTGCTCATAAAGGCAGCCGGATTTAAAGTTTGATGCATTTTAATCCTGGAGATTAAGTCAGAAGACAAAGTATGTGCAGCACGTTTTGAGCTGTGTGAGGTATTCATTTAAAAGCTTTTCTGAACTCGCCGTATGTATGAGAAACGAAACTTGCCCAGCGTCGTCCAAAACCCCTAAATCGGTCAATTTTAAGACGGCTTGAAGCATGTGGGAAGCGCAGGGGTGTGCCAAAAAGTTACCACTCCTGCAAAAAAGCGCAATACCGGCGATGCAGAAACTTGAATAAGAATATTCTCCTAGTTTTTGCATCAGTGTACCTTGCGCCTCCTGCACGGGTGGTAACTTTGGTGCACTCCCGCGTTTCCCACGTGCTTCAAGTTGTCCTAAAACTAATTGACTGATTTAGGGGTTTTCGGTGATGCTCAGCAAGTTTCTAGTTAGAACCACATCTTTATTTTCACTAATTAAAAGCTAAGGCTTATTTTTTAGGTAATCAGTTGTCTAATTAGAACGTTTTTTATGGAATCCCTCATGTCTGCCACGGCTGGCAGTTTGTTTCCGAAGAGGTTTTTTTGTGGTTGTTTTTTATCAACCACCTTGCTTTCAAGGGTTCGTGAAATATCAGAAATGCACCCTTCCAAGAAGCACCCGGCCCGGGGGCAAGAGAACCCTTCTCGAGAACACTCGCTGGGTTTGAAGCTAGTCTTTCACCTACCGCTCTGCTAACCCTAACTGAGCAGGCTATTGATTTCAATAGATGCAGCCTACGTAAGTGCAATTACAGACGCTGCTGGCAGCTGAATTCTCACCTTTTCCCGCTGTACTTTTCGAGTTCCATTGTGTACATATTTTACCAAAGACACTGTGAAAGTGTTGTACCACATTTAAAACTAAAATTTTTTTTTTATTTTACGAGTTTTGATGGCGTCACTTGCTCAACTGTGTCAGTCGACAAAGTGCCTAACTGTCGAAAATAATTTGCAACAGAAGATAGCCGAAAGGCATGCATATTTCGCACGCACAAATAATGTGTTCACTGACGTACACGACGAGACTTGGACATTAAATTTAGCAAATGTTAGCATTCAAACGATATATTGTGCGTACCACACTGTGCAGTGTTATCCGAAAAAATATTTTAGAAAGATCTCGGATAACACAGCACTACAGTGCCAACGACAGTCACATCTCGACGATTGGAGGACAAAATACAAAAGAACCTCGTTTCAGGGCACGTTTTGGGGAGAGCTTCCTTTTTTCACACCAGCACTGAGGCAAAGAAACGGACACGACTGATCCACCCCAATCTGAACAGCTATTTTCGACGAAAACTGAGAAGGACTATGCGCGCATTATCTCTGGGAGGGGGGAGAAGAGTTGTCATTGTTCGCGGGCCATTCGACATCCTTCCCTTCCTTCGTTAGGCGTGACTGTTGAGCAGAAACGCTGGAGTGGCAGGCACTCGCCAGCCCTAATTCTCCCATTGGAAGATAACACAAAAAGGGTATGCAGAATGTGCAAGGAAAATAAAATAAAAGTTTAAAGAGGGGCCGGAAGACTTGGAATGCAAAACCGCAAAACATGGATGGAGAATCGTGCTCAGCAGTTTTCAGCAGTCGAAGAGAGTGGCAGAAAATATCTAGCCGATAGGGGGCACAAGAGTCGCGCCAGCTGCATCATCATCATCAACATGGCGGCAGCCTGAGAGCATTCCTTGGAAAGGTGTACACACCTTTCCTGAAACCACTCCAATTTTTCCGGCCTCTGTCTCTGCTTTACATTCACAGGAAACGAAGGAAGGGAAGAACGTTGAACGGCCTTCGAGGCGATTTTGCAAACAATGACAACTCTTCTCCCCCCTCCCAGAGGCAATCCGCATAGAGTCCTTCTCAGTCATTGCCAAAAATAGCTGTTCGGGTTGGGAATGAATCGGTCGTATCCATTCCTTTGCCTTGGTTTTGGAAAAATGATTCTCTCCCCAAAACATGCCCCACAACAAGATCCTGTACGATCGTCCCAAGATGCTGCAACTGTCGTCGACACTGTAGTGCTGCGTTATTTGAGATCTATATAAAATAAATCTTTATTGGATAATGCTGTACCATGTGGCGCATATAATATAACTATTCGAATGTTAACACTCATTAAACTTTATGTCAGAGTTCTGTCGCACACATCGGTAAACATGTTATTTGTGCGCGCGAAATGCGCGCCTTTTCGTTAGCTTCTGTTGTAAATTATTTTCAAGAGCTAAGCACTCATAAATTGACACGGCTGAGGAAGCGGTGCCATCGAAACTGATCATAAAATTAAACATTCCAGCCACATTTGTTCTGTTGCGCGCGTACGCAACAAAAATAGTTTCCAGTTTGTTTTTAGTTTCAAAGGTGGTACAACGCTTTCTCAATGACCTCGGAAAAATACATATGCCATGAAATGCAAAAAACAATGGGAAAAGGAGAAAATTTAGCCACCAGCAGTGACTGAAATTGCGCTTTCGCAGACTGTGCCTATAGATATCAACAACCCACTCAGTTAGGGTTAGCAGAGACGCCGGTAAAAGATTTAGCCTCAAACCCAGTGGGCTAAAAAAAAAATTCTCTTGTCCCTGGAGCTGAGTGTTTCTTAGAAAGGTGTATACTATGCGAGTGCTGAGAACATGAACAAGAAGTCAGCAAGGACTATCATGACAAGATTCAGCTCTATACGTCGTAGTCCTCCCGTTGTATATACCATCTCGTAATCATCATCACGAGACGTGGCACCGCGGGCCTCCGTGGTACAAGCTGTCGCCTTTCCGTGGTGCCACGGCTCTCCTGAGCCAATAAAGATTATTATTATTATTATTATTATTATTATTATATAATGACAGGCAAATTTACGGCAATTCGCACCCTATCCCCCACGACTCGTAGTGCCTAAGATAGGACATCAATAATATTATTATTACTATTCGTATCGTCGATAAATTTCAGTCAGACTTTAAGAAAGTTTACACAGAATGCACCCAAAGTTCCTGCTGCCCCATTTTGACATGTTTGCAGGCAGCTGCTCGACCCTTACATTAGGCTGCTCCTCCCTTACACTGATTACTCATCACTTATGCAGGCTTCTCATCCATTACACTGCTGTTCAACCCATACACTAAGTTGCTCATCAATTACACAGGTTGCTCATCTGTTACACTAAGTTGCTCATCTATTACACAGGTTGCTCATCTGTTACACTAAGTTGCTCAACCCCAACACCAAGTTGCTCATCCCTCACATCTGTTGATACATTACACTGCTGTCAAACCCTTACAATAAGCTGTGCAATCCTCTCAATAAGTTGTTCCTCCTTTACACTAAGTTGTGCAATCCTTACAATAAGTTGCCCCTCCCCTGCATTGAGTTGTTCAACCTTTCCATTAGGTTACTCATCGCTTACACAGGTTGCTCATTCACCGTTGTTCAAGCCACAGACTAAGTTGTCCAACCCTTATACCAAGTTGCTCATCTGTTACACTAAGTCGCTCAACACCAAGTTGCTCATCCCTTACACTTGTTGATGATACATTACACTGCTGTTTAACCCTTACAACAAGTTGTGCAATCCTTTCAATAAGTTGTTCCTCCTTTACACTAGGTTGGGCAATCCTAACAACAAGTTTCCCCTCCCCTGCATTGAGTTGCTCAACCTTTCCATTAGGTTACTCATTGTTTACACAGATTGCTCATACACTGTTGTTCAAAACTCACTCTAAGTTGTCCAACCCTTATACCAAGTTGCTCATCCCTTACACTAAGTGGCTCATCCTTCACACTATGTTGCTTATCACTTACACAGGCATCTCACCCATTACACAAAGTTGCTCATCCCTTATGTTGGGTTGCTCGTCCATTACACCATAGTTTAACCCTTATATGAAGTTGCCTATCCCATACATAACGTTGATCATCCCTTACAATAAGTTCCTCACCCTTATAAGCTGCTCATTACTCAATTCGTCCTTTACACACAGTTCCGCAGTCCTTATGTTAAGTTGTTCATCGCATACATTACATTGCTCAACCCTTACATAACTAAGTTGTACAGTAGGCTCGCAATAATTCGAACTGGGATATTTCATACTTGTGGAATGTTGTGGCCTCAAAATTCAAATTTTTTAAAAGACTTTTTTTTAATGATTTTGTTTATGTTTATTAACTTCCAAAAAATGCTTTCAGAAACTTTTATTTATAAACATGCAGGATTTATCTCGCCATAAATTATTTTCGACATGTCGGCAGCCCTCAAAGTCAGCAAGGAGCAAATTTTTTGCGTTCTTTATTTAGCGCCGCTTCATACTCGTTTAACATAGCCAGAACATCTCACCCTCATTGGAAGCGTCATTTACTCTAGGTTTAGCCTGTAGAAACTTTCTTAGTTTAAAAGTATCAATGGCCAGGAGAACCCTATACATTCAAACAAAAAAAATCCTGAAATTTTAGTAAGAGCAATCTTACTGGTTGAGACCCGAAACAGGGTTTACGATTGCTCCTGCCCGGTGATGTGATATTATGCCACCTTCAGCAACATCCTTTCACAGTATCTTCCACTTTAGATAATCTTCCTGCTTTGCTGTTCTTCCATAGCATGATTTGCCTCTTAGCTCTTGCCAGTTTATCTGCCAGGGAATACCTGCTACAAACGTTAGCTTGCCTACAAATGACAGAAACTGGTAGCTATTGCCAGGGGAACAACAGTCTTGAAGAGGAAGGTGCTAACAATGTTCCAGGCGAGTTTTGCCTACCTTGCACTCAGAAAAGAAAGAAACCTCAAGTTGAAACTTCAAATGCATTTTTCTCGGCTTCACTTTTTGGCAGGAAATGTGGTATGAAGAAATGTATTATTTGACATTTTGAAAGTGTAAAGATTTCATTCAATGGTGTCCTGGACTGAAATTTCCTAAAGAACAAGTTAAGGTACTCATGATATGAAAAAGCTAAATTCTTGCTGACAAAAACTGAAGATTATAAAACGCAGAAATTTGTTAAAATCTTTTGCTCTTTTTGGGCGTTATTGTTTTTCTCTAGAATTGCATTTTGTACAATTAATTTTTACCTTAACTTGCACTATGGGTATTCTACTTCACATTAAACCAAACATTTTGTGGATTGCAATTATCTTTTTAAATACATTTCCTAACAAAACAACTTTTTTCTGGGGCTTGTTTAGCATAGTATGTTGTAGAATTGGCCTACAAGACTGAAACTTTAGATGTCAACAATCCTAATGGAGTTCAATTCACCCTGAAAGTTTGTATCAATTTGAGGGAATGGTTCAAAAGTTGAGCCTCCCAGGCCATGTCCCCTCTTCATTCAAACAAATTTCAAAATTCTGATCATCCTGTTATGTTTTAATGTATTCATAAGCCGCTTAATACGAACAACGTTTTCGGGTAATTCATACATTTTGTCCTTGCAGCCCCGTTGAGTGCACTTCTTTCCGAGCAGCGGTGCACTGCAGGGAAGCAACAGCCGCGGAGATTGCTTTCGCGAGTGTTCCTTCTCCGCAGTGCACCGGTGCTCGGTGAGAAGCGCACTCAACAAGGCACCACGCAGAACTTTCCAAGGCAACTTTCGCGGACGTTGTGACAGGCAGCATGGCATAGGTCGAGGTCACAGCGTCTGCGCAAGTTATAAACACTGCCGCACGGTGACCTTTTTCACTTGCTCATGTGTCCCCTGCTTAATAGTACACCTAAGACAACTTCTTGGCCTGATGAACACACTTCATTCTGTTTTGAGTTATCATGTGCTGCCTAAACCGTCCATGATTAACATTTTTGAGAGATAAGCATACTAACGTTTCAGGTGAGGGATACCTGCTTATGATCAGTAGGCCTATGTAGAGGAAATCATCAAATACCTGCTTTGTTTGTGTAGCCATTCATATGGCAAATCATAATGTTATCTTGCATCATATTTAGACAAATTTCTGTTAATTCAAACGAAATTCATGGCTTCTTGGAGTTTGAGATAAAATTTCTGATAATTCTAATGGAATTCATGGCTTCTTGGAGTTTGAACTGAAGAGTCTACTGCACAACACAACCCTTAAACCAAGTCGCTCATCTACTGCATTAAGTTAATTACCATTTACACAAATTGCTCATACACAAGTTACTCATCCCCTAAATTAAGTTGCTCATCCCTTACACCAAGTTTCTCGACCTTTAAGGTAAGCTGCTTCTCCCAAACAGTAACCTGCCTGAGCAGCAGACAGTGATGAGGCAGTGCAACGAGCGTAACATGCAAAGCTGCAGAGACGGGTACTTACAAAGGTGGCCAGCTTGAGGAAGGGTGTGTAGAAGTAGACAGAGGGCAGGGCCACCCCTTCCGAAAGAGCGGCGTGGCCCGCATAGCTGAACTCAGCCAGGGAAATCAGGAACAGCGACAGCGTTATTAACTGCACGAAAAAACAGCCAGAGTCACGCCGTGCGGGATAAAAAAATTAAATCGCCTCAGTTGTGATTTGGCTCATCTTTGTTTGGAAGGAAATGGAGCATTCAAAAGCAGAAAAATAGATTGGAGTATGACCATGACCATGACCTCATGACCTTAATTGGTGGAACCCTGACCTTGCACTACAACCTTGGGGCACTCCAACAACTGCGACTATCAATATTAATTATAAGACTTGTGCATGCCCCCACCGTACGGCCTCACTTGCCAAAACATTCAAGCTAAGAGATAAGGCAGACAAGCCAGTACAGGTTCAAAATACATACCCAGAACCACAGCGTAAGGTACGTACAGGGGTGGACACTGCGCGTGTCATGGCTTCATGATACAGTCCTCCTCTCGCCCTAGTTGTCAACAGCGCCCCCAGATGGCTCCTCGATATGCGGCTAATGGCAGCCTGTCGCGAGCCCACTTTCCCATGCTTTTCTATGGGAGACACGCTCGATTTTAAAGTCACTTTTTGGGTGTGCCAAGTCATGTAGAACTTGGCACTTGCGTTATGCGTGTTGCTTAGACACTGCTTCGTCATTGACCCTAGTTTCGTGGCTCAATGGCGGCAATAAGAAGTTTATGAATGCACTGAAGCGAAGAGATCTCTGGTACAGTGTTCGAGCCAGTGTCCGTCAAGGTCAGAGCAGACACTGCGAGCAGAGAGAGTCTGGGTGCCGTGGGCATGAAACACTTTTCTAGGCTTTGGGTTTTTTTGTTTGTTTTTTCTTCGTTGCACCGTCTGGACGGCGAAGACTCTGTCGGCTGAGGCTACTTTGGTGCGCGCCAATAGGACTCTATCTGGTCGATCGCGTCGCAGCGTACGTCACGCCGCGTGTCTTCGCCTATATATATCTTCCCCAAGATTGAGGAAGCCTAAGCTAAAAAAAACATTTGCAATGACAAATCTTGTCCAGTGACCTTCATTGCAAGAAAGTCCCCCTTCCCCATTAAGCCACCTTTTTCTTTTACCAGGTATTACAGCTTCAACTAGGGTGCTTTATAAAAAATTGTAGAGCCCTTCCACTTCACACGAAGATGGAGGACCAGCAAAGCTGTTATCTATAGACCTTTTCATTTTAGTAGTTGCCTCACCGGCGAACAGAGGGCGCTGACGCACTCGGCGCCATTAGGTTGCTTCAATTTGGTTGGTTTCGGTTCCAATGTGACCGCGGCTATGCTGTTTTACGTTGTTTTTGCTTAATTTCGTGATACGACCATCTTCCTGGCAGCACACAACCAATGAAACAGTAGTACTGAGCCACTTTGATGACTACAAGGTGTATCTCAGCTTAAATTATTTTTTTTTTTTACCAACTTCTTTGATGTATCTGATTATGGTCGGTTGCGAAACGCCTGACTGATGTACAGGGAAGATTGTCATCGTGTATAGCTGTACCCGATAACACCAGTTTCCAGAAAAACAAACTAATGAAGAGAGTAACATGTGAATGTAAAGGGGGGAAGCATATTGACAGCTTGATTAACAATGTCCTGAATCGGCCAGAACAGATGAATTCGCGAGTTTACAACACACTGTTTGGTTTTCGTGGGCACCGAACTTTAGTGAACGCAAATAATTGATATAAACCAATAACATTGTATCGGCCTCTTTTTTTAATTTAGTACTCGAGCATGTTTTGACAGGCTGAGTAGGACATTTCTTATATTATCAATCCTGCTACCTGCTAAAGTACTCATAAGCAGCATTTCGTGATATTTGCCCTAGGAAATACATTTTTTTATATGAACATTTGCTTACTCAGGATATGATATAAGTGACAGACCCGTGAAATTAAATATGGCGTTTGTCTTCCGTAAAATTGGCCAAATAAAATTAAAGGGCGCAGGAGGAAAATACCTCGGAAAGTTTGGCTGAATTCTAGCGCTAGGCACCACTTCACGGACCTGTGTGAACAAATATTTATTTCTTAGAACAAACTCGCTTTATAAATTTCGGCGTAGCCAGCCACAAAAAGTAAACCTCTATTCGCCATCGACAATCCTGGACTCAAATAGCTGTTATGCAGACGGCTCTTCTTTTTTTTTTTTTTTTTTTTTTTGTGGGGGGGGGGGGGGGGCGTCAATTATTGTGAACTTTACATACTGGCAAAAAATAAAACAACGTAAGCAAAAAAAAGAGAAGCGTCGTCATTACTGCGCATGCGCGAAACCTAAACCGCGCTTTGGATTTGCAAACAGAAACAACGTTATTTCTTTGTGCACGCTATTCTGAAACCCACTACTGTTAAGTGTATGTGGCAGTTTCTTACACGGGAGGTCCCAACCTTTGTGTTAAGTAAATTAAGTGGAGGGCATTGGTTATCTAAATGTAATCAATAAATTATTTAAATGACTGTCGAAATGGGAGCGAGCGTGGTATACAATTTCTTAAACTTCATAAGTAAACCGACCAACCGAATGTCTACGTCGCAAAAAAGGGATTGAGAACCTCATACAGATGTAGGTGTGATATTATGAACAAACAAATCGCTTGATGTTGGCGTACCTTTACTTTTAGCCTCAGATAAAATACAAGTTAAACGTTCATTGTCTATCTCCTCCGCGAGTTTCCTCCCATAATCAAAAGAAACTGTTTTCAATATATTATGAATACAAAGAACGATACTTTCAGGGAACACAGATAGTCTCCTTGGGCTGACTATTCTTGACGCCTTGCCGACGTTAAATGCGCGATATAAATATACGCGCTTCTTACTGAGAATGTTCCGCCACTATTAGTAAACAAACCTCGGGAGCCGTCGAGTAGACGTATCGGACTACAGTTTCCGAAGTAAGGCAAGCACGCGCGGTGAAACGCGACGAAAAACACGAATTCAACGCATCCGCCAAGGCTCGGAGGGGAGAGCGGAGCAGCAAGTTGAAGCAACCGAATGGCTGCCGCGTCACGTGATTCCAAGATGGCAGCGCGCCCATGCGGGGGAGGATGAAAAGGTCTACATGACGTCTAGGACAGTGCCTAGAGGACGACATCAAGGACGACCTCGACAACCGTTCTCTAGACCTCGTCCTAGAAGCTGCCCTTGAGGACATTCTAGACGTCATCGGTTGACCTCAAGGACAACCTCTAGGACGACGCCTAGGATGATGCCCAAGACGACCTCAAGGGCGACTTCTAGGATGACCTCGAAGACGATGCCTAGAGATAACAAGGGTGACTTCTAGGATGACCTTACTATCTAATAATGCTGGTTGCCCCCTCTTTTTGTTTTTTAATATTCATACTTGACCCCTCTTTGTTTTTATTTATTCATACTTGCCACGACCAATGGGGAGTTTTCTGTCGGCATGCGAGGACGCATTTTTTCCCAGACCCTAGCGTATAACAGCTTCGCTGTAAAAAGTGTAGGCTTGATCACACGTTTGTCCCCTTGACCTTTGACCTTATATGTACGGCTTGGAAACTCGAGCGGTTGCTCGAGTTTTATACTTCAATGCTTCTAAGACTCTATCATCTTCGGCAATTTTTACCTCAGCCTGGTGGCACAACCTTAACTGAAATGTTTGAAAATGGCAGCCACAATCACTGCTTGAAGCAACTTTGACCATGACCAGATTGGGCCATCCTGAATACAAGGCTTTAGAACTATAGCCTTGACAACACATTAACCACAGCCAGACAATACACACCAGCAACCCTGCACCACAGACGGAAAAAACTGCCCGTCTCTGTATATTTTAAAACGCACTCTAAATGATGGTGCCACCTGACGTGTGACGTGACACCATGACCCGACATCACGGTGTCACAAGAAATCAGGTCATGTCATGTGACACTTAAAGGTCACTTCTCCGGTACATCTTTGAGAAATTCAGCATCACAACAGAAGTCGCAACTTGGTGCGTGGCCGCGGCAAGGCCTCAAGTTGAGGGGTGGAGAGCAAGACACCCACCAGCTTTGCGATGTTGAGCGCGGTCCACGGTATGAGTCTGCTGGAGCTCTTGAGGAGCAGGTACGTCTCCAGCGGGGCAAACAGCCAGAGGAAGCCACAAGGCACCCACACCAGGATAGTGTCCTGGAAGCAGACGCTCAGGTCTGGGTCTGTAGTGTTCCATGACTGGTCAAAGTCCTGAGAAGACAAGGAACAAAAATATCGCCCCAGAATTACTCCTCCGGGGAGTGACACTAGAGAGCGGAGTCTTGCAGTGAAGGAGTAACTGTTAGGGAATAAAATAATTATTTACTCTCCCGTCAACCAATTTGAATTCAGTGGGAAAAACAACAAAGCTGTGGACCTTCTTTGAGCGGCGAGCGGTGTTTGGGAGTCTGTCTGCAAACTACAAGCAGGAGGTGGCCCAACATGCCTCTGCCAGTCAGAACAGATTGGCATTGTGCCATCATATCGGGTTCCATTGCTTTTTATGTTCTGCACTCCCAAAACTCACAAAAGAATCATCAAAAAAGACGAAATACATGCAAAGATAGGTGGCAATGATGTTGGTCGTGTGGGACAGTGCCTTCCAAAAATGCCGAAATCTGGAAGCAAGGCCAGGGAAGAGGGTGCACTCATGCGCAGAGGCTTACTGGAAAAAGGCTTATCGAATGACGGTTTACCTCATAAGGAAGTAAAATGTCGATTTAAGAAGAGAACAAGAGTTTTTGACAAGCCACGCAGATATCGTATGAATTTTCGTAATGTGGAAAAATGTTTCCACATCATTATTTGAAAATACACCACAGCCTTGCATTTATAGCAGACACATCATAGATACACTTCCAATGAAACCGCTTTTACTATACCTGTTTTCACCTCAAGAAGCACAGTAAAAAAAGTATGGCTTCTTGCGGAGCATTACTAATTTCCCTCTTTATGCTAAGAATTGAAATATATGTAGGTGCATTTTAGAGTAGATATACGTTACCTTATCAAGACGTACATGTTTCAAACGCCAAAAGCATCACTACTGTCTCCGATGACCAAATATTTTAAGAACTATTTCGCGCGGCGTATGAACATTGAGCAAAAAGTCTTTTTCTTGAGGTGAAAACGGGTATAGCTCCAAGCAGTTAATACCCCAGTTTCTTAAAGGGAAACTGAAGCGGTTCTGTATTTGAAAAAAAAAACACTTCAATGGCCTTCATTCGGACTCCAGGATCACAAATACCAAGATTATTTTTCTATTTGGTACACGGAGGCTTCAGAAATTAATTTTTAAAGTACCCCCGAAGCACCTTTTTCCCGGGATTTTTCAGAATCTCTGCTCTTGCGCATCTTCAGCGCCTGTCAAAGCTATGCACATGCACTCTTGCTATTTTCAAAAAGGTCAGAAAGAGGCGTCATGACTGGTGTCAGTGCAGAAAAATATACCTCGCAAGCTTGCAATTGCATGCGCTGCCCACACGAGCAACACGCGCTTGGTGGCCCAAAGATGCTTCTATAACGTAACAACTGGTCGGAAGTTTTTCGCGTTTAGTTACGCCTTTGGGAAAAACAAATGTGATATTCAGATTCCCGGGATGAAAATATGCCAGCATTCACTTCTAACTCGTTTTTTTTTCAAGAAGTGTTTCAGCTTCTCTTTAAGGATAGCATAGAACAATTTTCGCATGTCCTATATTACGTACAATATATGCTTAATTTTTCGTGTGTGTGTTCCAGCCTTAACTCCATGTCTCATGGCAATTCTACAGAAAAAAACGAAAATGGCTGGATTAGTGTATCACTCAGATCAGTCTTAAAGGGATACTTCAACGAAATTTGAAATATTCCCGTCGTGTTCACAAATAGGTTGAATATGATCCACAATATCCGTAAATGACAATCGCACGTTTGTATTTTGAGCCTGGTGGCTGTATTTTTCGTTATAAACGGCCCACTCTGGCAAGCGCTCGGAGGAGGCCCAGCGGAGACCACGTGACATCCAACGCAATCGTGACGTAGGTCGTCTCAAGACGAGCAAAGCTACGGCGAGGCTGACGTCGAGAGGATGGCCTAGTCGTTCCAGCCACCGAAGTGGCTGCTTTTGTACGAATTTTGAGTGACGGGTTAATCTTCTATAATCTTGTAGGGGGACAATAGCGACTTCTGTGACACACAAAAGGCATTCTCGGGAAAAGGGGAGTTCCTCCTGCCCCTCTTCTCTCGTCGTGGCCGGAGGCGAGACAACCTCCGTCACTAGCTGCCAAGGTTGCTAGACGGGCATTACAAGCGAGGCGTTAGCGACATCCACCAGGTGCTCTTTGCTAATCGTTTAATTCGTTTTAAAATTCCTTTTCATGACTTTTTTAACAAGATATTGGTATGTTTGATTTGATGGTGCTTTTTTGAACACATATAGACCAAAAAATGAGGGCCGAAATTTCGTTGTAGTATTCCTTTAAGGCAGAGGAACCATGTAAAGTGCAGTGGCATCACTGTAGGTGCCACAAGTTACAATTCAATCACCATCATAATAGTAGTGATGAAACAAAAGTGTGATTAGCCAATCTGTCAGTACATCAGGGCGAGTTTGATGCCTCTTTTTACGTTCGTACTTGAAATTGTGAAGACATGTTCAAAACCGCGCATGGGCAACTTGACTGGAGAGGGAAACTTAAAGGTTATGGTGGAATCACGAGAGTCACTGATGTGCCTAAAGATTGGTTGAGCACATAAATTAGAACAGTTATAGTAACTAGTTCAACATTAACAGTAATAGTAACTAGTAACCTAAGTTACAAGTCACAGTATTGTTTCTTCATGAGGTTATTGTATTTTCAAATATGGCCCGAGAGGCTCTATTGTAATATGGGAGCAGTACACCTAGTCATGACGGGCCAGAAGAAGTTTGATGGTGCGAAGTAAATGCAGAAAAAGCTCATGTCAAAAAAAAAAAAAAAATGCTGCTCTTTACAACATGTGACGTGACCCCGCTGGAGAGTGTGGGAAAATATGAACGATGCTTTTGGCATCACCTCCATTTGCCGTCTTCTCAATATATATTTTTTTAATTTAGAGGTAATGAATAGCGTGCCGGGAAGAGTGAAGCCTGGGTATTCCGAAAATGTGTTTATGCTCGCCGATGTTTTTATTTGAACATGACATATAAGAGCCCAACTACCCAAAACATAATTTGGGGCTTGAAACTATTTTTCTTTCCGCCGAAAACAGCCGGTTGAGAATTGGCCAGTTTCAGTCGCGCACTCACTCTTTTTTATGATCACGTGCATTCAAACTATGTATACCAAATATATTAAAAGTCGTGGGTCATCTAAGGCAAATATTCAATATTAAAAATAGGAAAAAATATGAACCTCATTTTTGTGGCCCCCAGAAGACTGCAAATACGTTGACAGAAAAAAAAATATTGCACAGATTGTTGGAAGTACATGTACACGTCGTTCTCAATGTGGTGACATACCGCGGGTTGGACAATACGATGGCAGCGCACGACGGAACAACGCTGCAACAGACGTGGGGCCGCTACTTCGGAAGTGTCGTTTGTGGTACGGGCCAATCGATCTTCAAGAACAGACCATCGAGCGGAAGGAATATAAGTGCGTCACAATTGCACGACAAATGGTGCATGCAACTTCGTCGTCTGCTACACACGCAAAAGAAGCGAAGAAAAAAAAAAGTGTTAGGGTGTAGCCGTGCGACTTGCAGCCATGAGCTTCCGGGCTCGTGTTTCGGTTTCGAGCAGTTGAGTCTTCGGCTTTATTAAAAATATATGCGACTCTGCAGCAAAATATTGATTGGGTAGTCTCCTCACACCATAATAATGGCCCGTTCACACGATGCATTTTTCTCGCGCATCTAGTGTCGCGAAACGTAGTTTCGCGAAATGGTTGCGCCGTCTGAACGAGTCCGAAAAGGACGCGCGCATCTAAAAAAGGTTGCGCGCACACCTCGCTTCTGGAGCGAGCTTTTGCTGAAACTTTGCCGAGTCCTGTCAATCACTCTGAGGGCGCCGCCAATGGCCGCTCAGAAACGCTCTCACGTGGCCTTTGAGGGGGGAGCGAGCTGTTTGAGAAGACCACTTTGCTGCCAGTGTTGTAGCCAAGCCAAATCCGAAAAAAAAAAAACGAAACCAGGAACGATGGATACTGCCGGCGCTTCCGCAAGCGCGTCAAGCACCACTGAAGGATAAGTGAGTAGCATATCGGAAAAAAAAAAAAATCCAGCGATGGACGAAGACAATTAGGCCTCATTCACACAGCCGGCGTCTCGCCCCGTCCCGGCGAAAGCGCCCTGGGCGCCGTGCCGAAAACGGGACGGTGCGGGGACAGAGGAGTGTTCGAACCAGCGGCGGCGGAGCTGCCGGCAATGCTGGCGGTTTTTAGAATGTGGCGGGAGATGGAGAACACGACGCTGAATGGTTAATGGTGATGACGATGATGTTGGCTTTCAACTGAAGCGCCACTTTATGGTCAACACCCAAACTATTTTCGCGAGTCTAAACGTCATCGTTGTTGCACGTGAAGCGGTACGTGTGAACGAGCACATTTCGCGAAACTTGAGTGTCGCGAAACTGTTGCGCGCCTAAAAGATGCATCGTGTGAACAGACCTTAAATCACCTGGCGAAAAATTTAAAAAAATTTTGGGGAATTCTTGGGGGGTTTTAATCGTCTGTGGTACACCGAGAACACCCGGCGGCTGTATGGACGACGACGTCTCCCCAGAAATCCAGAAATAACCGCTTCGGCTCGAGATTGCACGCATAACACACAACGGCGGTTGGCTTAAGTGCCGGCTAAACGGCCACGCGCCAGCCAAAGTGCAGCCGAAAAGATAAGGTGACCAAATAACCGTGCCCCAGTTGTGAACTACGCAAGACCGGGCCTTCAGCCGTCGCCCGGTCCTTGCTCGGAGAAAAAGGCACAGGGTGCACCACACGCAGAGACAATGGCCTGGCTTCCGGAAGGTTAATCGAACGAGACTAGGCGGTAAACATGTTTACAGAGACGAGGGGCCAGCCATTGTTTAACAAGAACACCTTTGGCGTCTCAGGAGAGTGGGTGTCCCGCAAGGAAAGCGATAACAAAGTTACTCGAAATCATGAGTGGACCATGATAAAAGACGTCCAGAGACAGCCGACTGTAGTTAAGGGAGGAAAAAAGGTGCCGGCATTGATGCCTTAGAATTCATG